GTGAGCCTTTGTGCTGGTCTTTGTCATGAATTGAGAAGCCACAGCCCTGAGGACAGGAGCTAAACAAAGACTTCTGATGTGTTTTTTGTTTACTTTGTGTTCATCCTGAACCAGTGAGCTGAAGAGTGTAAAATTGGAGTAATAAGACTTGAGTTTGGCTAGCAGGTGAGATTAGAAGTGGCTTCAGTCATGATACGTGATATCGGATATTCAATTGTGGTACTGAGTGAATTGACTGAAAGGGAACTTATAGAATATTGCAGGTATTTTATGTGAATGGCCAACACAAGAAAGCCAAGCCATGACGATAATCAATAACACACATACGGCTGAAGGACTAATCGATTTTATCGATTAATCAGATATTTTGTTAATAAAGATTTAAAAATCTGTATTTCCATCCATCCATTTTCTTACACACTTATCCCAATTCGGGTTGCGAGGGGTGCTGGTTCCTATCTCCGCTGCCTACGGGCGAGAGGCAGGGTACACCCTGGACAGGTCGACAATCCATCGCAGAAAAATCTGTATTTTTTAAGCTAATAATTTTCTTAGGCTTCCATAGCTCAGAGTAACATCAGTTCATCACTTTTTGTTCCTAGACGTGTCCTTATAACTAATAATCTAGCTCACTGTGTGATACAACCAGCTGTATTTTCATTGGTTACTAAGACATAAGACTTATTTTTGCCCATGAATATAAGACCACCTCCCAGTGGGGATGATCGAACACAGTTTATATTATTTGGCCTTTTTTTATTGTAAAACTTATGGAAGACAAAATAATCGATGAATCTGAGATTAAGTTTTAAGGGGTATTGCAAGGCCCTACATGTAGTTTTCAATGTTCATATACAAATATGAATACGAAAAGTGTAAAATGCATTTGTATTCAGCCTCCGTTTACATGACTCCTCCAAATAAAATTTCAGTTCAACAGTTACCTTCACAAGTAATGTAATTAACTAAAAGAATAAAACTCTATGTAATCTAATATCAATGTAAACATAGCTTCTTTGTGATGACCTTAAAGATTTGTTAGAAAACATTGGTAAGCAAATAGCATTATGAAGACAAAACACAGCAGATAGGCCAGGTAGGAAGCTGTGGAGAGGTTTAAATAAGATTCAGGGTTTGGTCAGAAATCACATCCTAAATCTTGAAAAACTGACAGAGAACTGCTCAATGCATCATTAAAGAAATGGAAGATAGTTTGGCTCCAGGGCTGAACTATAGGAAAAAAGGGTGAGATAGAAATATCATGAGCTCTAAATCTATATTTTCCTCACTCTTCTCTCTCATCTGTTATTGAGGTTCCCTTCAACACTTTGTGTAACCTTTAGTATCATTGGCCCTATTAGTGTTCAATGTGTGATTTTCTGTTGCTGGTATACAAAGGATCCTCACTCTTGGAATATGTTAGCTACCTTTTTTTGTGCCAAACAATCATTACAGTATTGATACTGATGTGATGATGACTATGATGCCCTGCATAGCAAAACGGTAGATCTACCAATACATGGCTGTAAGCCTAAATTGATAGGCAAGGCCAATTTGGAGAAACAGCCAAGAGACCCATGATTTGCAGGGACCCCCAGTTCAGAATGAAGAAGCTGTGAATTGAAAATTGTATGTGTAATGGAAAATAAAATAGTACATCTTCCTAAACCTAATGGCACTCCACTATGAAACCTGGTAACGGCAGAATCATCCTGTGGGAATCCCTTTCATCAGTATGGAACAGGAGTTAAATGGGAATTTGGATGCAAATTAAGCATAGAGGAATAATGGAAGAAAACTGCTAGAGGAGGAAGTTTTAAACCTAAAAAGGGTGTTAACCTTAAACAGGACAAACACCTTAAACAGTCAAACAGAACTGCAGTATGATGGTTCAAATTAAGACTGCAACTAAGTATTATTTTTGCAAATCCATTAATCTAATAATTAATCCATCAATTATTAATCATTTAATAATTGGATAGCCAAATATTCCTTATAGAAGAACAGGTGAAACTGTTTATTTATTTATATATATATATATATATATATATATATATATATATATACACTATATTGCCAAAAGTATTTGCTCACCCATCCAAATTATTGGAATCAGGTGTTCCAATCACTTCCATGGCCACAGGTGTATAAATTCAAGCACCTAGGCATGCAGACTGTTTTTACAAACATTTGTGAAAGAATGGGTCGCTCTCAGGAGCTCAGTGAATTCCAGCGTGGAACTGTGATAGGATGCCACCTGTGCAACAAATCCAGTCGTGAAATTTCCTCGCTCCTAAATATTCCACAGTCAACTGTCAGCTGTATTATAAGAAAATGGAAGTGTTTGGGAACGACAGCAACTCAGCCACGAAGTGGTAGGCCACGTAAACTGACGGAGCGGGGTCAGCGGATGCTGACGCGCATAGTGCGAAGAGGTCGCCAACTTTCTGCAGAGTCAATCACTACAGACCTCCAAACTTCATGTGGCCTTCAGATTAGCTCAAGAACAGTGCGCAGAGAGCTTCATGGAATGGGTTTCCATGGTCGAGCAGCTGCATCCAAGCCATACATCACCAAGTGCAATGCAAAGCGTCGGATGCGGTGGTGTAAAGCACGCCGCCACTGGACTCTAGAGCAGTGGAGACGCGTTCTCTGGAGTGACGAATCGCGCTTCTCCATCTGGCAATCTGATGGACGGGTCTGGGTTTGGCGGTTGCCAGGAGAACGGTACTTGTCTGACTGCATTGTGCCAAGTGTAAAGTTTGGTGGAGGGGGGATTATGGTGTGGGGTTGTTTTTCAGGAGCTGGGCTTGGCCCCTTAGTTCCAGTGAAAGGAACTCTGAATGCTTCAGCATACCAAGACATTTTGGACAATTCCATGCTCCCAACTTTGTGGGAACAGTTTGGAGCTGGCCCCTTCCTTTTCCAACATGACTGTGCACCAGTGCACAAAGCAAGGTCCATAAAGACATGGATGACAGAGTCTGGTGTGGATGAACTTGACTGGCCTGCACAGAGTCCTGACCTCAACCCGATAGAACACCTTTGGGATGAATTAGAGCGGAGACTGAGAGCCAGGCCTTCTCGTCCAACATCAGTGTGCAACCTCACAAATGCGCTTCTGGAAGAATGGTCAAAAATTCCCATAAACACACTCCTAAACCTTGTGGACAGCCTTCCCAGAAGAGTTGAAGCTGTTCTAGCTGCAAAGGGTGGACCGATGTCATATTGAACCCTATGGATTAGGAACGGGATGTCACTTAAGCTCATATGTGAGTCAAGGCAGGTGAGCAAATACTTTTGGCAATATAGTGTATATATATATATATATATATATATATATATATATATATATACCGGTATATATATATGCACTACAATTTTGATATAATTATAATCTACAGTCTCCATACTCCAGTTAACAATTAATTGATTACTAAATTAGACGATTATTTCCACAATCGATTAATCAGTATTATGGTATCATATATTGGTATGGTCCAGAATTAAATCCACCTCAATGTAACTCACATAACCTTAAACTGCTTTACAGAAAAAAATAGCACATTGTCTCTTACATTTCGCAAGGAAATTATAGCTATGTACAATTCTGACACATGTCAATGCTACACTTTTAAGATTTGTGTTTGCAAAAATCTTAAAAACCCATGCATGATTTTTCTTGTATTTTTCAGTCCTGCAAAACCTTTTGCTGGTCAGTAACATAAAATCCTAAAAAATGACATTGAAGTTTAACATCCGAAAATGAGAAGAGGTTATAGATAACTGTGCTAGATATTGCTTTTTTTGTTTTGTTTTACTAGCTCTGATGCCCACTGATGAGATGCAGAAGTTTCATAGTGATGATTTCTTGACTGATTTCTAAGAAGACTGTTACCATGAAATTCAACAATTTCTCATACAGTGCATAATTCCTGAAAAATTTATTTTCAAAGTATAATTTCTGCACAAAGTTAAATCCTTATCCCAACATAATAATCACTGCCACTCAAGCCGATTTGGTATCTTGGGTAATTTACATTAAAATTAATGATTGACAGGTCAAAACTGTAGTGTTATAAATACTGTAGATAAAGCAAACAGTATAACAGTACATAAATATGAAGTAAATATGTAATATCTTTTCAGTTCCTAGTAAAGGAGATATTTTATAAAATAGAAGTGCTTTAGTAAAATACCTCGGCCGGGTATTTTCCATCAGTAGAAAAGAGCATATTTAAATTTAGCAGCAAAGGAATATGAAAGGCTTTGGTGCTCTAAGGCAAAGAGAATTCAAATGATGCCCGGCTCTGTGTTTGAAGTAAAAGAGGTTTGATAAGATTCATAACCAGAGGTGTTTTTTATGTATTTTTCTTTTTCTTCTGGTGGCACTCAGACTGCAAAATTAGTTCCAGTCTGATTTTCTAGAAGATTGACTGTGGCCACAACAAAGACTGAAACCTTGTGCCCGTGTCTGATTTCAAACTCTGCAGACTCTGAGTTTTGAAGATCAGGGACAGCAAAAGGGAGGGCGCTCTGCCTTTTGTTTTTACTCGTTGTCGGTGTGTAAAATCGTCATCCTTCTGGCTCATTACCTTGGCCTTTGATCACTCAGCGCAGAACATTCTGTTCAAGGATTAATAATTATTTTGCAATTAAAGGCTGGAGTTATCCTTAGGCGCTTGCTTCTGACTCGCGCCTGTTGCAGAGCACTCTAGCTGGCAGATTGGAGCTGAATATTTCTGTCAGTGTCTGTTTGATGGAAACAAATAAGGACTGTCTCGCTGGAGGGTGCTTAGAATAAAAATGGAGGAAAAAACATCAACTGTGAACGTTATCAGACTATTTGTGCTCACACATGATTTTCTCTGTGTTTTTCTTTTCCCACCGATACACACTCTCACTATGTCCCTCCCATATAATTGACTGTTAAAAATAGATGCATTGGTTCCTTGTAATTGCTCCGTTTAACCCAAAGCTTCTTCGGTCTTTTCTCTCAGCCAATAAGCACAAGCCATGGATCGAGACAGAGTACCAGGGGATTGTCATGGAGAACGACAACACCGTCCTGCTCAATCCCCCTCTCTTTGCTCTGGACAAAGATGCTCCACTTCACTATGCTGGTAATACCACCTACATCAATAATAATAATACAGTTTATATGAGTTTTGTTTTTTTATAAACACTGTTAAATCTCTTGAAAATCAGAAATGTACATACATTTCCATTTAAATTATACAATTTAGGTCAGTCAGAAACAGTTTCCTTCTGCGAGCCTCATACAAAAGTTTTCTTAAATATTGATCCATTACTCCTGTGGTGTATCTGACTCTGGTTTTTATGCAGCCCTGCTTTAAAACACTAATGATTATATATCCACTGATCTTTTGGACTGAGATTAGGACATTGTGATTACCATTTACTACCATTAAGAGCGCCTCTCAGCTGCTAAGGGTCGTTGTCCGGTTGGGAAACCCATTTGTTGTCAAGTTTTATAGCCTTCTTGCTCATGACATCATCTCTTATGCAACATGCACCAGCCCTTCCTGCTGTAAAAATAGCTACACAACATCAGAGGTGGGAAGAGTACATCCAAAAAATGTACTTGAGTAAAAGTAGCACTGCTTCAACATATTTCTACTTGAGTAAAAGGCAGCCGTCTAATTAATTACTCAGGTAAGAGTAAAAAAAAGTACATGGTAAAAAGGCTACTCCAGTGCCGAGTAACTGTGTACTATTTAAAATGACCTAAATCAGACAGACCATAAGATTATGTACAAATTCCTTATGTTTTTTCACAATAAAAGAAAGTAATAAATACCAACACAAAATGAGGGATAAAAAGAATTCAGGTAGAAACACTCATCAAAATCCAAGTTTTATCATATAAGAGAATCGAAATAGAAGAAATGGGTAACATATGAAAACATTTCCTAAAGTATGTAAAAGATGCATGATGGAACAGGGTAAACTACCTCCACTGATAAGATTTTTTTTCTGTATATACTCTTCACCTAGAGTCTCAGCAGAAAAAAAAGTAACCTTAAAATAAAAAGGATTGCGTATAAAGAAAATACTTATTTTAGTAAAACTTAAAGTGTCTGCCTGTGTCTGTTGTATTTTAGGTTTAAATGTGCCTCTTATTTTTTCAGTGAAGTTACCCACAAGTTACAGGCCAATTTAGAGTAGCGATATTTCATGATAATATTGTGTAAAAGTGAGGTGCACTAAAACTACTCCTAAAAGTATACTTTTATCAGTAAAATACTCAAGCAAACAAAACTCAATAAATGGAGCTATTTACCACCTACCTCTGCGCAACATGATGCTGTCATCTATGATGTTATGGGCCCCTTGTCTCGAGCCCGAAACATCATCAATGACCCCTCACACCCCCACCATGGACTGTTGTCTCCCGGCTGCCATCTGGGAAGAGGCTTCACAGCATTCAATGCAGGTCCAGCAGATTCCTAAACAGCTTCTTCTCCACCGCCATCAGACAGCTGAACTGTTGAAAAAAACTCAAAATCATGTCACAAAATCTGCATCACACTGATAACCCCAAACCAAAATACTGCATATTGCCTATCTCCCATGCTGTTTACATTTAATCACTACTGCACTTTATGGAATGGAAAGGTTCTTAAAGCTGTACAAAACAAAATTTGTTTTTGTATACACTCTGTTTACAAAATGACAATAAAAGTTGTCTTCTAACAGTGAGGATAGTGTTCAGATGTGTAATCTTAATTATTCACACGTCACTACATCAGGATGTAGCAATTGTATTTATGGCTAAACATCTTAACTTTTCTTTCATTAGACCTAAGGATTTATCTATAAAATAACATATATCTGCTACAATCTATTTTCAAACTGTTTTTTATGTTGCTTTTGGATTAATGGCTTCTTCTTCTCTGAGTGGCATTTCTGCCAATGGGGGTATAGGACCCAGTTCACTGTGGCTAATAAGATGCTCTCATCAGTTGTAGCTAGCACCTTCAAAAGGCCTTTTTTATTATTTGGTTCTTGGGTTGATTCACACATTCACACCATAACAGAGGTGCCCCTCCATTTAAAGGCAGATTACACATACTATGATGCAGATTAAAGTATAAATGTGTGAATTTGAAGAAGCAACACATAAAAAAAAAAAAAAAATCTAAGATTTTTCTGGCATTTCCTATATACAAATAATTTTGGGAATGTATGTCTAGCTAAAACAGAAATCTTATTTAATGCTGGACAAAAGAAGAGGTTATTGTATGTATTTTCTATACTGTCTAAGGAAATGTTTATTACAAATAAAATCATAATTCTAGACCATTTTTTCAGTTATTGACCCCCAAGATAAAGAAACAATCTAATTTCATATGAATAAATGGTGCCGTCATGTGACGATCTAAAGATGTGTTTTATTTTTGTTTCCTTCATTGCATTGGGCTTTTAGTAGTAAATGACACATATTTATTTTTTCCATTTAGGGCTATAATACTCCTGGCATCAGCAATATTTCCCCAAAGACTCCCTAAATATTAAAGGCAATGTGTTCAGAAAAATAGCCCTCTATTTTTAGCTCATCAGTGTAATTCAAGCTTTTGCTGCAGGAGCAATCAGCAAGCCCTGTACTTCTCTGCAGCCTGATGAAATCAGGTGATCACGTTTTCACTCCCAGTCCTGGAAATAACCACGTTCAGTAAAATTATGGACGATCAACTTGAATTACTACAGGCCTTCCTGAAATATATTGAGCCAGTGTCACGACGGAAGAGGAAATTAGCTGCTTGAGCACAAACCTTTGACTTTCACCAGCCGATAGTTATCTGCTGCTATTCTGAGCTTTTTAATTTTCAGTTGCTGTTGCAGTTGTTTTTTTAATCTGTTCCATGAATAAAGGACTTTTGAGATAAACGCTTACATAAAAGGCATCTCCAGATATCAGTTTAGTTTATTCTACATTAGATTGCTGCAGATTTATCATAATATAAACAAGTTTAGTGTATTGGATGCCTTATTGTTAAACTTCTGTTTTTTTGGAGATTTAGTGGCTTGAATTTAGATTATACTTCTCTGAGGTATTATTGTATACAAGCTAGGGTTAAACAGATAATCAGATTAATTGATAAATCAATTATGGAAATAATCGTCAGCTAATGTAGTAATCGATTCATCGTTAACTGGAGTGTAGAGACTCTAAAACGTGTCTTTAGCTAACAGAGCAACCCACTTAGAGCAGCAATTTTACCAAAAATATATAAACATTTTGCTTTTAGGATAAAAACACTTGTTTTTCTGTCCAGAAAACCTCAAGTGGAAAAGTTTTGGTATCACCTGGTATAATTTAGTGAAAAGTCTACTTTAGGGAACCTTTCGCTATCCGATTATTTATCGATCAATGGAAAAAATTATCGATTTGCAAGATAATCGTTGGTTGCAGCCCTAGTATCCAGCAATAATAAATAAATAAACTATATTTATTCAAAACATGGAAAAGACAACATAACACATCTTGTAAGAAATGCATCTGTTAAAAAATATATGGATGTTTTTTTTTCCCAACAAGATGTTTAACAAGCAGGAAGAGGGGCAAACAAAACAGGAAAATGTTCTTTGTCAGTAACAGGTCAGTAACACAAGTGGGTCTAAAAGGGAGATCCCACAGAGACCAAGTCTTTTCAAAGATAAGCAGAGGTTCTCTGTTCTTTGAAGGACTGCATATTTAAATAATTTAGTGGTTTCAGAGAGAAAGCTTCTTCCCACTGTCAAAACCCAACACCAGGAATAGGATCGCTCCATGAGGTTTTAGCCTGTCTTCATGGTTTAGGATTATATTATCATAATTTCAAATAATAGTGTTTTTAATACATTTATTCAACAGGGAAATAGAACATTGCAAGGAAATTTTGTTTTAAAACAAAATCATTTTTTCTGCAACTAGTATCTTCCCAAATGATTCCTGTAAAATAATTACAACTGAAGCATTTTAGTTCCTATATATGTTTATCCAAAGAATTTTGGACAAAAATTAAATAAATATAAAATATATAGTTGAGTGTTCTCCATTAGGAAAATTAGAATCAGCTTTATTAGCCAAGGTCGTTAGCACAAATGAAGAATTTGCAAACATTCAGCATAAGCAAACATCAATCATGACTATATACACTTTAAATAAAAATAATTGCAGTAGTACAAATAAATGTGTTGCCATTTTTTTTCATTAAATCAGTACAATAGCTGACCAATCAGGCTGTAAGGTGTTCAATGTGTTCATCAGAGAGTTTTGGCTTAATTAATGCTCTGAGACCATTGCTCGTTCAGCTTTGATTATTGAATTAATCGACGATTATCTTTGTAATCAATTAATCATAATTAATCCAATTAACGGTTGTAGCAATTATTCTTTGTTGGCTCACACATGTAACTAACGAGTGACACAAAGTTTTGCTGGTCCACCATTCAAACCAGAACCAATGAAGCACAGCCCCAGACAATCCCACACTTTTTTCTAGTCAACCAGTATGTTATTAACAAGGGTCAAAATGAGCACTGGGATGTAATTACACTTATTAAGACCATTGTGATGCATCACTGCTTACACCTACACCTTTTAAAATATTTTCCAAAGCACTCCTTGTGCCATGGATAAAATCAACCCACTGTTATACTAATTAAACTTACCTACAATTAGAATACAGTACTGCAGCACTGCATTTGTTATCAGCTTGATAAATGCCTTTAATAAATCATCAGAGTGTTTAAAAATATTTTGAGCAATTTTTGGTCATTTCACACAAATAATAAACAATTTGCCTGATTGAATGAACTGACCGAGTGCTTTATAAAAGAAGAGGAAATCAGCAGTCATTATTCAGGTGGAGGCTGGGCAAAAGCTGTTCTCATAAATAACACATAATAATCAGGAGAAAATAAGATGTAACCTTAATTTAAAAACAAATGTCTAACCGTTTATATATATATATTTTTTTTTTAAAGTGTCCTGTCTGGCAATAAGAATTGTTGTCTTAATGCCAGAAAGGCGCAACAGATTCTACTCTCACAAGTGAAGCAATATCGCTTTTGGCATAGTGCTCCTCTTGATTTATATATGTAAATAGTTTTATTATGGTTTATTTAGGAAATAATTCATGTTATGTGGACACTACATTGACAAAGTAGAAGAGGAGAGAGAAATTAGAAGAAATGGGTGAAAAGGTGAAAGAAAGAGAAGAGAAAAGAGAGAGATTGACAAAACTTCATTAGTCAGCTTCATCACCTGCAAAGAGCAATGTAAAAATAACAGCACATCCAACTGATATAGAACCACAGCTACAATACAGCAACACCTTGATACCATCACTGAAGTATATACAGTATTATTCAATACCAAATGTATAAAGTGGTAGCTGATGATAAAAATTGGTAAGTATGTAAGTAACCGGATCCAAGCTCCTGTAAGTGTATGTGAGAGTGCACGTTTATCATATAACTGATGCTGATGTATTGCTATTCTTATCCCAGGTGAAATCTGTGGCTTTCGGGTTCATAATGGCCCCTCTGGCTCTGGTTCAGTCCAGTTTGAAGCCGTGGTTCTGGATCGCTCTACCGGTGAGGGTCTGGTCCGGTCAAAAGATCCACTGGACTGTGAGAGCCAGCGGGAGCACAGCTTTACCATCCAGGCTTATGACTGTGGCGAAGGACCTGATGGAGTCAACAGCAAGAAATCACACAAGTTAGACTCTTTCCAGCCATTCTTTTACCAATAATCACATTCAGTAGATCTGCTGTAATAAGTCTCCAGCTTCCTGTAGGGAGATCATATTATCTCTCTGCTTCTGCTTGGCCTCCCACTCCTCCTCCCCTTCCCCTCAGGGCCACTGTACATGTTCGTGTGAACGACGTCAACGAGTTCTCCCCGGTGTTTGTGGAGCGTCGCTACGAGGCTTCAGTCCCAGAGGGCCGTCTGTTTGACAGGATTGTGCAGGTGGAGGCTCTGGATGCCGACTGCTCCCCGCAGTACAGCCAGATCTGCTTCTATGACATCATCACTCCCAATGTGCCCTTTGCTATTGACAACGATGGTGAGATGGCTCACAGTCGCACACTCAAAGAGCTTTGGAAAAAAAACTTACTGTGCTGCACAAAAACATTCACACCCCTTTAACCTTTTTTAATTAGTTTATAACCGAACATTGAATTGGAGTTTATTACAATTTGTTGTGATGGAGGACAAACACCAACCAGTGCATGTTTGTGAAGAGGAAGGAAAATTATGTTTTAGCCCTCTTTTTTCTTATATAATTAAATGAAATCAGATGGAACCAAGTTGTCTCTAAATGTAAACTAATAATACTAAAATAGTACTAAAAGTACAAAGAGTTTATTTCTCAGAAATAGTGTTGTGGAAAAGCTGGGAAAGTAAATTGTAAGAAATTCAGAAAACAAGAAAATGTATTGGGAAAAAAAAGTTTATATTGCTGTTTATATTACAATGCTGGTGAAGATTCTCAGCCATCCAGGTCATAGTCATTCCAAAAAAAGTTAAAAAACAATCCACTGAACTTTGTTTCCAAGTTTGAAGACGTACTGCTTCCCATCCAGGAAGCTTTTTTAATTTCAAAAACTTCACATCTCTCCAGCTTGAATTAAAAAAGCTTCCTGAATGGGATGCAAACGTCTTTAAACTCGGAAACAAAGCCTCGTGGATTGTTTTTGAACTTTTTTGGAATTTATATTGACAACCTCTAAATTATTTACTGCAGTCTTTTTAGGGTTAACTCTCTAAACTTAGACAGTTTTTCTTTTTTGCTGGAACTGGATCAAAAGTGACCTTGACTGGGTGTGGTGGTGGTGCAATGGTTAACTGTGTGACCCATGCTATGATGCTTTGGTCCTTGACTGTGCTGTCGCAGGTTTGAGGCCCAGCCGCATTTTTTCCCCCCTCTCTCTAATCCCATTTAATGTTTGCCTACACAAATAATGAAATAAAGGCCACTAGTGCCTAAAAAAAAATCTTAAAAGTGTCCCTGAACAAGTTTTAAGTGTTGCACAGAGTTCCAATGTGATGTAGGTCTAAACTTTGACTGGGTCATTCCATTGAAGCTCCGGCTGCAGTAAAATTTTGCAGCCCTTTTTGGGTTTATTTCACTATTTTGTGACTTCTGTCTCTCTTTCCATCCTCTATCTCCATGTTTAGTTATTGGACTGGTGTTTAACCCTGGGAGTTTTCAGGGTTAAGTACAATTATGTACTTAAATGTGACTGAAGCACCTTAGTCCTCCATTTGGGCTTTTCTTGGTTTTGACTTTTTTTGCATTTTTTAACATAAAACTTTGGAAAAATATCTAGAATTTTTCTCCATACGTGATTAGAGTATGTGGAGAGAGTATACAATATGACGCCTAACTCTTACAATCAAACAAGTAAAAAAAAAAATCAGATAATATTTATGCAGTGGAACATTTAAGAGAATTATTATAAGTCTTCAAGCCTCAGGTACAAACAACGAGGTGTTAAAATAGACTTTGTGGGGGTGGACCTTGTTTTCCGTTTCTACAAAATCTCTTCTACAGCTGTTTAGTTTAATATAGCTCAGTTGTTTTTTCTTTCTAGCTCATTAGATTCTATGGGTTTTTCAGTCCCTTGTTGCACAGTGGGGGCTCGGTTGTTGCTGGATTGGAAATGTGACCCAGCAGCTGAAGAGACCCTGTAATAGAATGACTCTGCAGAATTTTCCAGATCTGGAAGGGCTCTGTAGAAGATGAGCAGCTTCTTTCTGTTTTCACACGGTGATCTATTGTTCTTGTTTTGATGCATTTCTTTTGTTTTTTGCATCGCCTTTTCTGTTTCTCCCTTTGTTTTTCATCTGTTTGTGTCAAAGCATCTTCTCCCCCTTACCTGCGGTTTGTCAGGCAGCATGCAGGGTGCTGTCAGCTCTTCACAGATACTCACTTTGTTCACCCTTATCTATAAAACCAGGAAACACCCATCTGTTTTTAACCTGCTCCATGTTATTTATCTTTCTTTTTTGGCCTGAAAGAGAAGCTTTAAACACTCTTCTGACTTCGTTAGAGCACACACGAAGCTTCAGGAGTTTTTTTTTTTCACGGAGTTGAATAAGCTTGTTGTTGGTGACTAACCCTCTATTTCTCTTTCTATTTTTCTCATTATGTCGTGTCCTCTTTGTCCTTCTGTCTCCTAGGTAACATTAAGAATACAGAGCCTTTGGATTCCAAGCAGCAGCGTGTTCACACCTTCTGGGTGACCGCCTTTGACTGTGGGAAGAACCGTGCGCAGGCTGATGCCCAGGTTGTTGTCACGGTTAAGCCGTCCTGCAAACCCGGCTGGACTGGTACTCACTCCTTTTTCTGCCTTGGATTTTATTCCGTAGTTACTCCGTGGAGGCGTTAGACGTGTGATTTTGTTGTTTCATTCAATAATTTTTGGATGAAATTTCCACTTAAAGTTAGAAATGAGTGGGCAGCTATTCGGCTTAATCATGGTTGCATCATTAGACCATGAGCTGTGTTGCAAATCATCTTAAGGCTTTGTAAAATAACAGGGAGATGATTAAATGATATATCACTCACTTATGTTTATTTGTATCATGCCAATTCACCACAAAGATCCTCTCTACAGGTCTTACAAAACCAGCCTCTCCTGTTATCAGGAACTGCATTTGATCTACATTCAGTTAATCTGTCTATCAGAATCAGTCAAACATTGTCTAATTTTGTTTTAGCTGCAATCTTATGCAGGCAATATCATATCATTTAATACCATTTTTTTAAGAACATATTTATCTAAAGAGACCCAGTCAGTTATATGAGCCACTGATCTTACAGCAATCCCTCATCCTGTGCAAGCATGTGGCAAAAGTGGGGAGGAACTACTTTCTTGTACTGGGAAAAAACTTGAAGTAGAGCTAGGTGAGCATCGGTGGCCATTTAGAACAACCAAAAGGGGTTTAAAACATATTTCAAATACTTGCAAAAGAGTTGAGCATTGAGCCATGAAATGACATACTTTCTATGGTAAAGTCTAAACAAAACAAAAAAAAAACGGATCTAATGGTGACTATAGCTCCGTCAGCGGCTCTATTCAGGAAAGAGACAAAGTCAAACATAGAATCGCAGAATTAAGTCCACTTTTTTTGAGAAAGAAAGACCAAGTTAATAGTAACAATGACTGTTAATGGCTCCAAATGGGAGAAACACAACTAATCACAGAGCTAGAAGTAGAAAACTACTAGACATAGTTGATGGAGATAAAAAAAAGTACCTTTAGTAGTTTTTCCCTTAAAAATTATGCACATTAACACAGCATTACTGAACCAGGGGTTCCTTCTATAGAAATCAGGAAAACAATCATCTCACCTGCTCCTCCATCCCTGGCTTCATCCAGCAGAAAACATGGCTAGACATGGAAGTAATGTTCAAGGAAAACTCAAAGAGAATATTCAAACAAAGAGAATATTCAAAGACAATGGTATTCTCTCAATAGCCTTGACCCAGGGAAAGAAAAATGTTTAAACTCTGAATCACTTAATACTCTTATATGAACAAAAAACGAGTACTCACTCCACTTCTGGCTTCAAAGGTTACTCTCTCTGTCTGCTAGAGCTGCAGGTGCATATATGTTTACCTGCCTGCAAACACATTCAGGGTGAGTCTGAGTCGATGGCACAGTCTACCGTGGAGGGGGCCGACACTGTGGGCGCTTTTAATTGTTTTCACTCAGTTTTCATTGCGCTGCCTCAGACAGGTCTTTCACGTTTATGTGCAAGTAAGCAAGTAAACACTATTTCTGTGGCCTTTAAGCATTAAATTTGGTGAGAAAGCCTAATTTCATCATAATTGTGATAATTTTCAGCTTACTGAGATGTTGCACTGAAATGAGCTGGTGAGAACCCTAGGAGAGTGAGCTCAGATGTCAGTCAAAAGGCCTATAGGATCACAAAAAAGAGCTTATTGGACTAACTTCAGCGAAGCAGTGATAACTTTCAGTGGCAGTCTGCTACATGTTGAGGAAAAACCCTGAGAGCAAAACGTGTAGAAAGCATAAAGCTAATTTCATCAACATTAAACGGAGAGAAAACTGAAAGAAAATCACAGCTCTAGCAGCTTAAACACATAAACTTTGACATTGTATTTGTTCATTTGTTCAATTATACGCTATTACCATGACATCAAAGTTGAAGAAACAGTTATGACAGTAAAGCTGTAAAGATTTCATAACAAAGAAATGTTAAGAAGATGGAGGAAGTAAGAAGTCTCCAAATCTTAGGATAAAGTATTCCCACAAAGAAAAAAATAGAGACCAATGCATCCCTTGTAGTATCTGTGTCAGTATGTGTATGAAATGAAAGATCTATGAAATATCTTGTTTATTTTGTAAAACATCAACAGACTGTGGTTAAAAGAAATGATGAAATTCTTTGCAATGCACAATTTCTAAGCTGTCATACATTTCAAAATGAGCAATTTTTTTTAAAGCTTTGATATCATGTCTCTGTGTTGTTTTTATTCAAATGTAGTCTTTGCATAAGTTTCCAAATGTAGCTTTGTGTTCTCTAGACAGAGTTACGTTATCCATTGGATCTTAAAATCCCCCCATCCAGTGTAACATCAGAGTCGTGTTGTAAAATGTAAAATTCTGATCCACTCCTTTCGATTTAAGGATGGACAAAGCGTGTGGAGTACACACCCGGATCAGGCAGCATTCCCCTGTTCCCCAGCCTGCATTTGGAGACCTGCGAAGAAACAGTGTGGAACATCCAGGCCACCGTAGAGCTTCAGACCGGCCATATTGGGAAGGGATGTGACAGAGACAGCTACTCTGACCGATCTGTTCGCCGACTCTGTGGTAAGTTTGAAGTTTAAATCCAAGAATCAAATTAATCTAGAAGGGGATAATAATTTAAATGACATAAAGAGAAAACATTAAGAAAGGAAACAAGGAGAAAAGGAAATATAAATATATCATTTTGTTAAGGCATTTTTTAAATTTTTTTTTAATCAGGTGCCGTCAGGGGCGAAGTGGACCTCCTCCCACCTCCGTCTCCGGCAGCCAACTGGACTGCAGCTCTTCCCACTCTCCCCTCTTCTGATTCTTCTCTGGTCTTCTCTTTTAACGGATCGAATCACGTTGCAGTGGTTCCCAACTCAGTTGTGTCCGCTCTGTCAGGTGACCACTTCACCCTCCAGCTGTGGATGCGTAGGGGTGGCGCCAACATCCAGCCTTCAACTACTCAGTCCAGAGCAAATCGCAAGGACGAGGAAACTATTGTGTGCAGCACAGTAAAGAATGGTGTGTAATGTTTTTTTTTTTTAAATAATCCTTTTGTTTTGCAGGTATTTATGGCTTTGATGCAACGCAGTGTCAAAATGGCTAAATGCATGGTCATTTTGTGTAAAGTAAAAATATTGTTTTTTTTTTTTTACTGTTTCTGCATTAAAGCTACAAAGAATCAAACAAATTACAGAGTAAATAAAAATAAATAAGTCATTTTTGATTTGAACGAGCACCTTGCACAAAAACACAAACCTTTACTTTAAATTCACATGACTCCAATTTAAATCAATTGCATGACTTTATTCTCTGGAGCAATAAAACCAGCAATTATCTTTTTATTCCTCTGCTCTACAGATGACTCCTACTCTCATTATTCGCTTTCCGTCCACGGCTGCCGCCTTTCCCTCTTCTACTGGCCCGATGTCTCAGCTGCACGGCCCGTCAAGTTCCTCTGGAAGCTGGAACAGGTGCTGGAGAAATCTTCTTCCCTTGTTTCTAATTGTTTCCCATTTATTTCTATCCAGAATATCAAATAAAACCGGGGAGGTTTAGTAGTTAATTTCCTTTCTACAGCATGGTTTGTGTATAATCTTTGATGTTACGCGCTGCAGTATGAAGATTGAACGTATTTTCCCTCTTATCTCTAAGGCTTTTTATAGAGTAACTGCTTAATTTAAACGTTTCATGCTGTGTGCATCATCCATCATTTGAAGCTGCAGTCTGACTAACGGATTGTGCAATTATCTACCTGTGAAAGGATAACAAAAACCAGGACAGAATTCAATTTGTGTATCGGTCAGACAGCTTTTCTTCTATTTTCTACATTCGTTTTCAGTCCAATATAAAGATATTAGCGTTTAGTTTCCAGTTTCATTATCTCCCACACGTTTCTCTTGCTATGATGAGAGCCATCAGCAGTTTTTAGCTATAATTAATAATTTCCTTTATGTATGTGAAATCAAATGCTATAAATTGGCTCCAGCTGCAGGATTTATACCAGTAAGAACCTCTCAGTCTGATAAAATGACTGCTTTTGCTGTTCATGCTACATCTCTTTATGTCCAGCATTATAACGACAACAAATAAACATACATTTGCACAAGGAGAGGCAAATATTTCAACAGCCACCACAATTAGCAAGCAAACAAATTTTCCATCAATGCATTTATTACTAGCCTTGGTCACATAGATGCTTAAATAATTTGCTTTTTTTTTAGATTTAGTTATAAAACGTATATGTTTATATAGATGATTAAGTTCAGACATCCGTGCCACAATATTTTTAACCTTGATGTATCTGTGAAGCAGCTTGCCACCCTTGCTATAAAGCCTTAAAAAACATTATACTTTTATTACAGTAGGAAAAACTGACACTTGAAAATTATTACTGGTGGTGTTGCAATTTTTTATACCTTCATACCTGTATGGTTTGCGTCCCTTGGGTATAAATGAGCTTTAGTTCAGTTACATTTAGCAGCCGGCTGCTTGGCTGGATGAGAGTCCAGCATTTTGTGCCAACAACAAGCAGTGAGCGGGTTAGTGAGGGAGATAAAATGATCTCTAAAGCTCACAGGTCTCTATAACAACTTATAATCAATGTTTTTGTCCTACAAACATAAACATGTGGAGTTCACTAAACCCTGCTGGAATGATCTGGGTTGGTCAGATGTGACTGAAATTAGGGGCTTTGACTCAAACATATGGTCGGGTTTGTAGTGAAGCATGAAATATCTGCTTAAAACAGACATTTACATACATGGTTTATAAAAAAAAATACAGTGCACACTTGCAATTTCATGTAAATCCTTAGGAAATTTGGAAATTTAACCGGATCTTGTTCCAAAACTGAAAAAATAGAGCATAAGAAAACCCAGGATATTAGAGTAGGAATGTCAAACCAGTTGACAAGGCCAAAGTGAGGTGTTATGTAATTTTTAGATGTGCTGTGATCCAAACTATCCAAATCCAATGGCTAAATTGCTTCTTCATTATAAAGTCTGCCTCCAAAACTGTAGTTTGACACATATAAGAGATCCTGCAGAGGCTTTTTTGCATTTTATTATTTGCTCATCAAAGTACATGAAAGCAAGAAGTAAACTTTATAAAATCGATAAAAGCATGGATTTTCTTACCGAGCCTGTGTTTTTGTGGTCTTATCTCCTTTGATGCGTGACTGTTTTTGGGAGGGAAGGGGATTGTTTTGTCTGAAGATTTGGTCTCAGACTGTCTGAAGTTGCTCTGATTAAAAAAGCTGGGCTGATACAGAGGAGATTTGTTAAAGCCTTCTGTCTAAACCACATTATCTTGTTACTCCAGTCTTTCTCCCTGCTCCCCCTACCCTTATCTTTATAATTGCCATTCTCTCAGTTTTTTGCTTCTGTTTATATAAAGAAACAGAAAACAAGTATGTAGGTATGATAACTTGGATTTAACAAAAACTATTCAGTAAAATGTGGAAAGTATATTGAAGAATGTATTCCCCTAGCACACCTTCTTTCTTTCTAAAAGTAATTACCTGATTTAGCTTCAGTTTTTAGATTTACAGTTAGGGGGAAAAAATGTTTTTATATTGATCCAGCCTTTTTTGTTGTTTCTTAAAGTGGGCTATATCACTAATACTTTTTTAAATATCTTTTCAGTGGATTTTTGTTACTTTTTCTCTATTCCCTTCTTGCATCTTGGCAGCATATTGTGCAGCGTATCCTTAAATAATAAGAAACATCAATAAAAATAAAGAAATCTCAGAAATTAAAAACTATCTACTGCAGATTAACAGTTTTTGGAAAGCCTCAGCTGTCACACGAATGCCTATCAGCCTTGTATTATAAGGACATACATATCTATGCTCCTTTATATATATATTTTACCTTGAGATCTGATAGGGTAAGGAACACTGATTCTGATAAAGCCAAGGCTGCCAAATATATGTTGGGGACAAATTAGAGACTGTGTATTAAGGTTATTCACTTTTAGATCACTGCTATTGTTTAGGGAAGAACCTCAGAAATGTTGCTTCAATGACAAAACAATAACATTATTTAATCTAATATGCTGGTGAAGATTTTCAATCATCCAGGTCATAGCCATTCCAAAAAACTAAAAAAATAAATAAAACACTGGACTTTGTTTCCAAGTTCGAAGACGTTTCGCTTCCCATCCAGGAAGCTTTTTCAATTCAAAATGTCTGGATTAGTGTTAAGTTCCAGGCTTTATAGAGTAGCCCTTAGAAAACATGCAAATCGTAATCTAATGCTATGTTTTGCAGACTCTGCACTGATAATAATTCACCTACATCAGCATACTGAACGCTTAAAGTTGAGCTGACCTTTTAACCCATCTCCTTATTGTTTGCTCTGATTAGATTAGGGCACATGGGGGAAAAGGAAACATCACATCAGCCTTTTTTCCCCCCAGCTTTTTATTGTCATTACACTGTCACAACTACAGAGAAACAAAATAAACTCTCTGCATTTAACCCTTCCCCTGGGCTGCCATTGTACGGCAACCAGGAGTAGTGTGGGGTTAAGGGTCTTGCTCAGGAACCCAGAGTGGCAGTCTGTGGGAGTGGGGCTTGAACTCAGAACCTCAAGGGTCCAAGCGCAATGCCCTAACCACCATGCCGCCACTCCCTAGACGATACATTTTAAACCTACACAAAATCTGGCACGCCGTTAGCATCAAGTATAATAATCAAACATGTCAGGACTCTGTGTATTTAATTAATTTACAAGAGCGGCATATGAAATTAATAAAAAAACCTTACACAACAAGAAACCTTCTGTACAAAAACTTTCCAACAAGTATATTATTTAACCTTGCTGTATATTGAATATTATTTGTTTGAAATCTTTGCCATTTTGATTTATAGTTTCCTCTAAAGAAATAGAAACAAAATCTGTGTCTTTTGTCACTGACAAAGCCTAACCAGGTCGCAACATTTTCATAGCTGGAATGAAAAACAAAATGAGAATCAGCCAAAATTTCAGAATGCTTTTGAAAAAAACATCAAAATGTCTAAAAAACTAATAGCAAAGTATTAGAAGAATGGGCTCCCTATGTAGTCTGAGAAGTATGGACAACAGGTTAATTGGTATGTGAAAGTATTATTAAGAAAATTTAAAAATTTGGGGATTTTCAGATTTTATTTTACGCCTTCTATTTTTCCAATAATTAGATTTTTTTTTATTAGAAAAATAATTTTTGTCCCATCCTATTTTGTCTTTTCATTGACTGTTAGAATGAAAAAAATTAAAAAGGGCTTTGGGTTGGGGGGGGGGGTTCTCTAAACAACTTTAAATGCATCCCATGGTTCAACTTTAAACCATCATCTGTTTTTTACAGAAGTAATAAAATGTTCACAAAACTCTCTGTTAAATAATGGAAGTAACTGTGGGATAATCTAATTCTTATTTAAAAATCCTCATTTAATAATCATTATAAGTCCTGCAGTTATATAATTAAAATAAGGGTAGGTTTGTTTTTGAACAGATGTCATAAAAGCTGTGAAATATCCACATTCTTCTAATCCCATAATACATAAAGAGCTGCTTATTAGTTGGGAAATTCAAATTTAAAGAAGTCAATTTACATAAAGGGATTTTTTTTTCTTTTCTTTTGTTTTTCATTAGTAATCTTCTCCCTCCTTTTCCTGATTTACCTTGTGAGCCTTTAGAGGGTGCTAACAATAAAGAGTTTACTGTACCTAACAAATGTAAAACCATGCTAGTAGTACGCATATATCTAAACATCCATCTATAATAATGCAGCTGCCCAGAGGAGGTTCTCTTTTCTTTTTTAAGTTCAAACAAAAAAATGTCCCTGCAGATGTGTCAGGTCTTCCTGAAATTCCCATTTATTCTGTCTTTCTGTCCAACAGGTGTGTGACAGTGAATGGCATCATCTATCCCTCAGCGTCCAGTTCCCATCAGTGACGCTATATGTGGATGGGGTCACCTTTGACCCCGCCCTCATCCATGACAACGGAGCCATCCCGAACCCTGCGCCCCGTCAAAGGATGATCATCGGTGCTTGCTGGGGTATGTATTTCTTTTCAGCTTAATGATCCATTTTCATTTTAACATTCCTCCAGAGCGGAAATGTCATTTCAGTCAAATATCAGTTGCAAAGATGGCCAGCTGCGCTCTATGAAGCCCCCCATGAGGCGTGTCAGGGTGAGCCGTAGGGACATATTAGATCGCGCTCCTCATTTCAGTCAGAGCGGTAGCTGCGTCTTGTCTTTAAGGTCTAATAATATAAATGACTTATCAATTATTTAGAGTAGCAGAACAACACAGGGGGCAGACAGCTATGAGCCACTTACAGCATAACCGCTCGTTAAAATGGGGAGCGCTGGCAGCCAATTACCATAGAAAAGACACAAACACAGACACATTCAGTGTTTCATCCACATTGTCTTCTGTCTGCCTGCTGGCAGCTGGTGCCAGATAATAAGGAGACATAGCATTTTTGAAGATCCACCCCAGTGTTCTCTATTCTGCATGTATGTGTTGTTTATTCATACTTTGTTTCCATATATTCCCTGCTTTCTTTGTGTCTTTGCACCTTCTGTCTCTTCATACCTGACTCTGCTGAAGAGTCTTTCACAGTATGACAGTGTTGTCTGTTTTCTGCCTCTCTGTGTTTTTCCCAATAGAGCCTGAAGAGAAGCAGAAGGAGATACTAAACAACACCATCCCAGAGGGGAAAGACTCAGGTGACCTTCAAGTTTCAAACAAACCCTCAGCTGATCTTCTCTCTTGTTGCTGATGCAACTATAGGGGGCAAATAACTGTACGTTACAGTATTCAATCTTGGTTCACTCTCTAGTGAAGTACGTAGGCGGTTACCATGGCCTGCTGTCAGGGGTGACGGTGCGTCCTGGCAGTGTGGAGCCTCACAGCGTAGTGGAGTGCCTGTACGCCTGCAGGGAGGGCTTGGACTTTGGCGACCTGGAAACTCTTGGTTCTGGGATGAAGGTAATGCCCTGGGAGAGCTGCAGGTTGTTTGAACTGTCTTTGCTGCTATAGTGATAAACATACAGATAGACCAAAGTTTGGGATATTTTCTAGTTTTGTTTGGATAGAATTTATAAAAGGTGATCTTTAAGGAATAACATTAAGATTTCAAATTTATTTATGAAGCCACTTTGTGACTAATTTCTTACTGTAGTGCCTTAAACAAAACATTCTTTGCTTTGGAGAGAAATTATAAAACGTTTGAGAAGTTATGCAAAAATTTGTCTATTTATTGCTTTCATGTTTTAAACAAAATAAACACCATCTATCAGTCAAGCATACAGAAATGTAAGTCAGAAGATAGAAAAGAAAAGTATTAACAACAGAGAATAGCAAGGTGACAAACTTATGTAAATTCAGTTGAAATTGTGTCATTTAAATTAGTTATAGGTGGTCCACATACTGGAACCCACCAGAGCTTAAATTCTTTCTATTTATCATTGACAAAGCTCCCCATATAACAGCAATAACACAAAATTGCCCAAATTTGTTCAATCACTTATTTTTCATTGGGAAAAAAAAATTCTCCATACCTTTTAAAATGCTGAATATTTACCCCTAATCATAAAGGTAAGTTCCTCGAGAACAAGATAGCAGTTTACAGTTAAGGTCCAGCATAGTTTTCCAGGGTCTGTCTATAGTAGTAGGAAAAATCCATACATGCAAAGTTTAGGAAAGGAATTTAGTTTAACATCTGCAATATGTGAAACCTTATTCAAACTACCTTCCAATAATCAATGGTTCAAAGTACCTTTGGTTCCTCAACTAATTTATCTGGAATATTAAATACATATTTGTTTGAGGGGGATTTCTTTATAAACTAGCTGTTACTCAGAATGGATGGAGTGCATCTTTAAACATTAGTTATCAGGTTCTAACTTGAAAATGCTTTGATCTAATATGCTCTGGATGCATATTTTGCGTCATGATCCTGCTGGTTTCATACTCTCCCTTATTGAGCTGCATCACACTTACTGTCAGCTCTGATCACTATCCTCAGCAGTCCTGAAGAAAAGTAACCCCACAGCACAATGCTGCAATCACTGTGTTTTAATGGTGTTTTTGTGACACACACGTTTTGGTGTCATCTGATCAGAGCGTCTTCCATATGGTTACCCTATAATGGCTACACAGCATAGTGCTATTGGGGTTTTTTAAAGGTACAATTAACAGTATAATTAAAAAAAAATGTCAAACACACACCTCTGAGGCCTTCTAACTTTATTGTGCTTGCCTGTCAGAGAGGCCTACTATTACAGAACTAGTTAAGTGACTTTCAAAGGTAGTTTATCTTTGGATTATTAGAGCAAATGCAGCTGAACAGAAGGTTCTCCATAGATTTTAGTTTTGGGGGTTTTTTTTGTAGAACATTCAGAAAATTTGAAAACCATATATATATTTAGCATCTACTATCTTTCATATTAAATACCAAAAGTAAAATAGATTTTTGGGGTTATAATGTGTCATAGTGTGAAAAAAAGACCACAGGCTGTAATAGATTTCACAGAGGGCACCTTCTCTGGTACAATTTTTAATTACTTGAACCCTCAGGTCCACGTAAACCCAAGTCAGTCTGTCCTGGTGCTGGAGGGAGATGACATCGAGAGCTTCAACCGGGCTGTTCAGCAGGTCACTTACAGGAATTCGCTGCGCTTCGCCACCCCTGGAGTCCGTCCCCTCAAGCTCACCACTTCCCTCAGGTAAACATACGCATTAATGAATAAAAACTTTATCTGAAACTTAAACAAACTGCAGAGAATTTTTAGAGGGACATATTTCCCCTTTAAGAAAAAGGGAGAGTAGAGGGCAAATTGGTCCACAAACTAAGCATGTCTCTTGATTTTTGAAAAGAAAACATTTGTTTCTGGGAAGCTCTTAAAACTGGATTATTTTTTTTTTACATATAAAGCTGTAAGGATTTACTTGCAGTAAGAAAGCAAAGCATCAAATATAGTTTACTACTATTAAAAGCACATGAGGCAGACAGACTCTAAACAAGCAGGTCCATGGTGTTTAGAAACAGTATGTAGACACAAATTAAAAGGGCAAGACACCAACATGATTATAAGACTCATTTAATGAAGAGGTTATAAAGCTGAAATTTAGACTTTTCAATGTTTTAGGTCAGTTCGGATAACTCAAATTATTTCTACCCTCTAAATGTCAAAATAATGATAAAGCAGCGCCTCAAACACCACATTCCTTTGTGGCGTGAAAAAGACAGTCAAGTCGAGAGTGCTGGAGATAAAAGTGTCTCAAATCCTGAACAAAAGAAAAAGATCCAACTGAAGCTGGTGAGAGGGTGTCCTTTAAAAAAAAAAATAATAATCCTATGTCAATATGAACCAAAAAAACGACTAAGGAAGAGAGAAGCCACTTTTCCAAAACTACCGTTTCATACTCTGGTTATGTTTTGCCATTGCAGTCTTAGTAAAATACTTTACTGAAAGACATATCCTGTGGTCCTTTAAACCTAAGAATAAATATTTACCAGAAAAGTTACAGAACATACTTGAATTAAAAGAGGAGGACTGCAGACGCAGGTTGGATTTTGAACCCAGGTCTGGTCGGTTAAAATAATTGTGTTTTTCTGTTGCTGGTGTTAAACCATGGAATAATCAAAGGGTTACCCTGAAAAGATGCCAAATTTGTTTCTATGAACTGGAAGATGAAGGGAATTGATGATTTATACTTGTATTTAATTATTATTCCCTTCCTTCTATGTTAGTGATCTGGTGTACTTTTATTTGTACCTTGTTGGTAACTATTAGAAATATTTTTACAGACCTTTTCATTTGTAATGTATAATAGTGATATCATACTGATAAAATTATATTGTAATAATTGTAGTTATGTAGACAAGGAAAGAAATAAAGAAAAATCAGGGCTAAGTCTAAGTGTTTGGTCTTAAAAACCATCATAAATATGAAAAAAGTGAAAGCTTTATAAAGTTAAGATGATTATAACGTCAAGCTTCAAGCTTATGGTGTTTTTTTCCATCTAATGATTTAAAGATCCCAGGGATTCAAGGGCATCAAGAGATCCCCCCCCTGCTTTCTGCTCCAGAGGAGTACTTTTTTTCTTCAATTTGCCACATTTTATTACGTGTGCGAAGATTAGACTGATTTGAGCCCAGGAGTCACCCAGATGGCTGAACAGCAGGCCCTTCTGGAGAGGCCTATAGAAGCAGCTGCTAACTCTGATAGTGGATATAAGGCACACAGACTCACACCACTTAATCAGCTTAATACCCTTTCACATATGATGGGGAATTTTAGGGAAAATGGGTAAATAAACTGTAGAAATAGGCCATTGATTTTAACATTTATTTTGTATTTTTGCAGGAAATTTCCATTTATAACGTTGTGGTTGCATTTGTTAGTTTTATTCTCACGGTGGAAAACATACCAGGCATATAGTTTTTTTTTTTTTTTTCATATCTGATTTCAGTTTTGCTTGTTTGTTTGCTTTCTGCAGTGGTGCTGCTTTGAGTTTAAATCCCAACCTCAACTTGACAGTGTTGAGCCAGTATAATATATATTTATACTGTTAAACTGTTTTTATTTAGCATGTCACAGGCTGTTTAAAGATGTTGGCGCATGTGGGAAGAGGAGGAGTGAGCTGTCGGGAAAGCTTGCCTGAAGTCATGTTCAACATTGGTTTGATCTCCTCCTCATAAGCCTTTGGGCTTTAAAAAAAAAAAAAAATTGACATTGTGGTTTAATTTTGAGGGGAAACAAATTGTTTTTCCCTTATTGACAGATCTTTAGAAGCTTTTGATAAAAAAGGAAAAAATAAATAAATGGTTTGTTTTTTTGCTTCTTTTACAAATAAATTCTTAATTAAAGGATAAATACACTATCACACTGTGGGGTTATCTGTCCTGGGTTTCTGTTTTGTACGACAGTTTAACTCAGTCGCACTGGCTAATAAAAATCTAATCAGTCTCCATAGCATACATTTAAAAACAAATGATGGAGTTAACTACTCAGTTTGATTTTTGAGTTGCATTTAGTTGCATTTACAAAAAAAAAAAAAAAAAAAGGAGATATCTTACATTCTGTTAAAGGTATTGTTGGTACATTTTTTTAAAAGACCCGCCCTCTCCACTTTTTAAAAAAAATGCACATGCACAACCCTGTAGATTTACAGTTTTTCGACTATGTCATACTCACGACCGGTAAGTGAAAATGGGGACGAGCACGTAGGACAGCCTTATGTAAATATATCACCAGAATGACTGACAATTAGGAGGACCACTTATTTTGATGATCAACTCGGTAAAAGAACATCCTCCCCTATACCTGTGAGGGTAACAATAATTTACATAACTGGATCAATTGTCTTCTAAAGCACATTGACATAATGTTTATAAATATCTCAAATTAAATGAAATCTACTCTTCATTATATTAAAAAAAAACTTAAAAAACATGTAGTAGGGATGTCCTGATACAACGTTTTAATTTCCTATATAATTCTGATGTTGGATCTTTGAGCATTGACTGATACTGACATTGACCCAATACAACATCAGCATGACTTATACATACTTTTATTACCTATTTTGTAGTGTGTAATGATAGAAAAGTCTTGATCAAATGACATTTAATAAGTAGAGAACAATTCTCAACAACATCAGGTATGAAAACAACTGACCCATTCCTTACACAAAGTATATAGAAGTACTTTCTAATATTAGAGATTTTTTAAGGCAGATCAGTATATTCCGATATTTATTTTTTTGGCTGACCGATTCCCAGTATCAATATGAGATCAGGATTCCCCTACATGCAGCATTAATTAAGTGTTTACTTGCTATAGATGAGCACTACAGAAAAAAGATACCTACTATTTGTTAAAAAACATTTAATAACGTATTAATGTTCTATTTTTTATATTAGATTTAAAGAAAATTAAGAATTGTTTCATGGTTTGATTGTTAGAAGGGTCTGTTTCAGATTGACTTCACTTATTTCAATCTAAGAGGAGAAAAAAAAAAAAAGAGGAAGCGAAACATTTCAGAGTCACCCAGTCAATCCACCAAAGTAAAATATGAGTTTGAGAGTTTTTTTCTTTCTGTAATTCTCTTTCAGGTGCTTCAATGAGGAAAGCTGCCTTTCCCTGAAACAGCTGGAGGGTTACCTGGTTGTTCTTCAACCTGATGCCCCCCAGATCTCTCTTTCTGGGGTTGGTCCACATCTGGCCCGTCCGGCCCCTGAGTTTGAAGGACCCCGCGGCGTTCCCCTTTTCCCTGAGCTCCGGATCGTTTGTTCACTGTCACACGCTGTCAACACGGCTGCACAGGGGATGGAAGGCGGGGGTGAGTTAACCCTTTCTAGAGATAAAACAGGAAGATTTTTGTTCAATTTTCTTGCAACCTCTTTCAACTTTGGTAAAAGCAGGAATTTTTATGTTTGTCTTTTACTATTCTGCATTGCCTTTCAGCTCTGATGTCTGATGCTGTGGCTCACACTTTGGATGGATGTGAGGTGCAACCCCTGGGAGAGGAACTGAATCCAGAGAGGGAGGAGCTTCTGGTAGACATGGATGTTGTGCGAGAACGAGGACTGGAAATCATCAATACTACTGCTTACATCGCAATTACAGGTACTGCTGCCCTCTAATGCCTTTTATAGGAGATATAAAGAGAAATCTAGTGCATCTTTAAACATTCTGGACTTTCTTTAGGGCTTTAAAGTGTATTTTTGTTATGCTTCCTCTACCTCACCTAAAGAGAAGAAAAAGAATAACTAAGGCTGGCCCTATTAAACATTATTTGGAAATCTTCAAGAAACAATTAAATCAAGTGTAGGAGGGAAAAAGCAGCCAAAGTCACTGAAAACAGACCTTCAGAATGCCTGCAAACATATTGTCTTGTTTAAGATATACATTATATATAATATTTATAATATAATATATATATATATATATATATATATATATATATATATATATATATATATATATATATATATATATATATATATATATATATATATATATATATATATATATAAAAAGAAGCAAATTTAATTTTTTTATTAAATTTATTTTATCAGTATTATAGATGGGCAGTGATAACAATTTAACAGCAATTTAAAAATAACTGAAGTAAGCATGTTATTATGTAAAGGTAATTCTATTTATCACTAAATAGAAAGAAATATATTTATATTGCTGCCCAACAGGGCTAAGAATTTCTAGCCTGACGTAGTCCGACTCAATTCTAGTCAGAATATGAGTCTGATACTGCTCCATAGAGCTGTGATTATGGGGCGTGTTTCGAACGAACCAGGAAAAAAATGCCTCTGCACTCAATTGGATGGACCTACAACCAATAAGAGCAACGGAGTGCGTGACTTATGTTAAGCGACGCATAGTTGTTGTCAACAAAAATCAAAGCGTGCAGTTGCACGCCTATAATAAGAAGATGAGACTTGATCACGTTTCTCTGTTCCTCTTTTAAAATTAATTTGCTGTCGATATCTTCTAGAACAGACCTAATAGCAGAATCTACTCACCTCAACTCTCCGGCGGCAGCCATTATTGTTGTCACCCAAGCGCGCTTTGGTCACGTGGTTGATTACGTTACTGTTGGTCATCTGTCCATCCTCGTATAAAGCCCGCCCTGACAATTTGATTGGATCGCCTGACAGTGGGCGATAATACTCGCGCTACTATGGAGCAGAGCCAGAGCGAACTTCCCGACCTCAAACTTTGTGTGCGGGACTAAGTTCGGAATGGCACCCAGGCTAAAGAATGTCACCAAATACCAACTGCAATAACAGCGAAGGTCAGATTTAGCTACAATGCCCTGCTTATCCCTTGATTATTACCTATTTCTAGGTTACAACAAAGACATCATTTGGATTTTATGTCATGCAGTGGAAACAGATATATCTGCATAATTATGAAGTATAAAAAAATGTGGGTTTTTTTTGTGTTAAATGTATTGACAAGTCTGAAAATCATGGTGTGCATTTGAATTCAAGCACCTGTAGAAGGCCCATTTTGTGCGCCCTTTTTTCCTATTCACCATGTCTAGCTTTTGGATATTTTCTTTTTTTTCCCCCATGATTTTGTGCAAAATTGTTCAAGCTCAGTCTGCCTGGGTGGAGAGCATCTGGAAGCATAATTTCTTTAAACACATCCGTTCATTAGTAGCATTCTTGAGAACGTAGCTGATTCAGCTTGTTTCTCCTTCTTATATGGGGACATTTAGAGTTGTATTATGGGAACTGTTGTGCTGAATCTGACAGATTCATGATGCTTGTCAAAACTGTAATTACAGCCTTCTGAAACAGAACTCAGCTCTCCATTATAAAACCCAAACTATATGTAGGTGTTAAGATTAGCATGCGCCACACAGAGTTCACATTAAAAAATAGCATATGTTTGTTAAACTCCATGTCTGTGTCCGAACGTCCCTCAAAAACTAAATAGAGGGGGGACTATTTAGTGGACTTTATAGTGAACACAGTTAACTGATCATTTGGACAGATGAACACTACTTTTCTTTCCCCATTGGTCACATAACTCCGCCTCTCTGCACGGTGCCTCTACCATCTTTGTTATTTGTTGCCTCCACAACAAATCCCATAATGCTTCTGGAGGAGAGCTCTTGCAAAGCAATCTGGGATATATCTGCTTGTCCAGTGACCATGGATGATCACTGCTTTTCAAGGTGCATTGTGGGAAATTTTGAGTACACTTCTTTTTCCTCCAGACATTCCTAGACATTTGGATAAACATCTAAACTGGGGTAATCACTATATAGTAACCTATATAGTGATTAGGGTGGACATTCGGACACAGCCTATGAGGTGGGCTGTGCCTGTGCAGTTTGTCACCCAAAGGACTGTGGGCAACCGTATAGCTCCTTTGCAGCAGATGAGAACATCGGGAGGTCCCCATGGAAATTAAACTATCAATAGGAACATCTTGCTTCCTCCTCCTACCTCCTTCCTTATTGCCAGACCTATTCAGATAGCATTTATCATGACGCACATCTGCTTTGGCTTAATGATTCTTACAAATATACTTGATTTGGAGGGAGCCCTTGACATTCTGAGTAGGTAATTCGGCCACTGGGTTCAGGTGGTTTAGGCCAGGGACATATCTAAGAGTTTCAAGACACTGGACCTTCAGACCCCAGATTTATTCATTGAAACTTTTTTTTGTTTTTTTTTTGTCTCGGTCAAATGTGAACCTCCACACGTTGTCTCAAGACTTTCACAGGCTCTAGCAAGTTTTCATGTATTTAGCTCCCTTCCACTCCTGGCTCTACAGACAAAAAAGCATTCCCACAGCATGATTAGCCCCCCACCTTGTTTCACCTCGTTTGCAGGTGATGCAATGAGACCAAAGGTTGCTAAATACCACACCACACAAAATACATGTACATTATAGTATTTTGATGCAACGTCACAATTGGCAAAACAGCTCAGGTTGCATGAATACTTTCCCCAGGCTGTGATGTGACTGCCTCTATCTATATTTTCTTAGCGTTGCCCTCTTCTTTTCTCCTCCAGGTGCTGAATCCATCTCTGTTTACGAGGACGTCCTCCGCTCCGTCCGATACCGCCTGGCCAAAGGCTCTGCTCGCTTCGAGAGGCGGTTCCGCCTGTCATGCTCTGAGATGAATGGCAGATACACAAGCAATGAGTTGACTCTGGAGGTAACGAGAAACTTGGCTCAAACAACATTCATTAAAGCCTTCAGACCTTAGCCCTGACCTTTAGAAACACTGTTTGCAACAAAAGCTGGAAATCTGAGTCTAGATGAGAAGAGTTATAATGAATCTACTTTATTACCGTAGCTGTGTAGCTTTTTTAATTATAAAGTTTCTAATGTGTTTTTTAAATTTTTTTATTTATATTACTTTTCCTGCAGGTGAACTTCCTCCATTCTTTGGACAGTCTATACCAACCTTCCCACCTGCTGGCCTCACAGCAGCAGTTTCTCCATCCATCTCATCATTCTGGAGAGCTGAGTGGGCACACCTTGCCAAACCCACATCGCAACTCAGGTAGTCACCTTAAAAAACTATTCTCTAGCTAATTTCTTACCTGAAAACACCCCTTAAAGCTTTCATTAACATACCAAAGATTTTTTTTTTACAGTGAAAGCATGATTAAACTGGAATTGCGTACGGTATTTACTTTTAAAACTAAATACAAATTGCTTAAAAGTGTTTCTTTAGTTACAATTGTGATTGATCTTGTTTTACATGACTAATGCCAAAAAACTGCATCTCCTGAAAGATTCGAGAATAGACTGGGCCTCCATGTAGGCCAGTGTGACTTTGAGTGCATCACAGAGGCTTGTAGTAAGCAGCCATGGTCTCTGAGCTGAATACCAAACAGTGAAACCCAAACTGATGTTCAACTCGGTCCTGAAGGTAGATTTTGTCAGAGGGTGAACAGGTGAGCAGGCAGGTTGGCAGGAAGGCTTACTGATGATGGACCGATCACAGCTCGCTCCACTAGTTCAGCACTTAAACAGTTACAGCTGCCACAAAAAAACGTAAGATTTGCTGGAATTTATAGAAACATGCAGTGAAATACTGAGCAGGTTTTAACTGCTGTGAAGCATACAGTATACTAGCTGAACCGAAGGGTAGAGGAGCGTCAAATGAGGAATGCTACAGTGGTTTGCTTTCCTTGGATTTTTTTATGTGGAAACAGAGGAAAAAGACACAGGCACACCCACACAAGCATATTGCGGGTGTGCATGATAGTGTGTTTCTCTATCCTCGTGGGGACATTCAATTGACTTCCATTGATTTATAACACATTCTTACAGCCTAACAGTGATTCTTAAACTAACCATTATGAGTTCATACTTAACCATAATCCTAACCTAAACTCAATTCACACCTTAGTCCTAAATCTAACACCTAAGCCTAAAAAAAGCATATGTAACCACGGGGACCACACATTGATCCCCGCTAGAGCACACAGTCCCCAAAATGTGCTAAGATTTATGGAAAATGGTCCCCACCATGTAATAAACACACACACACACCGGCCCACACATATGTTTTTAAATGGTGTAACAAAACTTTTAAATATCAACCCTGCATTATTAAATACAGTAGGATTATGATGCTGATTAACATTCATCGTCTCCCTTATATTATATATTATATTAACACTAAGCCAAGCTGCTACAGTCTTTGGGGTGGGGTATATATAGTGACATATACACCCCACGCCTGAATCGCAGCTACTCAGATTTTGCTGCAATGACCCACAAATATTACCTAATCTTATGCTACATGACACGTATGCACTGTCTGCACTAATGATTCACTCACCCGAGTGGCTCCAAGGTTTAATAGATATCTTTTATTTAAAGGCTGTTTTCAGCCTTCTTTTTTCAGGCACATTTTCATGTTTTATAAATGGAAGGCAGTATCAATTTTGCCTGAGAGTAGTAACATATTAATTATGCTCATTTCATTTAATTCAGAAGAACTAATCAGCTGATCTGAAGCGAGATACAAGAAAATGTGCCCTAATTTTAATGATATTTCAGGTAGTTTTTGAACATCCGATGACCAAGTCTATAAATAACACTTAAAGCAAAACCAAATTGGCTCCTTCAATCAGTAGTTTTTTTCTATTTTAATGTCTGATTCATATAAAGCACTTTGAATTGTCCATGTACTGAATTGTGCTTTACACATAAACTTGCCTTGCCTTGAGTCACCAGGATATTAATGCATCTGAATTAGAGTAGCACAGAAATAGAAACCTTTATCCTGTGAGTTCGCTGGCAGGACCTGCATTTGTTTGTGCTAAAATGTTGATAACAGCTCAAGGATTTAGAAGGTGCCATTGAAAAAAACATTGGATTTGTATAGAGCAAAATTCATTCAGGTAATGGGAACCTTTAAAGCAGCAGGAAACGTTTTCTGCAATTCTTTTGCTCACTGTAGTGATAATTCATTTTTTTCTGTTTGTTTTAAATGTTTTGTACTGCTGCCAATGTTATCGTAACACCTTGAAGGTTTTTTTCACATTTTATCACATTATAAAAACATACAATTTGATTTTTTCATGCAATATACCATCAAAAATTTTTATAATTTTGAAGGAAAAGAAAAAACATTGAAACTGTGGTATGAGGTTGCTTTTGTCACCCTTGTTTTTGGTGGTTTTTATCTTTTGCTCTAAGTACAGCCACAAGAGGTTAGGGGGTATGTCTCTAAACTTTGTATATGTAGCTTGTTTTGTTGTTGTTGTTGTTTTCCTTAGAAGGAATCCTTAGGATTGGATGGAGAGTTGTTAATGATGTCAGTTTTTGAAGCTACATTTGTCATTTGATTGAGGCCCAGAACATTTTAAACAAGTGGATATAGTTGTCATGCTGGGAGCTGAATCTGAGCAGAGGATCTCTGAAGCTTCCTTTTAAATGTTCTTTTTTTTATATGATCTGCAACACAAGCCCTAACAAATAGATGCATTTATTTATTATCCTCTGTTATTATTATTATCCTGTGCTGATTTGTCTAGTGCATTAATTATATTCTTCCATGCAACTCCCCACGTTAGGTTGAAAGGAAATATATGCCATATTGTTTCATTGCGGAAATCAATAAAAATATCAAAGTTATTAGTAAGGTAATGTAAGTGGGGCACTAAGCCTGTACCCCATTCTTTCCAATTGAATCAAATGATGAATTAATTGGTTACTTATTGATGTTTAAATCTTGGGAAATCATTTTATTACCAAATCCTACTTTCAACATTTCACATCTCTGACTCCTCTGCTTTACTCTTCAAGATGCTGGTTGTTTATCAGTTTTCCCAAACAAATCTCTACTCAAATGCTAATTAGGGGACTAAAGGCTGCATTGTTTTTTTGTTTGTTTGTTTTCTTTATGGCATCTGAGCAAATGGGCTGAGTGAAATTTCACACCACACTTTTCAGATATTTGTGAAGAATTTTACTAAAAGCCTGTGTGGTTTTCCTATGACTCTCTTAGCAAGGCATTTTTAACTGTTGCTCTGCTCCATTGCAGTTGTTCCAGGAGCAGCCACTGTCATTATTATGGTCTGCGTGGGTTTCCTGGTTGTCATGGTGATCCTTGGCGTCTTCCGAATTCGCTCCATCCATCGCCGAGGTGAAGGCGCCAGGGGCGGGGCTAAGGAGGGCAGCAGCCAATGGGACGACTCAGCACTCACCATTATTGTCAACCCAATGGAGGTAGAGACGGGTTCCTTCGATGTTTAGAAATTTATTTTGGTTTTAATCCTCACTGTCTTTGTATTTTTTTTTTAACAGTCCTATGAGTCTCGTATGGGTGTTTCTGCCGACACGGAGGGAGAGGGAGAGGAGGAGGAGGAAGAAGAGGTAGCGGAATCCCCTGATGAGGCGAGCGACGACCAGCGGATCATCATCAAGAAAGAGGGCAGAGACGGAAACGCCCGTCGCTACTGAGCCGCACTGTATCTCTCCATAAATCAGCTCCCCAGTCATACACTCCGACACTTTTAATATCAAACTGACGGCACTAGTATAAGGAATGTATGCTTACAAACACTTCGCACAACACAATCACCGTAATACTCTTGACGCTCAAATGCCATATGTGACCTATAGCCGACAACAGGCTGTTGTTCTCCACCTAAATGTTCAATGGCACAATGTATACAGTTAATGTAATTTACCCGCCTAAATAAACCCCACCAGAATCGTATGTGGTGCACTAGTTCTAAATCCCAAAATGGTGTCTGTATAGTGTAATGCTGGTTGAAAGGGACTGTTTTATTATAAAGAAAAATATTGATTGTATTCTATCCTTCACTGAATGAAAAGAATGAAGCAAAATGTCAGCGGGAACAAGGCTCTGAGTCGATTCCTAAGCAAAGACACAATCCTTGATCCTGACACATCTTTTAACCTCTTTATTAGACTCAAAAAGTCTGTGCACAAGCTCTCTTCTCCCTTTTTGTGTCATCTATTCTATACACCGAGTGAAGGTTAGACATTATGCTTGGTAACATAAATATCCAAAAAAAAAAAAAAAACCACCTCTATCTCCTTGCAGTTTTATTTCCATTCATGTTATAAAGTGGATCTGAAAGTTGCAAACATCCCCTTTTAAAAAAGTGTATTCAAACCCTTTTCTACCATTGTCCTAAAATAAAACTAAAATAACAAACAAGGTAATTAAAAGTACAACAAAGTGAGAGATGTGTAATAACCTGGTTGGATAAGGGGTTCACTCCCTTATCTAATAAATTTTCGAATTTATTTATTTTATTTTATTTTTCTAATTTGATGTCAAAATTAAGTCAGTCGTATCTTGAGGCACCTAAAGATTTTGCTGACAAACATCTAAAACTGGTTGGAAAACAATTCCATCTGGAAAAAGCTCTGCTTGATTATAAATAGCCCCTCCACCATGCTGCCACCACCATGTCTCACTGTGGTTTTGGTGTTTCTTTGCCGTTGCACAGTACCAAAAAAATAAAATAAAAGTTTTAACCCCATATATTAAACAATACATTTATACAATTAGATGCTTTTAAAACTTTTTACAAACTAACGTTTCATTTGTATCCAAGGGAAGCACATAAAATCTCTCTATGACAGCTGAGCTTTATTTCTTATTTACCATCAATAACAGGTAGAGAAGAAATGTTGAAATTGAAGTGAAATGTTGCTCAACAAAGTGTTTTTTTCAGGGTTCATGAAAGTAACCAGGTTGTCGCAGCTTCTTAGTTTTCCTTGATTTTAGTCATTTACAAAATAAACAACACAGTAAAAATGTAGATAAAGAATGGGAATAATCAGGGTCCTAAAAACTTGGCTATTTTCAAGGGGATGAACACCTTTGAGATCCAATTTAAGACTGATTTACTTTGCAGTATTCTGTCTGGAGCTCCAGATAACCAACCACAGACCTCAGCCTTTCACACAAGCGCTACTTCTGCAATACTCCAAAATAAAAGCCTTGAAGTGTCGTGTGGACACTTACAAATCAGAGTCATCAAGGATTCACCCTTGAACGGGAGTCCTCACACCATTGCAATTTGTACTAGAGAATAAGAAATCAGCACCTTGACCTCTCTGACCTCCCTATAAATGACTCGTCATCGTTTTGCTCGCTAGACACGACGACACTCTAGTGCAAACACACACAAACACATGCAAACACCATCTATAACCCCACACCTCCCATGCTGTTTCCAGAATGTCCGCTCAGCTAGGGCAGTTTTGATTGTATTGATTGTAATGAATTTTTCTGTACATACAACAATGACTATTGCGATATTATTGTTATTGCTATTGTTCTTATTATCGCATTCACTCTTTCTCTTTTTCTGCACATTTCTGAGAGGGAGCAGATTATGATTTATTTTTCCATACAAGGAATCACCTTTCCAGAATCAGAAAATAGTATAATGTTGATACCTATAATAAAGAGTAGTATTAGTGATAAGGATGATCATCTCTGGCTTGATGAGTGTATCCTAATTTGTGTGTAATATTGTTGTAACTTAAGAATTTGCCATTATACGTCACCAAAATAAGGAGGGCACATTGTTGTGGAGCTTCAACCTGTCGAGCTCGTTTACTTCCATCTTGGGGGGGTGGGTTGTTTTCTTCAACATTTCAAAATAAAATGCTTTTTTTTTTTTTTTATGTTTCTGTTTCCTTCCTTCTCCATCTGTCATCTTTGGTTCAGTGAACGTACAACTGTGTGCTTCTCCTCACCTTTCCCTTCCTCCAACCTCCCAGCTTTTCTCCCCCAATCTCTCCCTCTGTGTCTCTTGCTGTCTGTCTGTGAAGCCTATTAATGTGCAGTGCTATAAGGCTCTCAGTGAAAAAATAAAGCCTGTTGTTTTGAGTGTCACCTCAAGAAGGAATAAAAATTGCATTGGTTAAAAACTTATATTATTACTACATTACTATTTGAACATTACCTGTAATTAATGATACCATGCTGACATGGATTATGCTGAGTAATTGTTATTGAGAAGTGTCAGAAAACATTGCAAAATTCATAATAAAAACACTATATGACGTCTCCATGAGAAAGTGTTACTTTTTAATCTAAGGGTCTCTTTAAAAAAAACTTATTGTCATGTCCTCCACTTTTCTCAAAAAATGAAGCTTTCCAATATTAGCAATAGATAAAGAATTAAGACCACCCATGGCTTAGTTTTTGCTTTAGCGACAACAACATTTTCTTTATGATTTTAACCATCTGTCACATGATATTTAGGAGCTGAGTTGCACTATTCTTACCAACATTGCTTTAGTTCACTAAGGTCTCCAGGCCTTCATTTATCTAACGCTCTCCTAAATTCCCACAGCAGTGTCTTGGTCAGGTTGAAACCTGGAATTTCATTAATGGCTTTTCTCTTAATTTTGTTTTGTTGCTGCATCTTTTAACTATTGTGTTTTAGAAATTCAAACATTATTAAAAAAAATATTTTGTTCCATTCCTTTATATATATTTTGTGTTTTGTTTAACCACTTTTAACAGCAAATGCAGCTGAAAAGTGGTGCTTCTCTACCAGCTATAAACATCTACATAATTAAGTTTATGTCCAATTTTTTGTTGCAACATAACTTAACATTAATATATTAGGTGAGGCTTCTATGAAAAACGGTTTAGAATTTTAGCCAAAGGTTCTCAAATGGTCTTCACTTGTACTAGACCATTCTAATACATGAATGTGCTTTCATCTAAACCAGAGGTCAAGGATTAGTGGACCACGGTCCGAATCCAGACCCACCTTCTTGCTAATCTGGACCCAACCTGATTTAAAACATTTATAAATTACTGCATGTTGTCCAATGACAGTGTCTAAACGTCACTTGCGCTGGTTCTCCTGTTAATATGGTAAAGCCCTCCAGAGCGTCCGGCACCAGGCTGCACCTGATACAAATTAGACAATGAGCTGTGTCAGTCAGAGTCTCTGCTGCAAGCTACACAACAGGCAAACCTATGGCAAGCTAGACAATGGGAAAGAAGGGGAAGATGATTAGAAAAAGAGAGCAGAGAAAGTGCAGACCGCTGGAAGATGCGCAGTGAACTGGTGAAAGAAAAGGGAAATGGCGTGCTCAAAGATGACCCTGCACATTTTGAGTATGTTTGGTTCAACCTACTGCTGTGAAGCAGGATTTTCCACCATGAACATAATCAAAAATAAATATGGATCCAGGCTCAAAATTGATATGTGCTTGAGAATGGCTTTGTTGCCATTCAAACCCAGGTTTAAAGCCTTGCAGAGCAGAATAAAGCCCACTGCTCTCATTAAGCTATAAATAAGAAAGAAAGAAAGAAAAAACAGTCAATTCAGGTGTTTTATAAAAAAAAAGGGAGTCAGGAAATTATCTAAAATGGTAAAACATTCTTTTTTTATATTTTATTTATAAATTCAATGTATAACTTGAATGCATAAACACCTGCATTTTATTTCAGTGTTAAATGCTGTTTAAAGTAGCGGATTATAATTAAACCTTTCTCCAGACCTTTACTGGTTGTTGATTTCTTTAATCGAACCCCAGTGAGATTTAATTGGTTACCCTTGATCCAAAGCATTCCATGTAGCTCTGGCTGCATGTTCGAGGGCATTATCTCCTAGAGAATTAAGTTCCACCACAGTGTAAAGCAATGGTAGAATTTGTGTATTTCCCTCCATCAATCTTTCCGTTACTTAACTCTAACCAGCTGCTATGTGTCTACTGAAGAAAGCCATCTCCACAGCATTATCTGGCCTCCATATGTATAACTTCTCATGGCATTTTTCAACAGCAGCTTTCTTTTTGCCACTTCCTCATGCAGGACATTTTTCTGTTTGTTTTAGAAAGCATAGCTAACAAGCATCCTGTCAAAGGATTTTGCAACCTGAGATGTGAGTGTCTGCTGTTTCTTATAAAGCAGTGATTCCCAACCAGGGGTACTCATACTGAGCTGCTTAGTGGAGTAGTGGGTAGCACAGCCTTGTAGCAAGAAGGTTCCAGGTTCGATTCTTTCTGCAAGGAGTTTGCATGCGCTCTCTGAGCATGTGTGGGTTCTCTCCGGGTACTCTGGCTTCCTCTCACAGGAACTCCAACTGGCTAATTTCTCCTTATGTGTGAGTTTTGGCGTGAATGGTTGTTTGTCCTGTTTCTCTCTGTGTTGCCCTATAATGGACTGGTGACCTGTCCAGAGTGTACCCCACCTCTCTCCTGCAGACAGCAGACACCCCTCACGACCCCACTTGGTAGAAGCGGGACAGAAAAAATTGGTACTCATACCCCTACTGGTCTGTGAGTGCATTTCAATATTTTATTTCTAACGTAGTAATATAAAAATAGGGATGGGATCTGTTTTGCTTTGTGAGGATGTAATTTCAAAACAAAACAAGCTTTTATCAACCAAAAAGAAGGTTTTTCTTATATGATTGAGTTCCCCTTCAGCTTTGACACACATCCGAACCAAGCAGAGGAACAGACTGGATGTAGAGAACAGCCTGGAATTGGCTGTTTTTCACACTAAGCTTTCGTGGGTTCAGGTGTTGATGAAGCAAAACTAATAAAGTCCGTCTGACTATAATTTTGGTTCCCAATTCATCAAGTTTAAATGTGATTATAAGGGAGTTACTCAGAGGAGCTCCAGTTTTATAAATACAGGTGTATAATATGATTTTATCTTGTATTTCTTTTAATTCCTTACTAACTTCCAGGCAACATATTCATATTTATGTTTTTTTTTTTTTTTTTTGCGATGGAATTATGCAATGCTTTAGAATAAAATGCCCAAATTAAAAAAATAAGTGAAATAATTTTAATTTTATAAACAATTACTGAATGTCCCATTTTTTGACAATCAGCAAACTTTTGACTGAGAGGGGTACTCATGGTAAGAAAAAATACCCAAAGAGGTACACAAGTCAAAAAATGTAGGGAAACACTGCTATAGAGAACTGGTAACGGTGCCCTTGGTCATATTCTGTAAATTTTCAGTTGTGCAATGCTCTTCATTTTTAAATCATGTATTTACCAGCTCTCTGTGTGAATCTAAAAGCTTGGAATAATTCTTATAACCATATCCTACTTTTGTTTTCTTGTACTTCTATTTGGTTAATTGTGAAACAATTCAAATAGAATACATCAAGGGTTTTTGCTTTAATGTAAAAAGTCAAACAATGATAAAAGCTTTAATAAGGCAAATTAAAATGAATACTTACTTAACTGAGAATATTTCAGTAAAAAAAAAAAAACATCACATATAGACTGTTTCAACATGAAAAAAAATCAGATTCAACGTTTATCCCCTCACTACCTGTTTTATTACATAGCATCTGGTTTCACTAAAATGCTGATTTTTATGGGGAATGCATGTCTTCCTATCCATCTGGGATAAGTAAACACCCATACAGACAACATGTTGATATTTCAACACTAAGTTTATATACATTTAATTTATTTTATGCCATAATTTGTGTTGGGGCATTATGATCTTGTTGTATTGTCCCAAGCCAATGTGTTCTAATACTTTAAACATTTAACAGAGGTTTGATTTTTTTTTGACAATCAAGTTCTGAATCTATATAAAACTAACTAAATATTTTCCAACATCAAAAGGTAAAACTAAACTATTACTGAACCCATCAAAAATATCTTAAGAAAGTATAAAAAAAAACATTTCAAAGTCGAGGTTTAAAATTATTGTTAACATTTTAGCTGTTTGAATCATTAACCGAATAGCTGAGAAATATTTAATAAGTTATTAATTTGGTTCAGTCCTAATTAATCCTAATTTACTTGCAGTAAAAATACATAAAACTACTTATTTATAATTTATTTTCTCAAACCATTTTTTTTTTCAGTTTTCAGAACTTCCACTGTGTTGAGAAAGCAGCATATAAAAGTACAAAGCTCCCATCTGCTCAAGCTTTTTCTCAAAAATATTTTATCTTCTCTAATTACCTACTCAAACACTTTGTTAATTAATTAAAAAAAGAAGCTGTAGTTTTACTTTTTATGGGTTACCCTTTTCTACCACACTTTTTCCTTCCACTTAACTTACCATGAATACTAGAATACCAGAAATGGCCATTACCTTATTTTTTTTTTTTTTTTTTTTTTATTGGTGTAAAGCTTTCATATAATTTTCTTAGACATTATCAACACTAAAATCACCATAATTTAATTATTTTATGCAATAACCGCCACTTCCGATAGGCTCTCCATGTGTTTTTGTGTCTGTGCTCGTTTGAGGACTTTGTTCCATTCAGCACATATTTTACGTAAACGTACGTCTTTTTTATGCCCAGCGTCCTCTGACACGCTCTTACGTAAACGTTTGAAGAATACGCTTCATTACGTTAGCAGTGTCTCTCCAGACTCAGTGGGTGAATGGCTTCACAGGTCATGAAGAAGGAAGGTAAATAAAGAAAGGGGCGCTAAAGGTGTCCGACGTTTGCTGGAAGATTTTCTTATTTTAACGGAGTAGAAACAGGAGACGAACAAGGCGTGGATAGATATCCCGGAGCTGAGCTACCGTCGTTGGGCTTCACCCGGAGCTGTCGGCGGTGAGATGAACATCACGTTACCCGCCTGCTTATGCTCCTCTTCGGGGTTAACACTGCAGGAATGATCGATTCTCATGGCCTTCTGTTCTTAGCTCCTTAGCTAACAAAATCGGCCCACACGTATTTATACATTTCTTCATATTATCTTATTTTGCCATGTTTGTTAAGAGTAGGATATATAGAAGTGATACTAACGTTGCTGTTTGGATCCGAAGCTACACTTAGCTTCAGGTAGCACCTTAAATGTGGTTGAATACTGCCAGTTTTGCACCCATTAACATTTCAACATTTAGTTTGCATGAAAAAGTAGGGCATGGAGAACAAAAACTGGAGATTTGCTGTGTATAAACAAGTGTCACTGTGGCCTATCTGTGATAATGTGAGCATTAATATCTTCCTTTAATCCTCTTAGTTTGAGCCTAATCATAATGCAGCAGCTTTGTAAACAGTTGAACTACATTCTACAATGAGAACAATAAAGTGTCTACATGTGGAGTGGCACTCTATGTCATATTAGATGAGTGGAAAAAAAGGGCTTCATGTTTATATAGTTGACAGGGAATTCCAGACAATTCATTGTGGAAATTGAAGCTCAGTTGCCAATATATATATATATATATATATATATATATATATATATATATATATATATGTGTGTGTGTGTGTGTGAATGTATATATATATATATATATATGTGTATATGTGTGTGTGTGTGTGAATGTATATATATATATATATTGCAATATTCTAATCAGTTTGTTTCCGTTCTAAAAAAAAAAACAACATACAATTTTATATATATATATAAATGTGTGTGTATATGTGTGTTTGGATATATCTATGTGTACATGTATATATAATTGTATGTTGTTTGTTTTAGAATGGAAACAAACTGATTAGAATATTGCATTGCAGTTTATTTCCCATCTGTTTAAAGCTACAGTGTGTAATAATTACAGGGATATACAGTCAGAAATGTAATATATTATACATAACTATGTTATTTATCATCATCTACGAGCTCAGCCTCTTAACCTTAATATTTGCGTCGCCTTAGAATTCGTTATTTATAATTACATAGGAGCGGGTCTCGCAGCCATGGAGGCAGACATCTTTGCGCTACGGCAGCGCAGAGCCAACAAACTAGCGATTGCGAGATCGCCCATTACGCTCGAAAGTAACTACGGCAAGTTGGGAGAGATTAACTGAAATCTATATCCTACACAGACTAATGAAATACTATCTGTAAAATTATCTATGTAAACAAACCTCATCACTTGAGAAGGTAGGTGATGTGGACGTCGTGGAAGACATTTTGTCCCGTAACGCTCGCCGTACTGTTGGGGGGGAGAAGCGGTGGGAGGGAGATGTTCATGTTGCTGCGGTCTGCAGTCTGGACGTTAGATGTCGCTGAAAATTACACACTGTAGTTTTAATAACCATACAATTAAAGTGGACAACAATAAGCACCCTCAATTAGAGCTGAAACCATTAACCAGATTAATCGATTATTGAAATAATCGTCAACTATTTCAGTAATTGTTTATCATTAACTGGAGTATAGAAACTGTAAAACATGCCTGTAGCTGACGAGCAAACCCACTTAGAGCAGTAATTTTATCGAAAGTGTAAAAAATTATGTAAACAATTTGCAATAAAGATTGAAAAAAAAATGGCTGTTATGTTAGTAGACTCTTTCCAGAACTCCTCAAGTGGAAAAGTTTTAGTTTCATCTGGTTTATTTCATGAAAAGTCTTCTTTAAGGAACCTTTGGTTATCTGCTTAGTAATCAATCAGAAAAATATAATTGACTGATTAATCGATTTGTAAAATAATCGTTAGTTGCAGCCCTAAAAACAATAACAGATATGAGAAGATTTTCTATTGATTTTTTTCAAGCTTTCCTAATTAATGACCCATAAGAGGTAATTAATTGCTTATTTCAGGTGGAGGAGCTAAAGTCATACCATATCTCTGTCTCTGTAGACAGACAAGATGATTGTGGACTCAACACTAAGTCTTTAGTGCCATGTATTAGACATAAAAACAATAATAGAAAAACACAATTCTTATTTTAACTCTGAGATTTTTAACTAACCACTGCCGTTTTAGAATCAAACCATGTTCTTTGACAAACAAACGGATGTAAACATTGCAGACCAAGTTTACTGAGTTGCATTGGGCCTTTCTGTTATCTGTTCAAAGTCTTGCTCTCTTTATCTTGCTATGTTTCCATTATCCCTTTATTTTGCACATTTGGTGTATCGCATGGAAACAGCAGAACTTGCTTTTTTCCTTCAAAATGAAATTTTTTTTTTACTCTCTTTATGGTGGTTTAGACCAGAGAAATCCACACAAGAGGAGATAGAACACATTTATAAAATAGGTTCTGATTTATATATTTACCTCACGTGACTGACCAGCTGTTCCTGCTGCTGCTCCCATTTCTCTCTCTCACCATCCTTGGATGGCGTGCCGTGTAACATTACTAATACTATCTGACCCAATAAAGGAAGTACAGCTTTCCCGATTGCTACACATTCATTAAAAAGCTTGGTCAATTACTAATATGTGATCTGCCTTAGTTTGCTGTTTCTATTTCCTATTAATTACTGAGAAACGTAACATTAACATAAGACGACATTACGACATTATTTACCACGCCTGGTTAACTTCCACCAATAGAAAACATGTTGAATTTGCATTTTTCATTTTGTCAAGATTGTTTAAATTTGTTCAAAATTTGCATTATGTTTGGATTGAGACACGGCCTCTGTCTCTGTTGCAGCCTGAATGAACAGACATAGTGATGTATGTTGTAGAAAACTCTTTCTTTTAAATGTTTTTATGCTTTTTTTTTTTGCTTTATTTTATAAAAAATCACTGACATTCACCCATTAACAGTGTCCTCAGATAAGAACATCTTTTTTTTCTGACCACAACCTGCATTCAGTATGGTTCTTTAACTGATAGAAAGGAGATTTCTCAACCACTTGTTAGAGCCAGAGAAGCTAAATATTGTTTCTTGGTGCACCTCTAATGGAAACGTTTTCTACTATCACGTAAAAACAGTAAAATAAGTTTGAGCTTAGAGGACCATCTCCCTACAATAATAGTCATTGCTTTTGCTGCCTTATCCTTTCTTTAAAATATTGTAGGAGCATTAAAAGCTCAGAATGATCTGATAGCAGCTGAAACAAGCAGCTAATGTCTCCGTGCCTGCCAGGCCTTCGTGTCCTCATTATTAATGCCTCACATAAGGCCAGAGAATGTCATGCAAAACAGCAGATGGGGTTTGATTTGGTTTATGTGACACAAGCCTGTTATTGCAGGGTTTAGACCCTCCAGAGTTACATTAGTCTCTTCTGTCCACTTTGAAAAAAACATAACTTATTGTGTACCTTCTCCTGATGACTCGTAATAATGAGTTCCTGTTCTAAAGATTACCTTATGAATTTCTCAATACTATACTTTATTAGCTGTCTTACAGCCTGATTTTAGAGAAGTGTCAGTCAGATATCAAATTGGCTGGTCTCCATTAAAAATCTCTGCTTTCTGGCTATTAGGTCAAATACAAGAAATCAGAACTTTTTCATTTTACAAAATAAAAAATGTCTCATAACTGAGTATAAGAACGTATCAACCGATAAAATAGACATTAATGCAACATTTTTAATTTATAGAAATCTGACAAAGGTTGGGGGAATGTACTTCCATGTTTAAATTGAACTATACTTATATAAGAAGATTTTTACGAAATTAAACCAGGCAAAACTAAAATGTATCCACTTGAAGAGTTTTGGATAGAGCATATTGACATGCAATTAAACAAAAAAAAGCAAAATGTTTATGTATTTTTTTAAATCATTTTTAAATCACTATGAAAAAATCTCTGTCTGATTGCTCAATATCCCCAGTCAAAATGCCAGTGGAAGTTTGAAAGAGTTCCCAGAAAAAATAATGAGCTTTTAATTGCTATAAGACGGATAAAGACTTTTCAATTAATTCAGGAAGTATCAGTCTTATTTAACTACCCTTCTCTTTAATTGAATAAGAAAAGATAATGTTTTATTTTTGTTTTTTTGAGTGATACCAATTTTTTTCTTTTCTTTATGGTAATTCCCATCTTGCCTCCCATGAGAAAATTGGCTTCTTGGTTGACTAATAATCAATTAGAATATAGTATGAACACTTGTGGGCATAGCAGCTGCAGCAATAGAAACTGCTTGGGAATAAATCAGATGGGGGCACATATGAACAGCAACAAGTGTTTAATGGATGTAAACTGTACTAAGATACAGAAAGAAAACTCTATTTTTTATCATGCTAAAGAAGAAAATTATCACCAAGGAAAAAAAAAAAAAAAAAAAAAAGAAGATGCGAATGAATAAAAACCTCATTATTTCACCAGGTCTAATGATCAGGTTAAATCATTCAAACTCTCTTTTTAGCTTTTAGGAGATCTGGTTAGCCTTGCCTCATCCTTGTGTTGCCATGGCGATGCGGGAGTTGGTGGAGGCAGAATGTGGGGGAGCCAATCCTCTCATGAAGTTGAAGAGTCACATGACCAAAGAGGATGGGGCATGGCGGCACCGCTCAACGCCGACAGTGAGTTGTTTTTTTTATTATTTGATACACAAACTTTGTAATTTACTGTTTCATCATTTGATCACAGTTTATTCAAATAAACTTAATTTATTTTTTATGGCTTCTTTTTCTTCTCCTAGATTCCTCCTACTCCAATTGAAATTGCAACAGAAGAAGAGGTCAGTTTTGATTTAAGCTGAATGCTGTTCTGACTCCAGACAGCGGATTAATTCTGTATTTTATATATATATATATAAATATATATAAATATATATATATATATATATATATATTTCTAGAATTGATATCGTATAATGTCTCCTTTTTTGCTCCAGCTTGTGAGTGAGTTTCTTCAAGCTCCACCTCGACCTCCACACACATTTGACATGGGTCAGCTCTTAGAGGAAATGCAGCAGATTGACCAACAGAGCTACAGACAAGCTCCACAGAGAGGTACTTTTCCATCTTTAACTAAAATAAAGTATATAAAGTAAATAGGTGTGAAATTAAAGCAAACCTTAAGATGCATAACGTTTGCTATTTTTTTTTTACCTCATAGCACCAGATGTGGCAGCGCTGGCCCTCTCAGGCGACTGGGCTGCAGAATTTGTCTCGGGTTCTGACTCGGCTGCCACCAATGCTCTTGGTGAAGCGGTGGATTCTGATTGGACGAGGGAATTTATCGCTGAAGCTGCAGGTAATCTGAGTTTCTGTTGATCTGGGTTTCACTTCAGGACCTCAAGCAACAGTGATGTGCAATTCAGCTTTTTGAGTCGCCATCAGTTTGATATAGGTCTTGTCTTTATGATGGGATCAGAATAAGCATATGTAGCATACTCTGCCTCTTAAACTCTTCAAGTCTGCAAACTTCAGTCTGTTTTATTGGGTCTAATTGTCTGGACTTTACACAGAGTGGAGAAATATGAGGAAACAGATTATGGGTTACTACTAGTTTTTACAAATACAATTTTTAAAAACTCACACATGCATTTATATTAAGGACTTTTTACTATCAGTCTTGCAGCAATAAGGTCCCAGTTGATTCCCAGCCCGGGGTCTTTCTGCATGGAGTTTGCATGTTCTCCCTGTGCATGTGTGGGTTCTTTCCAGGTACTGCGGCTTCCTCAAACAGTCCAAAACATGACTGTTAGGTTAATTGGCTTCTCCAAATTCTCTTTAAGTGTGAGTGTGTGCGTGAATGGTTGTTTGTCCTGTTTATCTCTTTGTAGCCCTGCAGTGGACTGGCAACCTTTGCAAGGTGTACCCCACCTCTTGACCGTAGACAGCTAGAGATGGGCACCAGCACCCCTCTTGACCCCAGTAGGGATAGGCTTGATGGAAAATGGATGGATGGACTTCTTACTCTCTTGAATCTAAATAAAATCTAAATCAGCCAACTGCCTTCAGATGCGATGAAACGTAATAAGTTTATAGTCAACCTGTGTGTAATTTAACATAAATATCATTAAAACCAAGGAAGAAGGACCCAGCACTTCTCAATAATAAAGTTTATTTAAAGCAGGGTTAGTTAAAAAAAACATCTCACTAACTTGGAACACTTCACATAGCACTATTCAAACTTACATTCATACATAGATAGCAATCAAAGAAGCAGTTTAGAGCCACTAATAAACCTAGAGACAAGCTTTGGAGATCCACAGCTCAGCTGTGAGAATCTGTTGGTGAGATCTTGTTTAGCTGTTTTCTTCAAACTGGAATTTAAAGAAGAGCCTCAAAAGCACCTTCCTGTAGTTACAGGATGTCGCCATATATCGTATCAGTCAGAAAGTTCTAAAAAGAAGTTAGTTGAATTGTCCAAACTTTAAAAAAAATCATTTTCAACATTTTATTTCAATTCAATCATTTTATGTGTACCCTGGTTTCAGCCCTTTTCATTGATGTGAATTACCCCCATTTGCCATATGTGGAGATGCTCTTTATAATGTTCTTTGTTTACTTGGTTGTCTATTTTTTCCCCTATAAAGTTCGAAAACAAGCACCAAAATAACGACTGCTCTAACACTAAGCAAACAGCCGTCTGGCCAAAGAGTCGAGCAGCATAACAGACTTTAGACCAGAATAGTATTATTAGTCAATGTGTTTATGAAATGCCGAACATCTTGGATACGATTCCACACTCATTTGATGAGATTTAAAACACAACTCTTCCTAACTTTCTCTCTGTGTCTGTATTTATAAGCAACAGAGGAAGGCATGCCTGAAACTCCTGATCAGTACTGGATAGCAGAACTGTGTGATTGTGGATGGGTCCATCTCAGGGAAAGCCATAATTAAAAGATGTCTCTAATTAGTCAATTTAATACATCAAATAAAATGTAAAAAAAAGAAGAATTAAATTCTAGTGAAAGTATTGGTTTGATTAAAAAGTAGAGCAACATTTTTAAAAATGCTCTGTATAATGTCTGGATTTGATGCCATTTTAATGCCACATTTCCCTTTTTGTCTGCTCCAGATCCGGGACGCTGGGCAGAGGAGTATCTGGAGCAGTCTGAGGAGAAGCTGTGGCTCGGGGACCTTGGAGACAAGGAGACCGAATGGTGAGATTAGAGTATTCTGAGTCCATTCGGACAATACATGGCTTTTCTACAGTGAAAGCTGCAAAACACCTGGAGCTCAAACACCACACATAAAAAGAGAGAGAGGTGCACAGAAAGACTTAACGAGTCCACTGAAATATCATTCATCCAAGTTTTAGCCTTATCTACTTTTTCTTTTTATTATTGTTATTCTGAAACTGTTGCTCTATGAGAAACGTCTTCTGCAAAAGCAATTTAGCCATGAATAAAAGCTGCTGTGGAGGATATGAGCCTTAGCCTTCGTTGGCCTCATTCATCAAACAACAATGCAGTTCTGCCCTCAGCCTGACTCCATTTATTCCAGCTTTCATAACCACAAGAAAATGAAAGTCTTACTTCTCCTGAACCTCCTGCTTGAGTTATGTTGACATGTTTATATATTTTCCTGTTCATCTGACAGGACGAAGGAGTATCAGCCTGGAGATGAACTGAGGCAGACGGCCAATGAGCTCGTTTCAAAGGTTGATGACCCAAAGTTACAAAACACAGAGGTTGGCTGTTTTCAATCTATATATCTTCATCCTTTCTTCAGTGTCTTTTACCATTTCTTTCTTCATTTCTTTTGCATTTTGCTGCATAGATCTTTGTAAATATGTTTTTTTATGTCATTGTTGCAATAGAGCTCATCTTATTGCAGAGCTTTACCAATTAGATTTTTTTTCATTGTTGTTTAGTTCCTGCGATTCATTAGGCAGATTGGCGAGGGCAGTGTGACAGTGGAGAGCAGAACAGACAGACAGCTCACAGATAAAGTTCAGGCCGAGGAGGCTCAGAACTGGGCCTCCAACCTCAACCAGGTATGAGTCACTGCTCACGGAGGAGGGAATGGTTTTAAACTGGGAACACAGCATATCAGGGGAGCAAATTGGTTCATTTTTGTAGAGCGTAGGCTTTGTCAAGTGACTCATCTGTGTAACATTTTCCACAAATGTAACCAAATAGAGCCACAAGTCTCCTTGTAATATGAATCTCAAGGCTGCACAGCTTAGGAGATGAAGTTTGTTTTGCAGTGAGACAATCTCTAAAAATCATCGCTGGGAAGGTTTGTTTTCTGTGCGCGTACAGAAAAGCTCGGTTTGTTTCCATGTTGGCCCAATATTCCGTCTGTTCCTGATTTGGTAGCAGATGTTTCAGTCTCTTAGAGGTATAAAAAGAGGATTGCACATTTTTGGATCTGTTAAATATCATTATGTTCTGGAATATATTTAATGAAAAATAAACAATAGAATATAAACAAAACAAGAATTGGATTTGAAAATTAACATTTAATGTTAAAAGAGAAGAAATCCTTTTAACATTCAATATTTGAGCAGAAGATGCGGGTTCTTATTGAAAGCTAAGGGATTGCCTTCTTGTAACTTGAAAACTACTTTGGCGAATTTTAGTTTATTACATTTGAGGGATTACTTCAAGGGACTTAAATATTAATATTCTGTAATTTACAGGCTATTTTCTAGAAGTTACCTTTTGCAAATTTCCCAATAGTTACTGACATTTTCCTGTAAGCAAGTTACATGCAATTTACTTTCTGGTTACTTTGTAAAACTTTTTCTGTATTTACTGAAACTTGCACAATATTTTCCTGAAACCTATTGTTTTTTTGTTTTTTTTTCAAACTTACATATCTCCTAAACATAACTCAACTAATTCATCAGTTAGTTTTCAAAAAATAAGGGATACTTTATTATTAATTAACATAAAGAATGTTTCATATGAAACATACAATTTAGGAATTCCTTGTCAGTATCTTCAATATAGATAAATATAGATATAAATCTCTTATATTGGACCTAGTAACGAGAAAGAATTTATAAAGATGATTATCTATGCATAGATCACTTTTGATTTTGTAGCTAATGGCAAATTTTGAAATTGTTTCACTGATTTAAATTGCTGATATGTCTGCCAACATCAGCTTTAACTTGCTGTGTTATCTTAAAAAATACAGTTTAACCTTTAATGATTCACCTTTACATTTAGCTCTTTGATGCACTTAAAGGTAGCTCTTCTTTTCAAGGATGCTGATAATATGGTTTTAGGTTTTTTTTTACTTGTTCAAGCTTGAGACGCAGCAGACTGCCTATCTTAAACAATTTCTAAAGAAATTGTCTAATAGATTTCCTTGCTGTTAAGAATAAATGAATATGTTAAAGAGTGGGGTCCAAATTCTAAAAAATGATCTCAGTGTTTCTATCTTGGATCATATTATTCAGACATTATTTTCTTACTTATTCTATGTTATGCTATATTTTGATTTATAATTTCGATTTAAATGCCCTCCATGTTGATGCTATGATTGTATTCCATTCTCCATGGCATAATTTTTAAATATATTGTTCCCATTTTAACTTTACCCTAAACTCCTGATATTCCATTCCCTTTATTAACAACTACCATTTGTTGAATGTTGCTTTAACTTTATACTTATTCTGCCCACCCTTCCTGGAAAAAAAATAATCCCCATTAACCACTTCCTACCCCTCAAAACATGAATCTGTGTGCCACTGCCTCCCCTTATCGTAGTTCTTGACAAAGACGGGGGGAGGGAGTCTTCCCTTGGAACCTCCAGAGAAGAATCAGAGGATTGAGAAAGTTAAAGCTAAACAAGCAGAGCAGTGGGCCAAAGTCGTCAGGCAGGTAGGACCTCTGTGGTCGCAGCAGCAGCAGTAGGCTTTTTTTAAGAATATATAATAGCTGTTTTTTTAGGACACATTAAGTGTTTAGTATCCTTGCTGTTAAGCATCTTTGTTTTTTATTAAAAATATTAGAAATCAGGAAGATGTAGTGGCACAACTAGAAATGATCTTTTATAGTTTTTATTTCACTTTCATCTTTGCTTCCTTTACATTCACCTCCTGGCTCTTCTTTCCTTTTTATAAATGTCACCATCCATTCCTGCAACAGTTTGCTTAGCCAGCCCCTACAGACTCGTGGCACCTATTGTCATTGCTCTCCATTGCTATTCAGGTGTCAGAGGAGTCAGCTGAAGCCTGGGTGGACGAGTTCACCACAGTGGGGCCAGATTTTCAACAAGCCAAAGCTGCAGTGGAGGTACGAGAAGAATGGAGTTGTTGAAGCCTCTGTATTCAGATAGGTGGAGAGTTAAAAGGGATGAGGAAGTGTTTCTTAGATCAGCATGAATATAGTTTTGTGTTCGATTTATGATCCCTGTTCTCTTTTTAAAGCACCCAGTTAGGGCTGGTACAATTTATCAGATCTATACAACTGCCAACTTATTTATCAATTAATTGCTGAGTGGAATATTCAGACCTTAAAAGGTGTCATTTCAGAGTAGAGATCAAGCTAAAACAGTAAGAATTTGGTATACATTTTGCAATCAATATGAAAATCCTCCTTGGTCTGTAAATATGCTCCGTCTAGAACTCGGGTGGCTTAGGTTTCGCACTGACTTGCTCAAATTCTGGGCTAAATCTCCAACAATGAATCATCTACTATCTAATTTTAGATTAGATTAGATGAGCTTTATTGATCTCACAGCAGAGAAATTCCCTGGTCACATATTGGCATAGTATGTGACCAGTGAATTTCTCCTCTGTGAGATTTAATAGAAAGAAAATTTAGAGCTCAATTTACAAAATGATAAGTTAGTTTCAGCCCTACATGCAGTTAAATAAATACATAAACCAAGGATGAATTTAAAAGAGTTGCTGCTGAACATTGACCCATCTCAGTACTCTAGTAATTATAAATATAATATTTTTAATTAATAACAGTGATACTCTTTAAAATGTGTTTTATTGACATAGGATTTTTTTTTTTTTACGGATTTTTTTTTTTATGTTCTGGCATTTTTAATCTTAAAAAGATCCATAGAATATTATTTGGATTGATAAAAATATTTTTGTATAAAGCATTCTTAGTTCAACTTTTTTGAAGGGAAAGAAACTGCACATGGAATTTTTTTAACAACAGTTATTTTATTTTAGTCTTTTAAATATGCTATTTTTGTCCTTGGGATCTAGAGTGGGACCTTAAACTTTAATTTGACCGTGAAAATATGTTGATGCATCAGATCTTGTGATCTCAAGGCATAATTATTCTAAAAATGAATATGTGCATACATTTAATTGAAGGAAATAATTTTTGTCCTTTGTTTCAGCTTGAAATAGGAGCCTTTATAGAATATTTATTGAAAACAGTATCAAAACTACCATGATTTAATATATGTATTTTAGGTTCAAGTAATTTTTAAATGATTGACATGCTTAAAATGTTATTTTAGCTGTTTTTGGGAAGCAAACATTTTGTGCTTTGGGACAGATGTGTCTGTTGAAAGGGCCTCTTGAAGGGGATATCCAAAAAGCTTCCAACCTTTTCAAATCCTGTACGTATCATGACAGAGGTTGAAGGCTCGGCTTTCCATTAGCCTTCCTGTTATCTCCTGAATTTTGTGGCCTCTCTCTTGTAACCTGAAAGGACCTGGATGCTTAGGTATGGTATGTTCACTGTCCAGGAGAGGATTGGATTTTTGATTATCTGCTAGCTTACTCACTGATTGTGGTGGATTGAGCTAAAAATCCTCCATTGCTCTTGACCAGCTGATTTCTTGGTTCTTTATCATTCAATACTTCACTTTATAAACTTTCTCGAAATCAATCAATATATTTGTCTTGTCTGGTGCAAACAAAGCAGACAGTAATAATATGTACATGTTGGATTTTGTCAGAGTGATGTTGATTTCTGGGAGAAGCTGCAGCAGGAGTGGGAGGAGATGGCCAAGAGAGATGCAGAAAGTCATCCATGGTTGTCTGACTACGATCAGCTGCTTAGCTCCTCTTATGATAAGGTAAAGATGTCACGCTTCAGTAAAAACCCAGCAATATCTGTTTCTGAACACTTTGAGTTCAGCAGTTTAACTAGTGTTTTGTGACAGGGGTATCAGTTTGAAGAGGAGAACCCCTACCTATCCCACCCAGACCCTTTCTCAGAGGGTCTAAAGAAGATGGAGGCGGGTGACATCCCAGGAGCTGTGCGCTTCTTTGAAAGTGCTGTTCAGAAGGAACCAGACAACCAGCTGGTCAGACTCTTAATTCTTTCTCTGCATCTTGAAATATTCATGTTAAAAATTTAACTTTACTGAACTAATAGATGAATTTTTAATGAACATGTTTTACTCTATGACATAATGGATCTTTTTTTTTTTTTTTTAAACACTAACTTCAGTTTAACTGGCCTATATTTAATAAAATATCCAACTCCAAAATTTGTTTTTTAAGTATAATGAATTGTTAATTTGGATAAACCCAAAGTTAAAAGCAACTTCCAGAACTCGTTCGTAGAATTTTGCCAGAAAGAAACCTGAATTTTTGCTTAAAACATTTTAGATAACATGTATAAACAACCGAGGACAGATAAAAGAATGTATAGTTTTTTATGTTGTTTTTTTGTTTTTATTAAAGGCTTGGCAATATCTGGGAACCTGCCAAGCAGAGAATGAGCAGGAATTTGCTGCTATCAGCGCCCTCCGCAGGTGAGAGTGGAAAAATGCAGAATATCGCTTTAAATTGGATCTAACCATCTATTATTTTGGTTGAATCAGAAGCCAATCAAATAAACTGAGACAGCTGTGTTTTATTTTTTCATCTAATTTTCCTTTTAAATTATCAGGATTTGACAGATCTGTTTAATAAACAGCTGACCATTCATATAAAAATTTAATCATGCCCTCTGAGGTCTGGTCTGCCTTTTCTTTTGAACTGTACAGTTTAGATTAAGATCATGATAGAATTACTTATTACTAATATGAAATAATAATTTTTTTCTTTTGCTGGTCAACTTGAAAAACAGCATTAGTCTGCAGCAATTTACCAACGTTTTAAAGATGACATATACTTCTGTAGTTTTATAAAATGAGCAAAAAGGCTGCTAGGCAGATTGTTTCTATCACTTATATCGGAAAGTTTAGATGCACGTTGATGCATACCAAAGTTTGTTTTTTGGCTGATATAGGGATATACCTAGTTAAGGTCACAGAACGAGGAATGTGGACCAAACCAGACCATGAACTTTATGAAAATCCGGATTGGTTGCTGTCTTACCTCTGGGACACTTTCACTTAAAGTCCCATGTGTAATAGGAATTCAGAAAAAGTGAAAGTTAGTATTATTAAAACAGCTTTAAACTGCTTAGATATTTTAAGTTTGTTTCACAGGTTGTGCTGTTGCTCATATTAATATAGGCTGTAAAGTTGAGAAGATTGGAATTGGGCTAAAAAATTAAGCTTTTGGGCATCAGAGAAGTAAAAGCTTAGCCTGACATAGTCCGACTCAATTCTAGTCAGAATATGAGTCTGATACTGCTCCATAGAGCTGTGATTATGGGGCGTGTTTTGAACGAACCAGGAAAAAAATGCCTCTGCACTCAATTGGATGGACCTACAACCAATAAGAGCAACGGAGTGCGTGACGTATCTTAAGCGAGGCATAGTTGTTGTCCACAAAAATCAAAGCGTGCAGTTTCACGCCTAGAATAAGAAGATGAGACTTGATCACGTTTCTCTTTTCCTCTTTTAAAATTAATTTGCTGTCGATATCTTCTAGAATAGACCTAATAGCAGAATCTACTCACCCAAACTCTCCAGCGGCAGCCATTATTGTTGTCACCCAAGCGCGCTTTGGTCACGTGGTTGATAACGTTACTCTTGATCATCTGTCCATCATCGTATAAAGCCCGCCCTGACAATTTGATTGGATCGCCTGACAGTGGGCTTTAATACTCGCGCTACTATGGAGCAGAGCCAGACCGAACTTCCCCGAACTCAAACCTTGTGGGCGGGACTAAGTTCGGACTGGCACCCAGGCTAGTAAAAGCTGACTTAACTGTCATAATACCAAACTCTAATGCTGTCTGGTGACATCCTGAAAGTAGCAATGTGAAAACATGATGGGGAAGCTGAATATTGGAATTGATTATTTTACTGCTTTTGCTGTAATATAGAGACCTGTAGAAATGTTATTCAGGGGAATATTTTATTGTCTTGTTGTCCAATCTGGAGAGGTTCAGAATCATGGCATAGGTTGCTATGCTCTCTATAGGGAGAAGTGCAGTTCCTCCTCACTTATTCTGCAGTCTTCCAGGTTTGAATGGTCTAAAAGGGAGTCAATTGGCCCCAGAAAAAGTCTCTTAAAGCATTTGAAACAATATGAGTTAAAGCTCCATCATTATTAAGGCATCTGAATTAAAAGAGTACTTGTTGATTTTTAGACATGTCATTACGGTAGCTAAGGACTGAGTGATGATCTGTGAAAGTTCCTGTTAACTTTTTTCCTCGCCGTTTTGTTTCTCTTTGTAAACAGATGTATAGACCTGAAGAAGGACAACCTGACTGCCCTTATGGCTTTGGCTGTCAGTTTTACTAATGAATCGCTGCACAGGCAGGCATGTGAGACGTTACGGGACTGGCTGAAGCACAATCCAAAATATCAGTCTGTGTGGGAGCAGTACGAGCGGGATCGCCAAAGGGATGGCGGTCAGGAGAGAGAAAAAGAAAACGAAAGGTTTGGATCCTTGTTGCCTGAGTGAGTATGACCTACAACAGATGTTTAACTCTGTCTAACAGCAAAGAGGTGACTCTTCCTTTACTCATTTCTTTGGTGTCTATGTTTCCCTGCACAGATCATTGTTCACTGATGTCCAGAATCTGTTCCTATGTGCAGCCAACTCTGACCCTTCTCAGGTGGACCCCCAATTGCAGTGTGGTCTGGGAGTTCTTTTCAACCTGAGCGGAGAGTACGACAAAGCGGTGGATTGTTTTAGTGCTGCTCTCTCTGTCACTCCTCAGGTTAGTATTAACGTTAACGATGAGATGTTTATGCACCTGCTGTATGCAAAGTCTCCTTCTAAAGACTCCTTATCCCCCCTTTTTATTTTATGGTATTAAAAGGATTACCTGTTGTGGAACAAGTTGGGTGCTACACTAGCCAATGGTAGCCGCTCAGAGGAGGCAGTGGCCGCCTACAGGAGAGCTTTGGAACTGCAGCCGGGTTTTGTCCGCAGTCGCTATAACTTGGGAATCAGCTGCGTTAATTTAGGCGCTCACAGGTGAGCAAATGTCTTTTTAGGAAACATACTTATGGTAATAATACAACATTTGTAAAATGTATCATACATCCCTCGGCAAGGAAAACTGCAAAGATTTGCAGGGTGAATTTAAATTCCCATTTTCTGTCTCATTTAAAATTCTCTTTATGGATTTTTTTTTTTTTTATTGTGTGATAAGCGGTTTGTTTATAAGAGATATAGATCAAAAATATTTTATGTTTTTTTTTCTCTTTGAAACTAAATCATCTAAATTTGGTTATTAGTTTATAAAACAAGCATACATTCCCATTTAGAGATTATGATGTAAATAAGTATTACAGCAAACAGAAATGAGTACCATAAACCATACTGATTATACAGTTTTCCCTATTTAAGCCAACTTCTTTTATAAAGGCCACTATGCATCCTGAAATAATTATAAAATATAAGTCTGGCTGGCTAAATGATTCAGAAACTTTGAAATGTCTGCAAACCACAGTTGGATTTATTTGGCTGGAGCAAAAAAAAGAGCCATATGGATTTTTAAAATAGTTTTCAAGTAGAAGGTGAAAAGCGTCTTGTGCTTTCAGATTGTTTGTCTCTGAGCAATACCCTTAGCCTTAGATTGCTCCCTGTGTGCTCCAAGCTGCCCACTGCTCCCTAATGGATGGGATAAATACAGAGCTCCAATGTAATTTGACATTTAGAGTGACTATATACATTTTTTTTCTTTGCAAAAACAGCTGAAGCTTATTTCAGTATTTTTCTCCATCCATGAAGTCTAACCAGCTCTCCTTTCATCCTACAGCATGATGCTGCCAATACTTTGAGTCAAAGCTGGGATGCATTGATTTAATGCTGTGTTAGTTTTCCACCTCATTTAGAGTCTGTCAGTCTGTTCAAGACTTGCTTTTTGTTCTTAATTGGCTAAAAAACAGCTTCTTCCATTTTGTTATACATCCTTCATGGTCACTGTATCAGTAACAATTGTGGTCTCTTTAGGTATTGATAACGCACTAGACTTTAATACATGTGTAAAAATAATCTGTCCATAGAGAAGCCGTGGAGCACTTTCTGGAAGCGCTCTCTCTCCAGCGACAGGCTGCAGGAGATGGAGCGAGAGCAGCGAGGGGACCCGGAGGCGCAGCAGCAGTGGTGATGTCTGACAACATCTGGTCCACGCTACGGATGGCTCTCAGCATGATGGGAGAGAGCTCTTTGTACGCTGCAGCCGACCGAAGAGACTTGGACACGTTGCTGGCTCATTTTAACCAGAGAGAGGTGGAGGGTGGAAGTGAATGAGAACTAATCAGGCGGGGGTTTATTGAGTGTGAATGTGCTCAGATGGGAGGTCAGTGTTTGGGTGAAGCAAAAATGTGGAAATAAATTGGACACGGGGACACTGTGACATCAGAGATGTTGGAGCTTCACGTGTTTTAAATGAGTACTATAATGCAGTATCAGTCTCCAGCTAGGGAAGAAAAAACAAGCTGCTACTGTGTTTCAGAAGTTTGCCAGTCCTCATATTTCCCTCGGTGTTGTTCTAGCTAATGAGGTGAAACGGTTCCCTTTGTTTACTTGAAGTTTTGAAGAGTTATGTAAACAACACCGAGCATGCCAATCATTTCTGTCAGGTTCTTAGGTTGGTTTTTGATGATACTCAGTACTCTCTCCGTCTTCATTACCTACAACTTCTAGTACTTCTAGTATTTAAGGGATTTGAAGCTGCAGAGCTGCTGTAAGGTTAGAGTTCTTCTTTTCACCCAGAAGTGCTTTCAAAAGAAAAGTTTAGTCAAAGAAGTACACAGCAAAAAGTGCTGCAGCTTTTTTTTTTTTATCATATGTACTTTCTTAGTAGTCATTGATCTGCCAGGACAATAAACTGGCAACCAGCAGGACTGTTATTGTTATGATTAGGTGTGTGTGTGTTCATTGTAATTAACTGGACAACATCTAAAACATGATGCATCGTGAGAATGATTGTTTGGCTCCCCGCTGTTTTGCTCTTTTTCCTGAAGCCCTTAAACTAATTTTGCTTCATTGTAAAATAATCCTATATGCCATGTGTATTGTAACATAATTGATGCACTATAATTGTTTTCAGGTTACTTGGATCCTGATTGCAATCTTTATTATAATATCCAGCAATAAAGCTTTGATTCCAATCGAGGTCATTGGATGTTTTTTGTTGTGACTGTGACCCAAACAGCTATGTTGTCCTGGGTTTAGAAATACTAGAAGTCATACAATTTTATTTAAAAAAAAAATGTATGCAAAGGGTATGCTTATATTATACATATTTGTAGGTATTAAAGTTATGCTCAAAATTATACTGTCATAAAAAAGGATCTTGTTTGAAACTTTGTGATTTTTGAGTTAACAGGAATCTTACTTGGTATTTTTTTTTTTTTACACATTTGGTACAAGAGACATTAAGAGCTAGTTATTTGAGTTTAGTTTGTCTGCTTATCTTCCCCCACTTTACTCAGGAAACTGCCTAAAACCCGAGTTGTGCTCTATAGAAAAGCTCCCTGTTGCAAGGTGGACCTCCACTTCAGCCACATGTCTTCTGTTGCCTGTAGGGGTTTTCTCACTATCAAAGAGCTTCCATTCTCCTTTTGAAGAAAACAAAAATGAGTTCCCACAGCATGATACTTCTATCACCATGTTAAATGACCAGAAGGGATTTATTAAGTTGGCATGCTGTACAGATAAAAGCCTGGCATCCTTTGCCAAACTAAAATATTCATTTATCTACCTTATCCACCAGATTTTTTTCAATGATCTTTGTCTTCATCAGAGGTGTCAAATAACTAAGTATAAAGTAGTGTTTTTCTGTATCTGCAACTGAGTTTATACACTGCCGGAAAAAATAAAGGGAACACGTAACACAATAAAACTTCAACTAAATCAAACTTCTGTGAAATAAAGCAGCACTGATTGACAATCAATTTCACATGCTATTTTGCATATAGAATGGATAAAAGGGGGAATTTATCGGCAATTAGCTTGACACGCGCAATAAAGTTGTGGTTCTGCAGGTGAAACTACAGACAACTTCTTAGTATCTATACTCTGGCTGATGTTTTGGTCACTTTCGAATGTTGGTGGTGCTTTGACTCTTGTGGTAGAATATTGCTAGAGGCAGCAGAAGCAGCTGGGTTACATTCAAAGTCTTTGATTGGTGAGATCCTGCAGCTCTTTTTGAGCAGAAGGAGCAGCGCATCTTGACGAGTTGAAGCAGCACCTTATGACCTTCTGAGGCGTGGGGCGTGCTGCGCAAGCAGCCGATGCTGAAGTTAGAAAACTTAAACTTTTTCTGCTCCATGTGCCACATCAATGAATCTGAGAAGCTTATCTGGGATCTGGCAGGTAGACCGATACAGCGCTGCTGATGCAGAAAGCTATAATCACTCACTTGAAACAGCTTAAAGCCTAAATTAACCTAAAATGTTTAAACTTTCCAGCAAAATATGTTTGCTTTTATTATTCTGGTACCTGCAGTTTGGATTACGTACATGAAAAACGCCTTCCAGCCACTGCGAACATTAGGGGCCAAAAGCTGTCGTTGAAGGGGTTTTTAGTGACAGCGGCCTGCCAGTGTACGGGGGTCTGAGCCGCTCCAACAGCGAATAATATTTGAAGGCAGGATCATAATCTTGATCAACTGACTGCACAGATTAATTTTCAGCTGGAATTTTTCATTTAAAAACATATTAAAACAAATTTTTTACCAACTTTAAAAGCAAATATAGCAAAGCTGTCCTCTGTTATTGAACACAGGAGCAGCACAAGCATCAGATGCATCTGTACACCCTTAATGGATGCGCTTCAGATCGTGGTCTGAACGTAGTATTAGATGGACTCTACAACCTACACAAGAGGCTCAGGTAGGTCACTCAGGATGCCAAATCAATGCAAGCTGTGACAAGAAGGTTTCCTGTGTCTCCTAGCATAGTGTCCAGAGGCTGGAGGCGCTACCAGGAGATGTGGAGGAGGCCGTAGAAGGGCGATCCAGCAGCAGGACCACTATCTCCGCCTTTGTGGAAGGAGGAACAGGAGGAGCACTGCCAGAGCCCTGCAAAATGACCTCCAGCAGGCTGCAAATATGCATGTCTGCACAAATGGTTAGACACTGACTCCATGAGGATGGTATGAGAGCCTGACATCTACAGATGGGGGTTATGCTTACTGCTTAATGAAAGCTTGAAAACACAATAAACATGGACAGAAATTAAAATCTGACGAAAATATAAAGCACCCCTAGAAGAGTCAGTGAATTTATAAAGATGCACCTGGGTGCGTTACCACATCCTTCCTCCCAGCAGCTGTAAGAATTTATAACTATCACTGCTACCAACAACCTCAATAAGTTGTTACATTCATGTTGATTTTTGCAGTTTCTGACATGCTGCTGTTATTTTGCACATATCTGAATGTATCAAATATCCATTACTGTAAAAATGTCCACAGCTATATATTAGTTATGTATTCTCCAGGTGCACAGTATTCATATTGTAAAAACACTTTATAGTAAAGCTGTTTTTTTTTTTTTTTTTACTCTTCCCTATTATGTTATTTTCATTCACTTTTCCAAGGTCCACATTTGTGTGACCACTTTTGCTATAATCTTTGTGCTGCTGTAACACCAGAGTTTCCTCATTGTGGAAAAATAAAGTGTTTTTCTATTATATTCTATTTTCTAAGATAAAATAATCTATCTAATTTTTAGGTGAGATTTATGTAAGATTCTAATCTCAATTTTAAGTCAAATACATTTTTGATTCCTAGAAATACGTTAGTCAAATTGTTTTTGTTTAATTATTCACTTATCTGTTTAGATTTAAAAAAAAATAGTTTCAATATTTATTTTTTAACCTGTCTGAACTAGTTTCGAAACTTGTATTTGTTTTGATAATATTTTTTAGCTCGTTTTTCTTTTGGAATATTTCTGTTAGGTAAAAAGTGAAATGTAAGTGGGTGTTTCCCTTGATATTTTCAAACGAAAGTTTTATCTGTATCATGTGATGTACAGTTTAACGTTTAGGCACGTAGTTACATAGGCCACGCCCATTTCAAACAGCTTTCTTTTAAGCCAATAGAAACCAAGGAGAAGTAGCGGAAGTGTGCGCTCATTGGTTCGTAAGGCACGCATCCGCGCCATTTAAATCTTTTAAAAACTAGTGTGTTCTTGTTTGTCAGACCGAGAAGCAGCTACAGAAATCGGCAGTGTGCACAACAACGGCTGGATTTATCGTTTTTAAGGTACAGAACACAGGGGAACTTAAACTTCGTTTGTTTGCAGTGGTCATTTTTCTTAACTTCTTCGTAAAACATGATTCCGTTAATTCACGTGTTATTGAAGGAACTGCGTGTTGTTTTTTTGGCTTGAGATCCGGTTTTAAACACTACTTTGTACCTTCGTCCTTTTATCAATGTTTTTGCAAACTGATTTTTTTTTTAACATTGAACACAGGTTTCCTATGGAGGATTGAAACGTTTTATTTTTGAGGAATGGGTGCTTTTAAACGGGATTATTATATCATTGCTTTTTTTGTTTTTATAGATTGACGTTGCACATGTTTAGTAGCAGCTGCAAAGGCGCCCTGTTTAAAAAAATGTAATAAAATAAAATGGCTTTTAAATTATTATTTTTTTATACTTTTGATGTAACTAGAAATGTTTACCTGAGAGAACTTGAAATATGATATATATATATATATATATATATATATATATATATATATATATATATATATATATATATATATATATATATATAGTATCTGAAAATGGTGTTTAACTGAGCTTTTTCTAAATCCATTAAATAATTTATATGTTCTTAACGTTAATCCTGCGATTTCTCCTAATTTAAACCAGGTAACATTTAAAGCAGCTATGGGAACAAGTGAGAGCAAGATGGCTGTGTCGGCAGACACTAAACCAGATCCAGCCATTAAAAAGATACATGCGGGTCGCCTGGTGGATCCACGCTCTCCCTCAGCTGGAATTGATCGAACACCCATTCAGGTTTGTCATCGGCATATACTGGGAGGATACCTACACATCCTGAACCTTAACAACACATTTTATTATATTTTATTGAGGCTTCATGGGCAAGCCGTAGCAAAGCACATGCCCTCATAATCTTAGTTTAAATCCAGCTGTGATGGGAAGGCCTCACAGGTTTGTTGCAGAACATTAATTAACTAAAAGCATATTGAAGACCAAGGAATAAAACAGGCTGGTTTGGGACAAAGCTGTTGCGATGTTAATGCAGAGTTGGGTTCTATAAAAAAAATGATGATAATAATAAACGCCCAATTTAAGTATCTTGGAGCAATAAAGTCATTTGTTCAAATGATTCAGGTGAATTAGACCATGGAAGTAGGGTTGCAGAATATTAGAACAATTTTCTATGGTAATAATGATCGTAAATGTTTCGTATTGATAAATGCAGCATTTCCTTAAAATTTTTACTACTTTGTCATCCATGTTTCAGCTGTGTGACCTTTAGCACTTTTGCCTGTACCATTTGTGTTGGGCGCAAGCATCTGCCTCCTTAAACTTTCTCCAGCTAGCTAAGTATTGTTTAGTTGGACAATTTCTTTGATTCCTTTCTAATGTTGGATATACTTTTATTGTGATTATGGCACATTTGTGGTTTACCAGTCAATTTTAGATCACTGGTCCCCTGAGGGCGGTAGTCTTTATACATTGAAGCTATGTTTGAAAGGCACTGGGTTATATGACTTTGTCTCTGTTAGTTTTGTAGACAGGAGTCCAAAACTACTGCAGCAGTGAACAGTGAGTGTCCCCTGGCCTTTAACGATCCCAGGTCACCTACCGTTGGCGTTACACGCACCCCTGTGAGAGAATTTGTGAGAGGTAAAGTTATTGTAAAGAGCTTCCAGTTTGCTTTTCTTGGGCTCTACAGTTTGACTTTTAACTTCTACTTTTTCTTTCTTTCCCAGCAACCGTCGGGTCTTTTGCTCACCGTCTTGGTTTGCTTTTCCACAACGAAGCTGAAGGCAAAGTCCCCCAGAAACGCTCGAGTGTTCCTGTAGATGAGGTCCTCGGAGGCGGAGAGCTGGCCTCAACAGAGCCGCTTCTCACTCCTCTCAAAATAAAAGACTTGAGTTCTTTAGCTGAACATGCTAACCTCCTCGCTACCCCTGTTCAAGCTCCTCAGCAGTTTGTTGGCAGCTCAAGCCCCTTTGAGCTTCTCTGGGATCCTCAGGTGGAGGTAGAGATCGAGACAGAAGCAGATATTAGCCTGGAGGAAGCAGAAGAAGCCAGAGAAACCCCCCTGCACAAGAGACTGAGCATGAGCCTTATAACATGCCATGAGGGAGCAACTTCATCTCAGATCATTGCTGAGGTCCACAGTGAAGGTCCTGCTTTCTCAGAACCTGATGTGGAAAACAACCAACTTGGGGGTGAGGTGGATCATTCGTATGCAGTTCCCTCTATTGCAGTTCAGCCAGAGTCGTCCACTGAGTCACCAGTAGAAGTGGAGACAGAGCCGCCTGCCCAGGAAGCTGAATCCCCTCTGCCTCCCTCAGAAGAACTAGTAGTCCCCAGTCCAGAGCAGCAAGCAGTGGGGACAGGTATCCGCTGCCCATCCTTTGACACAAAGAGCCCCAGTCAGCTGGAGTTCAAGCCACAGTGGTTGGGAAAAGGTTTTGGTGCCACTGGACTACGATCTAGAGGTGTGCAAGGGAACAAAGGAGGCTCATCTCCTCTCGCTGTCCGTGTGGCTGTAAAGGGTATAAACAACGAAAACAAGAGGCAGTCTGGAAAACTGAAAAACAAAGGTGTGTATGGCTAGAGGAAGATTTATTTTGTGAAAACTTCTTCCCTTGTATATGATTTCAAAGTATTTGTCTCCTCACTAGGTACTGAGGGCCGCTCTCCGCTGCAGATCCTTAAGGAGACCAACTCTCCTTGTGATCAACGTAACCAGGTACAAGGCATTCAGTTATGTTAGCAGCGCCGTTGTCTTTAAAGGGGATGTTATCTAGCCAGAGGATCTGCGAGGTCTGTGTGTGATTCTACAAAGTTCATCGTTAAACTGATTTATTTTTTGCTTTCACTATGCAGTTGAAGCTAAAGGCATCCAATCAGTCCAAGCAGCGACTTGGACAGATGGACCGCAGAGTTCTGGCAGTATCTATGGACAAGGAGAACTAATGAAGGAAGATGTACAGTCTGCCCCTCCTATAAATTTCTTTAAAATATCCTTTTATGTGTAGCTGTCTAAAACCTATATTTGAAATGTGCTTTATTTTAACTGCTATATGCTGCATTTTTTTCTCCTTTTTTTGTTAATGTCAACTTTACATGTCCAGGCTTGGCTTGATTTTAATTTTTGCAATCCTTTTTTTTTGTTTGTGTTTCTTGCTTTTTTTTTTTATGCAGCTATTTAAAACTTCTGTAAAAATAAAAGTTGTAAAAAGTCTTTTTTATAAACAGAATGAAAGTTCAACACTATGTTCAGTTGAAGTCTGACTTTCTTTGATATGCTGAAGAAATCTTGGCTTTACTTGGAACTGGTTTTTCAGTCATTATCCTGCTAGAACAAAAATGCTGACCAATTTTCACTATCAGATAAAAAAAATGTTCTTGCCATGAACACCTTGCTTGATAAACAGACCAAATATGAGATTAAATCTGTAATTTAAACTTGCAGGCAAGTAAATTATTTTGGCTGCTGGTGGGTGGGGCTAGTCTACTAGGCTAATGAACACCAGTTATCCCAAGAAGGTCACCCACACCATGATATTTCCTCCACAGGAAGAGGTTAATTTATTCATCCTTGCATCCCCCTTTACCACATTGAGTTTGTACATGAAATTAATGTAGGCCATGTTTTTATGCTACACTCTGACCGTTAAAACTCTGAATAGACTGCACCAAATACAGATGAGAATGCTCTGGATAAAGTTCTCCATCAGTTGGCTCTAGAGAATTATTTTTATTCACTGTACCGTGGCAAAATGAATCCTTGCAGCTGTTAATTTTAAACTTTGGCTTTAGACAAGGGCAAGGTTGAACAAATGGAAAATTTTAGTGATGCCAACAACTACACAACGTGTGATTTTGGTTTAGTCATTTCTTTAGGAAAGATTTTTGGCCACAATTGGACTAATCAAATTGTTTTAATTTAACATGAAATCTACCTGAAGAGCTTTGTCAGGATGCTATTGTATAATTCAAAGCCAATTATTATAGTGGAAATATTTACTTAGCTTTTTAGAGATCACATATCTAATTTATTTCAATATAACATGAAACTATATCATTGAACTACATGATTGGATACTCTGAAGTAAACCTTCAGCAAAACTAATAATAGCACAAAACCTTGATATATTTGGTGTTTTTATAAGTTTATTTTTCATTTAAGTGGAAAAAAGTGGGCTTTTTGTCCACCTGTTGTGACTCAAACCTAGGATTACTACGTCGATGACAGACCATCGTGCATGGATTATATGCTTAACCCCTGTGCCATTGCTGCACCCCAATGTTATCCTGGTTCAATATCAGGGATCAGGGAGGTCTTGTTGGTCTCTGTCTCCATCTCCCGATACATTCTCGCGTGTGTCCGACCTTTCAGACATTTCAACATCTTTTTCTAAATCCAACATGTAGCATGTCATAGACAATTGATGTTTGCAGTTTGAAGAACACCTGCTTGCTTCTGATAATTTCCCTAAGATAGCCAATGAGTGTTTGCGTTATATGACTCATCCAATCACACTAGTTTTCACTAGATGTGGATGGCGCCAATGATCTGCATTGGATGGAACACTTGACATGAAATAAATATTAAGCTGAAGCTAAGAGTAACGCGTAACGTTTGTTTTAAAAATTTAAGGAGTAGAAAGTACAGATACTTGTGTGAAAATGTAATGAGTGGAAGTCAGAAGCAGGAAGAAAAATAAGTAATGGAGTAAAGTATAGATGCCTAAAAAGTGACTTAAGTACTGTAATGAAGTATTTGTATTGATGCCAAGGTGTAACAGCTGCAAAATACAGGTAAAATATAGAGAGGGGAAAGAGAATCTGATACTGCTATGAAGACGGATGGGAAACATGGTAGATTATGGATATAATCTGTGATTCAAGAAAATTCCCCTTTTTGAATGCTTTGAATACCAGAACTCTAAAAAGTATTTGGCTGCTCATGCAGGACTTCTGTTTAGTCTATATTACCCTAACAGAAATTTACTTTAGAACAAAACCAGGACTGCATCAGTACATTTATGTACCATATACTAACACAGAATCAACAAAGCAGGAAAATAAACCAAAGCACATCAGTGTTGGTCTAATATGTAAAACTGGACCAATATTAACATTAAATGTTTATTTCCATGTAGATGGTGTTTTTATTTCAGAAGGGGGAGGACAAGAGGTGGAATTTGTGTTTGTGACACAATGGGAGAAGGCTTAACCATATTTGTTTGTTCACGTGACATTCATAGCAATGCAGCAAAGGGTTGTGGGTGTTTAACTAAGGCAGAAGCTCAATGTGAATACCTTAAATCAGTTCAGACATTAAAGCCAGGACCGAAGGGCTTCTGCTATTCGAATAGTGCTTGGAGTTTGGATGGGGCTAAGGCCATACTAGCACCAATACAGGTAGCACATACAACAGTTGGCTGCTGTACCCCAATACCTTCCTGGTTCAGTATTGGACAGCTACTAATACAAATAAACCAAATATTTTTAAAAACTCATTGGTTTCATTCATAAGACAGCTCCAAACACTAAAACATCCTACTGGCTGAATGTAGAATGTGAGATTTCTGAGAGGTTGTAACACATCACTGAATGCACTGAATTATGATCCAAATTTCTCCACAACTGAAATAATCTGGTGTAACTTAAATGCACCCAAGAGGCTGTGAACATGCAACATGAGCCAGAAATTAAGACGTAATGCAATAATTTGAATGAAACCCCAATTTATTAATTTACATTGCACTGTAGACCAAGTTCTGAAAAAAGCCAAACTTTTAGTTTTTCAAAATGTATACAATCAGAATTAAGAGCTTACCTGCCATGAAAAGAAATATATAAATATTCAAGATTACTGGTTGTATTCACACCAAATGACACTCATACAGTTTTGTCTTGAGACAAGTGGGTCAAAATGTTTTTTTATGTAAATGATAATTTTACTAATCCATCTATCATTTTGAGTTAGTACCCAAAACATAAATGAGGTCTACCTAATGAGGGGGTAAAGCCAAAAATGATCTCAAATTTTACTTAATATTCTTCATCAGTCACATACAAAACAAACACATATGCAGACATGCAAACTATTGACATAAGTTTAAAGAAATGAGAAAATAAAAAGAAAGTTTTAGTACTTAGGGAATCTACCAAAGCTAAAACAAATTATTGTAAATCATGTTATTCATATGGTGTAACCTATTTTCTCATATAAAACACATCATATAAGTTGAGCTTCTGTGACTCTACGCAGGCTGTAAGTTGTAAGTATGTAGTTCTGACTCATCCAGTGTGCTACCATTTCCATTTGGCAATTGTTCGTATTGAATAATCTTTAGATTGCTCCACAATAAATGCATCTTTCATCTGTTTCATCTGAATTACAGATTAACTAATAAGGAATTTGACTAAGACGCCCACTCTTTTTGTCCTACCCTAATTTCCACCATAACGTGAGAAGAAAGGTGAGAGTGCAGTGTGACTGGGAGAAGAGGAAATCCTCGCATTACACCCCTGTTCCTGAACATTAGAAAAGGACTTGGCACGGTTAAAATACCCTCTTCTCACTCTATGTCTCCTTCTCCCTCCATTGATCTCTCCTTCTTTTTAAATCTTCACATATTTCCACGCATATATATTCTCTGCTTTTTCTCTGCTTGCAGGTGACAGACAGCCTCAGTTCCATATCTTGAGGAAACTGTCCCAGGATCCTGTGCAGCAGGCCATGCCGTCTGCAGACACACCGATGCAGCTCACTCTATTATCGTGACCGGCCAGGACACCTGAAAAAAAGTATAGATGTAAGAGGTTAACAAATTCTGAAATGAAAGCCATTATCAATGGCCTGAACAGTGGGAGCTGATTTATCGCTCTCTTGAACCAAAATACGTGCTAAAGTGCTCTTTTGGGAGCCAAGCCGTGCACTAGAGTGCTCTCTTGAGAGCCAAAAACGTGCTAAAGTATCCTATCGAGAGCCAAAACGTGTCTTAGAGTTCCCTATCAGGAGCCAAAATGCATGCTAAAGTGTCTTCTTGGGAGCCAAAACACAAGGTAAAGTGGTGTCTTTGGAGCCAATACACACGCTAAAGTGCCCAATTGGGAGACAAAACACATGCTAAAGTTCCCTTTTGAGAACCAATACACCTGCTTAAATGCTCTTTTGGGAGCCAAAACACATACTTAAGTGGCTTCTTAAGAGCTAAAATGCATGCTAAGTGCCCTCTTGGGAGCCAAAGCACACCACAGTGCATTCTTGGGAGCCAAAACCCATGCGAAAGTGCCCTCTTGGATGCCACAACACGTGCTAAAGTTGCCCTCTTGGATGCCACAACACGTGCTCAAGTTGCCCTCTTGGATGCCACAACACGTGCTCAAGTTGCCCTTTTTGGGTGCCACAACACATGCCAAAGTGCCCTTTTGGGAGCCAAATTACGTGCTAAAGCAACCTTTTGGGAGCCAAAATGTGCATTATAGTGCCCACTCAGGATCAAAAACACATGCTAGAGTGCCCTCTTGGGGGCCAAAATGCATGCCAGAGTGCCCTTTAGGGGGCTAAATCACATGCCAAAGTGCTCTGTTGGGAGCAAACTTGTGCTAAAATGCTCTTTTGGGGGCCAAATTACATTCTAAAGTGCTCTTTTGGGAGGCAAAACTTGCATTACAGGGCCCTCTCAGGAGCCAAAACACATGCTAGAGTGCCCTCTTGGGAGCCAAAATGCATGTAAAAAGAGACCCTAAAGTCCACTCTGGGGAGACAAAACATGCTAAAATAGCCTCTGGGGAGCCAAAACGGGTGCCCAGTGCCCACTACAGGTGTGAGGATGTGCTAAATATTTAGTCAGAATTATTTATCAAAATTAGTACATTTATTATTTCTGTTTATTGCCAATCTAATAAGACAAAATTTCATAAATTAAGATTATTGTGCTTTTAAAACAATTCTGGATTGTCTGTTTGAGGGTGTAGAGGCTCAACAAGTTTAGGTGAGCACAGTCAGGGTTACGAGAAAACACTGCATTTATGAATTTTAAGGCAACACCTTAGTTGCACCATGGGATTGTCTATCATACTGTTATGAAGGATCAGAGATTAAGATCTTTAGAGTTAAATGTGTTCCTCAACCTTAGATCAAAAGCAAAAGATCACTGAAAGATGCTGCCTTGCTCATTATCCACAGAGACCCAGGTGTGCTAATAACTAGATTAACCAATTAAAATAGCACTCAATGAGGAAAAACTGTAGCTACTTCTGAAAGAAAACAAAATATATATATTAATGAGGAAAAAGATAAATGTTTGCAAGCTTAAAAACTACCATTCATACTGTTAAGTATGGGGGTGGAAACTTCATGTTGTGGCGATATTTTACACCAGCGGGGACTGGTACATGTCACTTTTATCGACATTAGGTGGATAAATGTGGGCAATATCTCAAAAAATAAGGTCACAACAAAAGAAAACAGCCTACAAACCCAATTTAGCCAGGAGGAATGGGCTAAAATTCCAAAAAAACTGCCTGAAGAAGCTTTTGGATGATGACTGACCCAAGTCATAAGGTTTAAATAGCAGTTATGCTGTTTTGCATTGTTTGATGCCAGCAGATTAGGACGTTTCTGCACCAACTTAGCAGCTCCCCTCCTTATCTTCTACAGAGCCCAGTTTTCATTCGTTTTAAGTGCTTTGTATCATTTTACCACAATTACTTACCCACTCTCTCAGCCTTGAGTGTGTCCCAAATGTTAACGTTGAAGTCATCATAGCCTGCCAGTATCAGCCGGCCAGACAGGGACGGGGCCAGAGAGGTAACGCCACACATGATGCTGGAGTCCTGGTAGGTGATGAGCTCCTGGTCAGCTCGCAGATCAAACAGTTTCAGGGTGGCATCATCTGATCCTGTTATCACTGCGTTGCCATTAGGAAAAAACTGAAGAGAGACAAATGATCGTGAATGAAGTCTTTCTAGATGAAAAGCAGACTCAAAACTTCTTCTTCAATCTTACCCCAATGGCGTTGACGTCACTCTCATGGCCTGCAAAGGTCTGTCTGCAGGTGCCCTCCCTGATGTCCCACAGCTTTGCTGTAAAGTCACATGCTCCTGAGATGAAAAACTTAAAGTCTGGAGCTACAGCCAGAGACATGCAGTCTCCTTGGTGTCCTGCAAAAACAGTCTTCTGGGTCCCTGTCTCAATGTCCCAGAGTATGCTGAAATGAGATAAACTTTTAATTTATGTCTTAAGCACTAGGATGAAGGTCCAGTTAGCTGTCATTTAATCTTACCAGGTGCAGTCTCCTGAGCTGGTGATGATCTCAGTGTCGCTGATGAAGCGGCAGCAGGAAAGATAACCTAATCAAACAAAGACTCACTGAATGAGTTGTGTAAAAAAATTAAGAGAAATAAATATTCAAAATGATGAAGGCTGGTGTTTTACCTGTGTGTGAAGCCAGCTCCCGCATCACCTTTACATTTCCATCCTTGCCCTTCAGGTTGTAGATGGAGCACATGTTGTCCAGACCACCACATGCCACCAGGTTTCCTGAAGGTGCATAGGCACAAGTCATCACCCAGGATGACTTAAGGGGGATGGCATTCACCTGGGTACACACAGAGAGTCCAATTTCATAAAAATCTCATAAACTGCACTTCATTGCTTATGCTGGATTTATTCTATGGATCTAGAGACTGAAGTACAGAAGCTAACAGTGTGGTTGAACAGGAGTTAAACACTCTTTGCAGTTTATAAGGATACAATAAAAAAATTTAAGAAGCCATAATCTGCTCATCCTTCTATTAAATATAAAAAATATGGACATTTTCAAATTTTTTTTTAAATTTTTAGGTTTACATCAGAATATATAAGTAGCCTTAAATGCATTCGAGCTGGGGAGAATTTATGAATGCCAGTGTTTTTTCATACATTTCACTGAAATCCAAAACTATAAAGCCTTAATCCTTTGTCCTTTACTATGAAAAGTTATTTGTTTGACCGGGGTCAACACTAGAGTAATACAAATTTAAAGAGTGCCTTATCAATGCATTACCAACAAATAAAAAGGTATTTTATTGTTTATTTTCCCTGGTAAAAAAAAAATGTGCTTTATTGTATTTCAAGTATATTCATATTTCCTATAGTTTACTGAAAATGTACTTAGACAAATTGTACTTTTTGTAAATATATAAAAAGTATACTAACATTACGCTTTCATGCTAATACTTTTAACACACTTTAACATAATTACACTATGTTACACTTTATAGAAATATATTATTAAAAAAGTATACTTTAAGTGAAAGTTATGTGTAATTTCTAAAGTGTACTTATTTTAAATTTGTTTTTACATATATTTTTGCTATATTTTAAATTGTATGCTCAAAGTTGTCATTGTAACGTACATTGAAAGCATATTTTAAAAGTACACATTTTAATATCGACACTGTAATATTAAGTTTGAGTGCATTTTAAGTTACATTTGAATCTAATTATGAAGTGAAGTTATATACGCTTGTACTTCAGGTAATTCTTTTGGAAAGTGTTCAATAGTATAACTACAAAAATGCACTTAAACCCTATTATGCAATTTTGTGCTGTGTGTAAAGTACACAGATAGCAATTATTGCAGTTGTTATGTAATGTTTAATAAGTTTTGAAAAAGAAATATGATACAATACATCTTACACACAAAACCACATTGAACAAAACACTAAATGTTCACTTCAAAAGTACAGGTGCACAAAAATGTGTGTTCTGCTGAAAAGCAAGTGGTTTAAAGCTGGTGCAGTGCTACATTATGATCTAACAAATAGCATAACCCACATTGCAACAGAAAAGTTAATACTGGCCAAATGCAAAAGAAATAAACTTAACACATTACAATTGTCTCAAGTGTTCAAAAAAGAACATTTCATTAGTATTGTTTAATGGATCAAAGCAGGGCTACTGCAAACAAGACCAATTGGTGAGTGCACATATTTAAAAGTCGCTGACAGCACTTCATGCATATAGGAGTGATATGTGGAGGTTGTTTGGCCTTGATGTCTGTAAAGTAGTAGCTCCCCAAGAATTTTAGTCTTGGGGAGTTTTTGGTTCAGTACTGATATCAGAATTCCCATAGACTTTGAATGCACCACACCTGCACAGCAGTTAGTCACGGCTCCTCCCTGCTCAGAGCTAGCGTGCTTTTCTTTTAAGGCCTTGGTCTGCATGGAGAGAGGTAACTTTCAAAACATTCCCATTTGGTTTTGAAATCTTAAGATATCTGTATAAAACGCGATTTTGATTATTATATTTGTATTGTAGAAACAGGAGATGTAATCGGTTGAGCAGGAAGATTTGCTGTATTATTGTGTTGAAGAATATCCTGGTGAGTTCACATGAACCTGTGAATGAAATATATATATTTTTTGAGATGTAAAACCAGTCAGGATATAATGTTTTGTAATATATGTAATTTTACTAGCTCTTTTGATTTATTGAATGCATTAGCACAGTGAGAAGGAGGCTAACACACCCCCCATGTGCTCTTCTAAAAAAGAAAATGCACTTTCAAGCTAGCTACATCTTGTGTGATGTTGCTGTAAAACCCCCACAAGGGGTTAACGTAAAATTAACCCTTCATAGGTGTCCTGGATTGTTTTTTCCAGATACAAGTATTGACTACTGACCATAATGATTTCTTAGACAGTGAACCACATGTAAATTGATAATTTTACTTTATATTTTTGTCTGTATAAATGTGGTAAAAACCAATTTATATTATGGTGATTACATGATTTATTTTCCAATTGAAGTAATTGCTCTGCACATTTGTGTGCAGGCTGTTTTTTTTTTTACATAGTTGCAGAATCTGCTGTTACAGCTGAGCAGTTCATTGTATGGACTGGACTAGACTCCACCAGAGATGTTGATGCAGAATGTTCCCAATGTGAATGCCATCCGGTTCCCTGGAGGGTGGTAGGAAAAACAAGGAAACTTAAGGATTTTTCTTCCCTTTCTTTCTGCGGATTCATAATTTTTTTCTTTTCTGAGATCTCTGACAATTTTTGTTGTTACTTTGTTTAATTTTTTTGATCAGATCTGATAAAACCACTTGATGCATCAGATTTATTTAAATTCAACTGAAATGGACAATTTTTTTTTCTGGTGCACTTATGGACCCTGGTATATCATACTGATACAATTTGTCAGACTTTTCTGATGTACTGCTCAAAAATACTATGAATTTACAGTATCTCTCTGTTTGGTTAACAGACGCTGTTCTTCTGGAGTTTCCGTAGACAAGTGTCTCTGATGTGCGCACGGCCATCAGACGAAAATGTAACAATGAGCAGTTCAGCCAAAAAAAGGAAAATAATGTGTGGTGGGCGTGTTTTTGTATGGTGGGAGGGTTTAGGGGTGCAATAATAAGGAATGTTGTTTTTCATTGTTCAGTATTCCTCTGCGTTCTTTAAAGTTTATTTGTAATGTTTAGGTCTGCTGCCTGAAATTGACATATTTCTACAAAGTGTACTAAAGTACCAATATTTGAAAATGTGTTGTAAGTTTTATAATGAAAATGGTTAACGTCGATATGTAAATGTTTATACATTCTGAGATAGTACAAGTTATATTATTTGTAATGTACTATAATTTGGACATGTTTCAAATACATTAAAGTATATTTTTTCATCTGCACGGAAGTATATCCACAAGTCTTTCAGCATTTAGTATACTGTTAATACATTTGCAAGAATGTGCAAGGTAGAAAGTAGTATAGCAATGTAATGATAAAGTATATTTACTATTAACTGCAAAGTATGCTTTTTTAGTAATTGGAATAAGCCAACAGTATAATTAAGCATATTATTACCACAGTAAGAGTATATTAAAAGTATAAAGCTTATATATTTTTAAGACACTAACAAATCATTTTTAATGTAGTTATAATACAACCATAGTGCACTTTAATTTGACTAATTAAGCATATATTAGTACATATAAACTCATATACTTAAAGTATACAAAATATACTTTAAGTTGTTCCACTTTAGCACATCAAAGTACACTAAATACACTTCAAGTTGAGCTTGTCCACAATTTAATTACAATTAAAATATATTTAGTACAAAATTAGTTGTTCCAAAATAGCATCCTTCAAGTTAACTAATCATAAACACACTTAAAGTATAGTAATGATTAGTGTGCCTTCAAGTACACAAAAGTATGCAAAATTTTAGTACACTTAGCACATTTATTTTTCAGCAGGGTTCAGTTAACTCTGTTTTGAATTCTAATAGTCTGATTCAATGGTTTATTTGAAATATAAGGTAAGAAATAAAGTAAATCGTTTAGAAAATTAAGATGCAAAAGCATGGATATACTGTAACTGGTTTGTTTCTAAATTTTATGATGATGCCCAAACAAAACAAACTGCTTTAGTTATTGGTTCAATTAAAACAGACCAGCAGCTTTAACACATTCAACAACTGATGTTGGCCGAATGTTTAAATTTATATTATGTCACTTTATAAACACGTTACATTACTAGGCTTTTTTTTCTTATTCAAATTAGGCAGCTTTAGTTTACAGAGGTGTCTCAAGAAAGTTTTTTAATCAGGGGTTTTTATGATATTGTTGCCGTACATAGATGGGCGAGGCATGAAAAGCATAAAATAGACAAAATTTCTTTCTTATATTTAATTTTATGAAAAGAAAAAGGCGAATGAGATTTCCTTGCATTGCCCCGCTGCTTTGAAACCCCTTGTTCAGTATTCAGAGAAAAGATTAATCAAGGCTTTCGTCATAAACTGAACAAATGACTCCCTGCTGTTTCTTTCTGCCCCACCTTGTTGGTTGTGATGCTGTCCCACACTATCAGCTTTCCATCCTGTGAGGCACTGACACACAGCCTGGAGCAATGAAAAATAAACACAAAAATGAGATCAGGAGTTGAGTTTCCCCTGGCTGCTTGAAACAGTACTCTAATCTCCATTTAATTCACTGTCCTTCAAGTCAATGTACTGTATTCTGGCCCTCTGCACTCTAATCTATTTATCTCAGTAAACAGAGCCAATATCCATTGAGAAAATGACAATTTTCTCCCAGCTAAAACACATGAATCAATTTATAGTGTTGTATGCATTTACTTTGAATCAGTGGCCCAGTGCATGGCATAGATCTTGGCAAGGTGACCCCTTAGTGTTTTCCTGGTTTTCATCTGGACACGCCCCACCACAGTGATCCCAGCTGCCGCCTCCTGCAGTGTGGAGTCCTGCACCGCCTTGCGGGCTGCCTATCGAGCACACAGACCAAAAAAACTACCTGATGACTTAACTCTTACCCTCACGGAGAACACAAACAAAAAAAAACATCCTTTTTCATTTAATTGCATCACTATAGTTTATCAAGCATAAGTAACATGAGGTCATATGTTCCAGATGTGACCTGTTAAGTTAAGAGCACATGTGGAAAAAAGATGTGTGTAATATCTGAAAAATAAAAAGGAACTGATTTTTTGAAAGTTTAGCCACGTTTTAAAAAAATATATTTTTTAATGATACATTATAATTTCCATATGTGAATTACGTGCTATTAAATTACACATTTCCAAAGTCACGTCATTTCGCTTTCATATGTGTTTAATATGACTCAACACAATATAAACTTATAATTCAAAAAATATCTTTCCTATTTTGTATAGGTTTATTTTTTCATAAGTTGCACATATATATATATATATATATATATATATATATATATATATATATATATATATATATATATATATATATATATATAAATATATATATATATATATATATATATATATATATATACATACATACATACATATATATACATATATATGTATGTATGTATATATGTGTATATATATGTATTATATATATGTATATATGTATACATATATATATGTATATGTATATATGTATATATATATATACATATATATATATATGGGTTTATCCCTCCACATGTTACTAGCAAACAATCATGTTATCTAGATAAGAAGAGAGGCATATAGCTATATAAAATATAAAATATAGGTATATATGTTCTACATGTTAAGAGTGGAACATATATAAAAACAAATGTGTTTTAAGATTTTACTATGTATGGTTTACATGTTTCTGTGTAAATGGAAGTAGATGAACTTTCTCACATGAAAGGTTTTGCATCTAAAGACAATTTAATTTACACTCCTGAAATACATAAAACAAAGTGTTTTTAAATTCAGACGGTTCATGCTTCATATATTACTGCACAATACAACGTCTGCAAGTGAAAGATTGTTTTTTTCACATGTTATTTCGATACACGTGCGAAGCACAAATGAAAAACCTGACGCTTAAATTCGAATCTACATTTTTGTCATAACTGAAACATAAAGCCATTACAAAAATATTCCTATTCATGTGTTTCTCATGCGATTTGAACACACAGTGAGAATTAAATTTTCATATGTAATAACATGTTTTTACATATGTTTGTTTTTATAGAGACAGATCCACAGAACAGAGATGGATAGGGTGTATTTATTAAATGACTATAATGACTCTCTTAGAATCACAATAATAAAATTTCACATTGTTTTTTGTCCCTTGTTTTTTAAAAGAACAGAGAAAGCTACTCACAGTGATCTGGTCTTTGAGGCTTTCTGCCTCCTTTCGCAGTTGCTCCATTTCACCCATGGTGATGATTACAAGCAATTTTTACCAGTGGATGCAGAGAAAGTTGTCTTAAAATAAAGAACATATGAAAAATAAGATTAAACTTAAGGTATTTAAAAAAAATTGCTAAAGAAATCCAAACCCTTAGTTTATTCTGGCTGCGCTACAATTTCATTTTGTAATCCAGGCTGCACCTACCTTAGCTTGCTAACCCCCCTTTCACCTGACTCCAAGTAAGAACTGCTTTGCAAGTCAAACGAGCATTCGTCTACTTTGCAAACTTTCATAAATACGCAGGAACTTGCAGAGAAACCCACAGGACACACATTCATAAGTGCACACCAATACACACGTACATAAAGGCTGTACAAGGAGGCAAACATGACATTAATGACTTAAAGTTTGTTCTTCCAGAAGATGCAACACATCCTCACCCGCAATGTACACAGAAAACCAGTACATCCTGTAACAATGTCCTCCAAGCTGAAACGCAGTCACAACACTGAGTTTATGCCATTTAACACTCTGCTGAGCTCTCACTTAGAGTTGATGGCTTTTGAATTTTGGTAATATTGTGATTAAAAAGCACAGCAAATCAATCGCCTAATGGGCAAACTCATGTGGTGTGACAAATGCAATAAGCAGACAAGTAAAGAGGCAATCACAGGTTAAAAAGTAGAGTATTTCAAAGCTAAACAGATGGTACACCAAAACAGCAATTAATTCACGATTCTAAAAATTCAGGATACACGCTCTTCCCTTTTCTTACCTTCCAATCTGACAGAAGTGAAAACTTGGCTTGATTTTATCCTATGTGTGCAGGCTGCAATCTCTCCCTCGCTCTTTTCACTATTTGAATGAGTGTCATTGTCATAACTCCTGACCGAGTGGATTTGCCTTTAATTTGTATAAAGTAAAAAAAAGGAGGGGACGGGATTGAAGGAGGGAATGAGTCTAAATGAAGAGATCTGATTTATTGGTCAGCTTTTGTAATGTAAAAAAGAATAAAATAAACATAACCTGGCAATTTCTTTAAGCTGCATGTGATCCTAAGGATGAAAACTGGTGGATTTTACCCCATTTGTTTTAGCTGTGAAAGTGTTTTTAAACATGCCCCGTGCCCTTTTGCCCACCTGTTCCTGGAATTCTGACATTGTTCCATGTGATTAAATGGCTGCTGGATGGTGAAGAGCATCCAGGCACAACAGGGAGGCAAAGGAGGGAGGGTAAGAGGTGAGACAGGAGAGGGAGTTTTTATTTTTAAATCCAACGAGGCTGAGATTTTAAGGGAAGCCTTTTGAATCAAATCTGCTCTCATCCGATTATTGACTGCTCTTTACATCTGGATAAGAGATGGAGAGCGAGGGGTGGGGAAGAGGATAGTGGGATGAGACCGGGCAGATGGAAGAGGTGGGATGGGACAAAGGGAGATTCAGAGTAGAAAGAAGAGAAAGATGGGCCTGTTGATCCTGTGTTTGCACATTTACCCCACTACCAGTTAAGAACCAAAAAAAACAACAACACACAAGTATTTTATAACAGGAGTTTCTAAACAAATGATAAAAATACAACCCCTGATCAATTTTTTTTTACAGTTTTTGCATGACAATGAAAATATGTTCTTTTGCGTCAAATATATACAACTATAGTTTTTGTCATAAGGCTATGTTAACAATAAAAATGTCTGTGTGAACACAAGTAAAAGCATTCAGTACATGTATTTCTGCCTAAATGTTCGCTATGCTTTTCAGGGAATCCATCAAGTTGCATTTACTTATCGTATGCAGTAATAACCCTCTGGAGAAATGGATGGGTTAAATGCAGAAAGCAAATTTCCCCATTGTGGGACAATAAACAGATTTACATTACATTAAAATTACATCATTATACATATAAACATAGCATAACATACGTAATGTTTGTCTGACATGTAAATCTCTTTGTTTCACCCACCAGCAAATATTATCACAACAAATAATGCAGTTGAGCTTGTTACTTTAAAAAGTTTTCATCAGCATAATGATTAACATTTTTGGAGAAAAAGATAAACAAATGGAAATTGTTTTGATATACTGGATTTTTACATAAGAAAGCTTTATATAGTTAAAAAAAAAAAAAAAAAAACGTAAAAAAATTGTAAAAAATTTTATGTTGAATCGAACCTATAAAAAAAGTCATTTCAGCTGCTCAGGAAACTCTTAACTAAGTCTTGTTAGTGAAATAAAGTCTGATGAAGAACTGCAACACATGACCATCCACTCACCAATCGACTCCGTGGATCTTTAGCTGCTCTTCCTCCAGCAATCCACCTCAGGTCGTTGTCATAAGTTCAGCACACCTTTTCCTCCTCTCTGTCGATTTCTGAAGTCACACACACAGTGCAATGCTTCTCACTCGGTCCAGTGCTCCTATGAGGAACAGATGAGGATTGTAGGGATGAAGGGAGATCAGCGATGAGGGGATAAAACCTGGAATGGACAGAATGAGGGGTAGGGCGGAGGAGGGGGATTGTTGGAGGGGAGTTAGTGAGGGCAAAAGAGGCAGAGGAAATCGTGAGAGAAACCAAACAAGGTGTAAAACGAGGATGGGGGGGTCACAGGATCTCAACAGGGGTTAATTTGAATTAAAAAATATATAGAGATGGAAATCACAGTGGGGAGGGGTAAGAAGAATGAATAACAAACCTTGGAACATGGCTATTTATGGCGGTTAGGTGGTCCTTGGTAGGTCCACCAGACCCAGGGGTGTGTGTTTTGTAAACTTCAGTTGAAGCTAATATTAGAAAGTTGGTGCATGGATGGAGCGGAAGATCAGCAGATCAGAGACCAGACTGGGAGGAATAATGTCAGAAACACCTTCAGCAAAGACAAAAAAAATTAAATAGCTTATAATTGCTGTGCAACAGAATAATCAAGCAGGTACACATACCATGACAGCTGTCTATTAAAATAATATTCTTGTGTCTTCTTGGAGGGTAACAGTATTAGCTGTTTCTAATATGGGCAATATTGCTCATGTCATAACATATTTTTTGTAAGTCTTTTTTTTCAAACTCATTCATTTAAATACACTATGACTACTTTAGCTACCATATTTCAGCATTTGACATTTTAGTTTAACTGAGACGCAGTAGTGGCCTCCTTAAACCTCTGGTTTCCTTGTGTCCTTTTTAGTGACATCATAGAATAAGTAAATAGTCCTTGATGTAAATGCAAAGTATAAATCCATATTCCAGATACGAATGAACAGATGAAGAACAAGATCTCATTTGAGATTTAATCATTTAATCTAATGATTGATTGACATTTTTTTCTGTTTATAGAACAAAGGTGGAGGTGTAAGAATAATCCAAATTGTGAGATATGGTGTTGGCATCATTATGCCGTGTGGCTGTTTTGCTTCATGAGGGACAGGAGAACCTCACAAAACAGAGAACATCATGAGTAAAGAATATTGTTTTGAAACACTGAAACTACATCTTGCTGTAAGCAGGAGGTTTAAGATGAGGAACGAAAGGCCTTAAGGACAGTGGGGTTTCTTTTAAACGACAGTTAAAAACACATTTCTTTAAATGTGGTTTAATCAGTTTTTCATTTTTATTGAATTTCTGGCTCTTGTATAGCAGTTTCTGGCTGTACAATTTAAAAACTGCTTCGTAAATTAAATTTAATTCCCTTTACTCACTAAATAGATTTATTTTTTATATATTTAGGCCACTTTAGATCCAATGTTCTAAAGTTTTATCTGATCTGTTAATGGATTAAAGCAGCTTTATTGAACTTTCCCTTCTCATTAAATTACAGTCTGTTTGTTTTCTTTAGATTGATGTTTACTTCCAATTGGCTGTGGATGATTAACGTATGCTTATTGGGCTGTATTATAATAAGAATCAAATTGCACTCCATATAGAATTTAAATAATCCAATAATTGATATAAATTGAAATTTATATTAGATTGGATTCCACGTAATTGGATAAACATTGCACCTGTATATCTTGTGAATTATAATAGAAGTACCATAAACAGGGAGAAGGATTCTTCTGCCTTTTGTTTTTATTTTCTATTTCTGCCCAGACATTAGAATAATACAAACCATAAAAACCTGACCAAATATGTCAGAGTTGAAGCTATGAAACAGCTTGGTTTACATCCTTTTAGTGAAATGGCAGATTCGGACATAAGTTTAACTCTTTGAGAGCTGAAACAAACACATTCCCTGTACATTTAAACAAAATACTTGAAATCAGCTGCTGACGTTCCTAAAAACCCAAAGAAACCCTGCTGTTAAGAAATTCTACGTATTTACTCAGCAGGATGCTTTACCAATTGATCATCGTTCAACTTGAACAAATTCAGATTTAGTCAGAAAGATGCTTTATTGTAAGGCTTGTTGACCATCCTGGAATCTTTCCAAATGTTTTGGTTCCAATATGCATGCTAAAGGGTTTGAAATAAAGGAGGGAGTTTGGAGCTGCAGGACTGGCTCAGGTCTGAGGTGTTCGGTTTCATTTGACAGTTCAGGTGTCATGATCCTTTGGTGTCAGCTTCTTTTTGTCTCCCTGTTTTCCTGTTGGTTGTGTACTTATTTTTTTTTTTTAGAACAAGATCTGTTTCTTCAATTATTTTCCTTATTTATTGTTGTTTTTCTGTTGGCTATTTTGCCAGGTCTTTGTGTTTCTCCTCCTTCTCTCAGCTGCCACTCTGATTAGTTCATTATTCATCTGGTTTGCGTGTCATTTCTCTACCTCTGCCTCAGTATTTATAATAAGTGAGTCTCTTTGTTCCTTTCTTGTTCTTCCCATTGGATGCTCCGTGACCGAATTCTACTCCATGTCGTCCATTTCTCTGCCCTGTTCTTTCTCTTAAGTATGTTTACTTCGATTTCATCATTAGAACCTTTGAATGCATCACGCTGCTTCTGAGCTCTTATTTGTCGTTTAATGACCTCTGCGTGAATTGAACTAACATTTAGCTTCAATTGAATTACTAATTTTGATCTTGTTTTGAAGAATTGACAGTTCTGTATTTTCTGGCCTTCCAGGCAATCAATTTTCTATTTTTCTTGTGTATTAGCTCAGATTTTATTTACACTCATTTTAATTTAAGGACAAGGTTTAAAGCTTTTTAATTTTTAATAACGCTAGTAGTTATGTTGGCCCTGAGCTACTGTATCCCTGACGTTTTGCTTAACTTGTCTGAGAAAAAGCTTCTCTTTCTCTGCTGTTTTACTGACCTTACAATGCATTATCTGTTATTTTACGTTCAGAGTTAAAAATGTGCACATAACCCAGAGCTTCTGAGTGTCTCTCCAGTCTGCCCAGCTGCTCGACACCTATATTTGGGAATCAAATCTGAGCCTTATTCTGTTTGAGGTACTTTAAAACTTTTAGACATTGATCTTTTAAAGCAGTTACTTGTTATTTTTGGATTTGCAAAACCCTTCAAACATATAATAAATGATTTGGCTAAATGAGATTAAACTGCCTGAAAAACTGACACATATCCTGCAGGTAAATAACTAAAATATATTTTTCCTAGTGTTGTTTTAAAAAAATCAAGCATTAATTTCTTGTTTAAGTTAAGATTGAAAAGAACAATTTTGCCCAAAACAAAACATGAACTATTTATTTGCCTGTTTTACTCATACATCTATAAGTGGAGTAGAATAAACAGGCTAGTAAGTATGTTAATATGTGTGCTGCCTATTTTCTGCGGTTTGTGTTATGATGCAGCGAGGATAAATTAAGCTGCGGGGGTTTTAAAAGGGTTGACCTCTGCTCAGTCGAGTGCAGTGACGACAGCAGCTCTGACCCAGGATTTGGAATGAGTGGAGTTTGGGTGAGACAGGCTGCGGGATGGAAACGTAGGGCAGAAAAAACAAAAACACAAAAAAGGATTTTTTTTCTATAGCAGATACCTGAAGAGACACAGATTTAAAAAAGCACAGAGAGCATGTAGGAACAAATGGTTTTTGAAAAGCAGGATGTTTTTAATTTTTTTCAGCTTTTTTTTGTCTTAGGCTTTGTTTATTACCTTGTGTCACTTTTTATTCACTCTAGATTATTGTTTTTTGTGCCTTAAGTAACCTTGTATTTATTTATGGATGGATGGGTTGTTCGATGGATGGATGAATAGATGGGTGGGTGGGTGGATGGATGGATTAATGAAGCGGTGGATGAATGGATGATGGATCAATGATGGATGACAGATGGATGGATGATTGTCAGATGGATATTTTAGAAAACCAAAGAAGGATAATAGTAAAATTAAAATACTTCCCATTCTCCATTTCCTTTTTCTATATTAATCTTTTCCAGGCTACATAGTCAGCCTGTATTGAATAAATATATATGAATAATATTCTTACCGGTATATATACTGAGATTTTACTGTTTTAGTTCCTGTAAATTAACCCAGACTCTTCAAGGACTACGGTAGATTAAATTCCTGAACAAACCATATTTATGGTTAATCTATTTCTCTACATCTACAAAAGCAAATCCTGGTATCATTCAGATATATTCAAATATTTAGGAAGCAGTGATCTTGTCAGTTTGACTCCTATCAACGCTCTAGGTTTATATACCTTGCAGAGTGGCTTAATGTAATTTCTGCTAATAATCCAACAACAGAAAACCAACTGGAAGGTTCAGTGAATTTTATGCTTTTCAGGAATGAGAGTAATCATTACACCAAACAGTGGGGGTTCTTAGTGGCACCTGCTTCATAAGAGATTAACAGACATTTTGGGGGCTGTGTCATATGGGATAGGGTTAAATCTACATAAAAATGATCTGGTCGACCCAAATCTAGTAACTGATTACAGCACAGGGGGAGCGAGAGAGTTAATATGGGCTGTGAACAGAGGCTGGTTATAATGCACAAGACGAAGGGTGCAAAGAGAGCCTGGTTGTAATGGGTAAGATAAGATGGCAGAGGTTGAGCCGTCTGTCACACCACTGGATGTGTATGATTAAGTGCTCACTCCTTGGATTAATATTCCATATTCTAAATGGGAGACTTTTTAAGCTTCATAAACAAATGCACTTATTTATAAGGGATTAACAGTAATCTCTCTATTTCTATCCTTTTTTTTATCCTCACTCACCTCTCTCCCTAACAGCTCACTCCTCTCCCTCTTTTAGTGTCTGAGACTATTGTGCATCATGCTCCTGTCACCAGACGTCAAACTTTATCATATTCCTCATATTTAGAGCAAAAGCTGCAGCCAGTCATTGAGGCCCGAGAGGTAAATCGCTAAACAGATCTTGCAGCCTGGCTTTACTTTGCTACCGCTTTTTAACCTCGCTCTCTGCCGCTAATCCTCTTTTTCAGGCAGCACTTGCGTGCATTTGGCATGTGGCACTCATGCTTCACTGATAGAGTCACATTTAATGCACATTATATTCTTTTCATTTTCAAGGTCAGTGATTGGTCGGAAATGCATCTGGAACAAAAGTACAGACTCACATCACAGAAATAAGAGGAACCTCGTTCCTCTCACTTACAGTATAAATAAAGCACAAATTAAAACAACATAAACTGAAAAAAGATGCACAGCTGGAGTGAGATGCTTGGATGGAAACAGTATGGGATGGGAGAAATTAAAATAAAAGTCCAGAATCAGGTCTTTAGTGCCTTTTCTGACTCTCAGAGCTCATCCTTGCCCCCGGTCACCATGTTTCTCCCTCTGCTCCTTTCTTTAGGAGCGTGGTTCCGAGCGTTACGACCAGGGCTGGCGCCTCCCTCCTTCTCCTCCTCTTCCTTTTTCAAAATGCTCTGTCCGTCAGCTGCCCACAAGGCCTCTGCTTCCTCTCGCTCCTGCAGCAGAGATGCAAAATACATCAAAATGCTGATTTCCTGCTGGAAACTAATTTGGAAAGCAAATTTGGAAGGAGTTATCAAAATCAGTGTTCCTTCCTTGTTTTTCAGCGACGGAGTTTTGTTGATGTCAGCGAAGTTGACATGACTGAACTTTTGTTACGTACTGTCATCATACAACAAAGGACTTTCTGTGTATGCTCTTGGGATTCTGATGGATCAATACCAAGCACCACCTTATAGTGGAGGGAAATGGTATACATTTGGAAGATTTTCCAAACATTTGGCAAATAAATGTTGATAAAGTGGCCCCCCTTCCCTCTGACTCCCCCACTGTGTAAATTAACTGATTATGAATCCAAAACAAACAGTGAAACCAAACGTTATGCGCTCCAAGTAACTTTGTAGGAGCTACAAGAATGGCACACGTCTTACACTATTAAGAGAAAGTCACAGGAAGTCCCCTCTGTAGTTTAGCAAAAGCCAGAGAGGCTCTGTAAATGTTCCAAACAGTCAGATGTTTAGAACATTTACAGAGCTGCTTTACATGATCCTATATTTATACATCACTCAGTTTCGCCATAATTAATCAAATATACTTGCATGCAATGAAATCACAGCAGAAGTGTCATCTGATTAAAAAAACTAATAATGTCCAAAAATAATCAGTGGTGCGAGAACAACAAACAATAAATATATAACATTAACTACATAAGTAAAAATAAGTGGAATTGTAAAAAAAACACAACATAATTAAATAAAATTTACAATATGCTATAATAATGTAAATGAAGAGTTACCTGAAGCAAGGTAAAATGGTTTTAATTTTCGAGATTAATAAATAGTCATTCAAACTTGGTAAATATTTGTAAGTCTATGCAAAAGCTCTACTGGGAAAAATAAACTACTTTTACGCACTAGTTTGACCATATTTATTATTACCTTGTTTTTCAATTCATGAAATGAATTCTGAAAACAATCTATGACATCACTGTAAGAAATCTGATGTCCAATCAAATGTGATCAGTGCCAGTCCTCTCTGTCTTTCTTCTATTGTGGAAGATCTCAGGTGGTTCTCTAATAATTTGAGCTCAAAAAACAGATCTCATTTTAAGAAACGTAAATAAGCAGTTAAAATTGAGTCATCTGTGCTTTAGGGATTTCTGGAAGGTTTCCCTATTTTTGTAGGCACAAGATGTCATTTCCAGCCTGTTCTAAAAAAAAAAAGAAAAAAAAAACCTGTCTGGGAGAAGTTTACTTTGTTTCATTCTGCGCATTAAGCTGGCCTCAAAGACCAGTTATTTTTCTGCATGTACCAATAATAGATATAAAATATATAAAAATATACATTTATATATATTGGATGGATTAATATAAATATATTAATGCAAAAGAATACACAATGATCAAATAAATATTATACATGTAGTTGCTTATTTTGATTATGCCTTAAGCCATGTAGGGGAAAGGCAAGAATGCAGAAAAATCTGCTAAAGTTAGAAAGACCAAAACTCAAGTTGATGAAGGTAAATGTATAATAATCTAAAGTAAATTGACAAGAGTTTTAGAATGTCCTAAAGTCCAAACCGAAAGCTAAACGAGGATGTAATCCAGTGCAATGAGCTTGAGCTATTTTGGAAGATTAGACAGAAACTTATATCTTTAGATGTGAATATTGATAGAAAGATAAGTTAGAAAACTTTGAAGTAAAAGGTGTTTTCATAAAGTGCTGACTTGTTGGGGTGAATACAAAGGTGGGCCCCTTTTTAAACCTTTGTTAGTAAAAATAAATAGGAAATTAATTTATCATTTTCTTTCACAATAAAGCCATATTTCTTGTTAGCCAATTGATCATGTAAAAACCCAATAAAATATATCAAAAGTGTGGTAATAGGTTAAAATGTGAAAATGGTTTATGGTGTTTTAGTAGTTTTAGGGCAGAATCATCGTGTTTTATTCCTTATAGCCTAATGCCTTAATGTTCTGATTCTGTAAAATGACTAAATGTGGTCTAAAAAAATTCAGTCCTAAATGGTTAATCTTTCTCGAAGCGTCCATATGATGAGACTGCGTCGACTGGGCCGAGGAGCAGGCTCAGTAAATGGCCATCAACATGCAAAACGAGGAACAGATTTGCATTGTGTCCGAGCTGCTCCTATTATCACCACATCAGAGTCACGACATCAGCAAACAAGGCCACAGTTCTGACCCAAGCGGCGTAGAGTTCAAGTCTGATGTTGTATCTGTGCCTACCATGTCCCTGTAGAGCTTCTCCTTTGTGAACCACAGTGCCAAAGCGCAGCGCCGACCCCTCGTCACGGCGGTAACGCCGTGGGGGTTCACCGGTCCGGAGGAAAAGCCCACCAGTCGACCACAGCTGGGCTTAACTCTGGCCTGGAGACAAGTACAAGAAGTCCAACCTCTAACTCTGAAAATAAATATCAATAAACTGTATGTTTTACAGTCAGAAGAAAGGTGACTCACTGTTACGGTTTTGGCATCTTTTTCAGTGAAGAACAGCTCTCCTCCATCAAAATCATCATTCAGGTAGAGAACGGCACTGTTGGATAAAGATATTCCTCATTTTTAGTCTTAAAAAGAGAAAATTTATTACATTATATGAGACACAAGCTACTGATTTAAGACAGTTAGGTAATGCAGTGTTATGTAGTAAACCAAATCTCATTTAAATTCTGATTTGTTTAAAGCAGGGGTGTGCAATGCTCGGTCTGGTGTGACGATCTCGGCACTGGTGCTGGCTTAATCTCCAACTCCTCACACCTGCTCACTCCACCCTGCCTGCAATTATCTCTAATTGGTCCCACTTCTATATATAGCTCATTTGGATCTGTTCCCAGTGCCAGATCGTCTCAAACCATCTTTTGAGTACCTTCCAGCTCTTCTACTGTTTGTCTGCCTACCTGTTACCTGACCTGTTTTTGCCCTTTTTCTCTCCGAGCCTGCCAAACCCCTTATCTGATTCTGACTGCCTGCTCTGAACCCAAACCAGTAAACGGACCCTCGAACGGACCTGGACCTCTCTTTTGGATTGCCCCTCTGTACCTTCGCTTGGACCCCGTCTCTGAATCCACAAACGAACTGCCTCTGGAGCTCATCGGCCTAAGCCCTCAGCTGACCATCCGCCGCTCAACGGCCACCGTTTCCACAAGCCCCTTCATCGATCGGACTCCTGCCCCGGACTCTAAGCGGTGCTAATCGCCCACCCTGCCACCCAGTAACAGGTTAGTGATCCAGCCTCAGTTCCTCTCTAGCTCTCTGATTGCTGATCACTAACCTGTTGTCTCCGCCACAGGGGGTTTCCTGACCGAGAGCCGCCTGTACGCTCCCCTCGCCTTCCATTATAAATAAAGACTGTTGCATTCTGCTTACCGTTCTGAGTTGTTTCCTGGGTCCAAAATCCTGTACGTTATATCTGGAGGCCATTTATGGCAATTGGAATAATTCTGTGACAGCTGTTGAAGTTTGGCCCTGCATGAAACTGAACTAAATAGATGGTCATAGACGTGGAAATTGTTGGGTTACAAACCAAAGCATTTTTCTTTTATCAGCCATGTTTTTTTTTTTTTTTTTTTTTTATTAGTCCAATCTAAATTCAGCAGGGAATTTTGGCTGAAATAGCCTGAATATATTTTAAAGCCCACATAACAGAGAACATTTGTCCCCAGAAGCTTAGAAACTGTACTGTAATAAATATGAATGACAAAGAGGGATTATCAAAATGTACCTGAGGTCTCTGTGTATGAAAGCTGGTGGTTCTCTCCAACACTGTTTGGTTTCAGGCTCAAGAAGACAGTTATCAACATGTACAGGGTGAGACAGATCCATCCTACCTTTTTGGTCCCCTGAAAAGAAAAGGTGACCATGAAGTCAGTAAAAAAAAAAAGTACAACAAAGATGTATTGAAATAAGCTAAGGTATTGGCTCAAGAACTAAAATCAGGGAATTTTTTATGTTTTTGGTAACCCATTGACTTGTACAAACAAAATTCCCCACATACAGGATCACTGTATAGGCTGAATATAGGCTCTACCATAACATTTGTCTCATTGCAAACAATGTTTACGGGCTTTTGTGCCACAAAATGTAAAGTAGAAAAATAGATTCAGTGTTATAAGCATTTTTATTAACAAATAAAAACCTGAAAGGTGCAGCTTGCACCTCTATTCAGCCCTCCTGAGTTAATACATTTGTAAAATTACCTTTCTCTACAATTAGAAAACTGACAACATTACTGTATGCCTCAAACTTCTTGACATATTAGATCAGTTGTTTCCCAATTTCCTTTTTTTTTTTTTTTTTTGCAAAACAACTAAATAGTAGTGTAATTGATAGAGATGGGCATTTTACGTTGCCCATTTTATGTTACTGCTGCTTCAATGTGATTTAATTAGGATTTTAAAACAAAAATTTTTTTTGCAGCCCTGGTTGTCAGGATTGCACCCTATGTGGACTTCTGTTTAAGTTTCATTTTGACTTTTCCACTTTATGTTATTCTGTGTTTTCTTGTTCATTGGTTTATTTTCCATTTTGTATATTTAAGCAGTGTTTTATTTTTTGACTTCTTCTCTGTTGCCCCCTTGTACCAGTCTCCTTTCCCTTAGGTCCTTCTGGTTACTTCTGTCTACGCCTGCTCCCTATCATATAGTTAGTCCTCCCATTGTTTCTGTCTCTCATGTATACTACACCTCCTGTTCAGTCACTCTTTGCTGGTTTCTTGTTGTTACTTAGCTTCCCATGTTTTTTTTCCCCCCTGACGTCTCCTGGTTTTTGGTTTCCTGTATTTTGGTTCTCTGATTTTGTTTCTGTTGTCTTTTATCTTTAAATCAGCAAAACTCATCTCTGCTTCCTCATCTCTGCATTTGGGTCCTCAACCAAACCTGACACTGGTGCCATGTTTATGCTTGTTGTTCTATGCAGTTTCTAAAAGGTTGCCACAAGTTCCCTGAACAAACCTTTTCTTGTCTGGCCTGGCTCACTTTGTTTTCCTCTTCCCATTTTTAATAAATAACAAACTGAAGGGGTGTGCATACTTTTGTAAGGCCCTCTATGTAGATCTATGCTGATTTTGCAGCTCTTTGGAAATAAATCTCTAAAACCTGATAATGCATCAGCTTTTTAAACATTTTACAGACTATTACTTAACCTGTCTTTGAGGAAAGGACCATAAGCTTTGGGGTATTATAATATATCATTGGATGATAATAATAATTCTTTATTGATCTCACATTTGAGAAATTTACCTCTGCATTTAACCCATCTCCTTGGGATATAATATTCACTGTTATTAATTCAACAAGTATAAAAAAGAATAGAATGAAATCTACTAAGTACTACCTGGAGTTGCACTGCGACACACCAGATGTGAGAAGGAGATGAAAAGCCCAGAGGGGCTCCTAAAGTAGGAGTGCAGCAGTGTTTTCACTCTCTCTCCCAGCTCATGTAACAACCTGGTATCTGACTGGTTCACCAGTCCATCCTGAGACAGCTGCAACACAATCAGTGGAAGGTTTAAGAAATTTCATCTAGACAAAAGATGTCCTTTTCCTTTAGACATTATTTACTTTTCACCAACCTTTACAGCCCTGAGCACAGTAAGACCCTCCAGCGTCTCATGAGGTGTGTGTGGAGACCTGCGTCCTCTGTAACCATCTCCACTAGATGAAGCAATCTACAAAAACCAACATAAAATGAAGACGTGTTCCTGTGTTCAAGGGAGATTGCAGGTTTTAACCTGAGAACCTACAGCTGCTAAATTGAATATTCTGCTACATTCTTTCTCAGTCATGACTCCATCAAGGACAACTCTGTTGGTCCCGTTCAAAGCTTCATCATCCATGGTTATGGACACACCATCCTGGGGCACCGGGCCTCCTGTACACATGAAGAGGAAGGAAAAGATGAGACAAAAAAACTGGAAAAATCCTGAAATTCGGGCGTACTTGCCTTACCTGCATAAAACCCGCTGTCATCCACTTCTTCCAACTGATCCCCTACTTTTATTTTCTCATTTATTTTCTGTTTTTCGGCTCTGCCAGGACGCAAATATACCGAGGTCACTTCATATAGCTATTTATAGAATGAATCTAACCTCACTTTGCCTCACCTCCAGTTATCTCTTACAGATTCTGGTACAACATCCTCCGGAGTCCAGAGATCCTACAAACAGGATGATAGATAAACTAAGACCACATACTTTTGCAGTGTTTATGTTTTTGTATTTGACATCAGTGCTTACCGGGTCAGTGAAGGTAAAGTTTAAGTTCTCCACACCAAAATACAACAGCTTCTTGTCTTCCAAGGACTCATTGATGTATTTGGCAATTCCCTAAATGAAAACACAAACTTTTGGTCAAACTTGACTGTTTGGATTAATGTGAATCTACTTAGAATATGGTTGCAATTACTAAATCCTGATCAGTTTTCCTTCAATTCTATCAATAAGAAATTCTCAACTTAATCTAGGTATAGACTTCAAATAGACCATTTTTATATGGAAATATGCTGTGATTTAAACCAGTAAATCGCAGCTCTGATTGCATGCTTTGAGTTGTTATATGGCGAGATTGTGAACTTCAGCGTCTTTTGCGGCTTTTAACAGACTGACCTCCCGGATTGCCATCTTCCCATCATATCTGATTTTCTCTGCTGAAGAAAAACAACCCCACAGCATGGTGCTGCCACCATGCTGTTTCACTCTGGGGAAGGTGTGTTCAGAAAGGTTGCTCATTTATACAAAACATTTTGTAGGTTTTCCTGAAAGTTTTTCAGTCTAGTTCAGCAAAAGCTACTTCTTCCTCACATTTGTTGTGTTTCCAAGGTGGCTGTGATAAACTGCCTTCATGTTCTACCATGTTTATGAAGTTATAATTAACACTGTTGTCCTGGTGACATATTCTCCTAACTATAGTAGCTCATAGTATAAAGGGATGATATATATTTATGCCATTTGTAGAATATAAATATTGAAAGTCATGCATAATTTCACCCAACAATAGTGCTTTGTGCTGGTGGCTGGATCATCCAGAGCTTTACCTGAGCAGGCTGAACACCATGTGACTCCACATCCCCCCCTAGTGTCTCATAGTAGAGCTGCAGGTTATCTAAGGAGTCCTTGTCAGTGGGGTAAAACAGCAGAAAAGAGTGAAGTGTCTGCAGAGCTCCCCTCACATCACCAGCTGTTGGAAAACAAGAATCACGCATAAGATGGAAAATAATGTAAAATAAAACTGTTTTAATCTCACTGAGCCAGAACCTCACATTTAAACTGTGCAATGTGAAGATGCTCAAGCTGTGTCGGCAAGAAGTCCTCCTGAGCGGAGAGCCGTCCAGGCCGTGTCGCAACCCGAGTCACACAGGACTGCCGGCATGAGAGCAGGGACAGAGACAGAGCTGGACAGAGCACACAAAATACAGGTGCTGGTCATAAAATTAGAATATTATGAAAAAGTAGATTGATTTCAGTAATTCCATTTAAAAAGTGAAACTTGTATATTATATTCATACATTACATACAAACTCATATATTTCAGATGTTTATTTTGTTTAATTTTGATGATTACAAATGACAACAAATGAAAATCTCAAATTCATCATATCAGAAAATTAGAATATTGTGAAAAGGTTCAAAATTGATGGCCCCTGGTGCCACACTCTAATCAGCTAATTAACTCAAACCACCTGCAAAAGCCTTTAAATGGTCTTTCAGTCTAGTTCTATAGGCTACACAATCATGGGGAAGACTGCTGACTTGACAGTTGTCCAAAAGACGACCATCGACACCTTGCACAAGGAGGGCAAGACACAAAAGGTCATCGCTAAAGAGGCTGGCTGTTCACAGAGCTCAGTGTCCAAGCACATTAATAGAGAGGCGAAGGGAAGGAAAAGATGTGGTCGAAAAAAGTGTACAAGCAAGAGAGATAACCGCACCCTGGAGAGTATTGTGAAACAAAACCCATTCAAAAATGTGGAGGAGATTCACAAAGAGTGGACTGCAGCTGGAGTGAGTGCTTCAAGAACCACCACACACAGACGTATGAAAGACATGGGTTTCTGCTGTCGCATTCCTTGTGTCAAGCCACTCTTGAACCACAGACAGCGTCAGAAGCGTCTTGCCTGGGCTAAAGAGAAACAGGACTGGACTGCTGGTGAGTGGTCCAAAGTCATGTTCTCTGATGAAAGTAAATTTTGCATTTCCTTTGGAAATCAAGGTCCCAGAGTCTGGAGGAAAAGAAGAGAGGCACTTCATCCACGTTGCTTGAAGTCCAGTGTAAAGTTTCCACAGTCAGTGATGGTTTGGGGTGCCATGTCATCTGCTGGTGTTGGTCCATTGTGTTTTCTGAGGTCCAGGGTCAACGCAGCCACATACCAGGAAGTTTTAGAGCACTTCATGCTTCCTGCAGCTGACCAACTTTTTGGAGATGCAGATTTCATTTTCCAACAGGACTTGGCACCTGCACACAGTGCCAAAGCTACCAGTACCTGGTTGAAGGACCATGGTATCCCTGTTCTCAATTGGCCAGCAAACTCTCCTGACCTTAACCCCATAGAAAATCTATGGGGTATTGTGAAGAAGAAGATGCAATACACCAGACCCAACAATTCAGAAGAGCTAAAAGCCACTATTAGAGCAACCTGGGCTATCATAACACCTGAGCAGTGCCACAGACTGATCGACTCCATGCCACGCCGCATTGCTGCAGTAATACAGGCCAAAGGAGGCCCAACTAAATACTGAGTGCTGTACATGCTCATACTTTTCATGTTCATACTTTTCAGTTGGCCAACATTTCTATAAATCCTTTGTTTTTATTGGTCTTCAGTAATATTCTAATTTTCTGATATGATGAATTTGAGATTTTCATTTGTTGTCATTTGTAATCATCAAAATTAAACAAAATAAACATCTGAAATATATGAGTTTGTATGTAATGTATGAATATAATATACAAGTTTCACTTTTTAAATGGAATTACTGAAATCAATCTACTTTTTCATGATATTCTAATTTTATGACCAGCACCTGTACATGTTATAAAGGCTCAAATATAAAACTGAAGACACAAGCAAGCACACATGTCGCTGAAATGCTAGCAATTTCCACTTAATTACAAATCATTAAAATCCAAAAATAAGGAACTAAAAAGAAGAAATAAAGCATCCTTCCATCCATTTTCCATCACGCTTTATCCCAGCTGGGGTCATGAGGGGTGCTGGTATCTATCTCCAGCTGTCTACGAGCGAGACGCAGGGTACACCCTGGACAGGTTGCCAGTCCATCGTAGGGGCAATAAAGCATAATAAAATATTCTGATGAAGTGTTTGAAAAACCTATTTAGGCAGCTTTAAATTGTTATCCATCCCCTAGGGGAGCAGTAGGCTGCCATTTTGTCGCGCCTGGGGAGCAATCAGGGGTTAAGGGTTTGCTCAGGAACCAAGAGTGGAGGCTGTGGGGATCAACCAGGTACTTGCAACCTTCTCAGTGCACAAGCGCACAGCTCTAACCACTAGGCCAACACTCCCCCCAAATAAATTGTTCTGTGTAGAAGAATATCCTCAAAGCAGACTAAATGCAAATTTGTAAATAACAATTTAGACATTTTTACCTCCAATTTATTATTGCAACTTTCCAGGATTACTGTATGCACTTTTAGAGGGGACTGACCATTTTATTTTAGTTCACCTGCATATGTCAATATTTGAACAATATTCTTAAGCTTCTCTAAAAGCATTGGCAAAAACACACATAACCATTCAGCAGCCACAGAGGAAAGATTTCCTTTGACTTTTTTCCCTAAAATAAATCTCTTGCCCTGCTCGGTCGTTTTTCTTACCTGCAGCCTTTTCGAAGACTCCATCAGAGCTGTCCAATCCCCTGTCCTCAGGCAGCAGCTGTGGGCTAACCACACACTGCACCCTGCAATCGTCCATGCGCTGCAGAGTTTCGTTCACGCAGGCTTTCCATTTCTCTGCCGCCTGCAGCCAGTCAGAGGAGGCCTCATGCTGAACAGCTGCATCATACAGGATCTGAGAGAGAACAATACACCTGGGTTCAGTCTGGAGATGCTGCTACATCAGCTTTTAGTTTAAAACAGCTATGAAGTGTTACAGTTTATGTTCATACTCTGGTGTAAAACCATGCATAAAAAAGGTCTTTAAGGAAGGAATAAAGCTACATGCTTTGATCCTCAACTATTTACAGCTTGCTATGTCACAACAATAAACTTCTATATTTCCTCTTATTTTAGAGAAAAAGAAGAGTTATTTGTATTCAGCTTCCTTTACTGTGATATCATTAAATAAAATCTGAGTTTATGAGAAGATCCATGGAGGTGGATACAGAAGAAACCCCGCCCACAACTAAATCCAATTGAGATTTTGATTTAAAAATGGACATTTGCAAAACATCCCATAAAAGTGCTGGGACTGAATCTGTACAAAAAGACAGTTTTCTAAAGTGTTGACTAATAGTGCTGAACATGAATGCGTTTATATTATAACAATATAAATGCCTTTTATATTTTTAATAGTTGTAAGACAAAACAAGACAGGAAGAACATATCCTTTTTTTATGATTCACGGTAAGTACTCACTACTTTGTCTATTAAAATAAAGATATGGATGTGACAAAATAAATAAATGTTCCTGGGATCAAAATACTTTAGCAGGACATCTTCTTGTTGTCATCATTCAGACTTGCAGCTGGCCTTTAAAAGTTACAGCACACACTGCAAAAATGATCTAGAAATAAGTAAACATTTCTTAAATTAAGTGTATTTCCCCTCAATTTGAGCAGGTAAATAAGATTATTTGCCAAGTAGTTTTGGTATTAAAATAAAATATTTAGATAATATGCACTTGAAATAAGACAATGTAATAGTTTTTTTCTTATTTTAAATGTAAATTGTACTGTTCTACTGGCTAAGTGTCTCACTTAAAAAATGCACTTATGATGAAATGACTTATTTAGATTTCATGTTTTTGCAGTGCACAAACACAGCACTTATATCTTTTACCCAATGTTTCTCCATCTCTCTATCCTGGAAATCATCCTCTGTCACTCCCTCCATCCGTCTGTACTTCTCTATGTTGTTCCTCATCTCCAGGTGACTCGGGTTGGCCACAAAGTAGGTATGAGCTGCAGATGCCGCCTTTTTCAACTTGTCCAACTGGTGTGGAGGAAAAAGAATAATCAGGAAAACACTGGAGTATTTGCAGAAATCGCAGCTAAGCTGTAGATTCTGTAGGAGTCAATAGACTGACAATCTAATTAAGGCCCCAGACATTAGATGGTGCATAGGGAGCAGCTTACCTTGTAGTAAGTGACTTGCAGAAAGTTGTAAGGGTTGCGAGTGTTGAATTCATATTCTATGTCATCTGAAACAGGCAGCTGCCCCATAGGTGTAACGGAGCGTCCGATACAGAACCTCAGACACTCGGCTCTCTGCTGAATCCAGTCCAGGGCCCAGAGGTCCCACATGTTTCCCTCCTCAGAGTCTAATGCAGTACATAAACACATACCTCAGACTCTTTCCATTATACCTCCTAAATATACCTCCCTGTAAATGAAGCTGATCAAATGTTTCCAAAACCATAACTCTATCCGTTTTTATTGCTCCAAAGAAACACCACATAATGGTCTCAATCTTGTTTATTATGCAGTTTAGCATTCAATTGGCTTATTTGCAAATCTTCCATACTATCCAGTCTCATTTTTAACCTTGATTTAACAACAATAAACTTACAGTGACATAAAGAAAGCCTTTTTCTATGGAATCCAGGCCAGAAGGCAACAACAAAAATATAAAATCACCATGAGAAACAGGTAGATGTTATTGAATGGTACATTATTAAGAAACACTGAGTAATAATATTAATATGCATTTGCCTCAACTAGATTTAAATTGTGCACTTTTTAAAAAAATTATTGGGATGCAAAGCAGGGATTAATAAATAAATCTTTAACCAATCATTGAGGTAACATTTTATTTGCACTATTAGACATGCACAGAAAGACCATAATCCCAGCTTATCCGAAGCATACAACTGTTCATTTAAAAAATAAAAATAAAAAATACAGATAAATAGTTTAATTTGGTAATGTTCTAATCCAGTAAACCTATTTAATATAGTTAGAACAAGTCAAAACTCCCAGAAGGAGAGCTGTTTTCTTATTGTGCAAACTAGAGCATAAAGGATGGCCTAATTTCACTTACAGCAGAGAACTTTAAAAGGTTTTCATAGAATTAGTTTCATGATACTTATGATTGAAAGCCATGGTTAAAACCTTTTGTTTTGTAACAAAAATCTATTTCTAGTTTCTCTTTGTTCCAGTATTTTGTTTTTGAAACTTAAAAGAGGGTGAAACAACTACAAATAAATAAATAAAAATAAGTATGTCCAACAGAAATGACAGCATCATTAAGGAGAGCACTATCGAACAAACAGCTAAGCTCAGCCAAAACTGTGGATGAGCTGCAGGGAACCAAGGCTGAGGTGGGGAAATCTGGACAAATTACAACTTTTAGTGATGGATTCTACAAAACTGGCCTTTTGAAATGTGTTGCTGGAAAAATAAACACCAAAGTGTCATCGTGTGACTAAATCAAAAAATGCAACAGATATTCTCCGTCTAGTCTGTCTTGATTGCATAAAGACACCAGGCAGAATATATAATATCTCTAAACTTACCCAATTTCTTTAGAGCATCGTTACCAGACACCAAGCAATCATCATAACACTGTTTGCGATATTCCAGCAGTGCCTCCTTGGTCTGGATGGATTTCTCCAGCAGCTCTGCAGCCTTCACCCACTCCCCCCCGTAATAAGCGCGCACCCCGCTGTAATACAGAAAGTCATATGGCTGTAAAAGTGACAAAACTTTAGATCCGCTACCTGCGGACGCTCCAACCGTGAGTGTAAATAATGTTTCTAAAACAAAACACAACGCCACGTATACAGTGCAGCGTTCAGGGCGCAGCGCCATGGTCCTGTGAGCAGGTCCTACAGCAGGAGAAAGAAGTTGGAGAGGAAGAGGAGGAGTGGCTGCGGACGGATAGTCAAACAGGGGGGAAAAAATCACCAGTGTGAAGAATGCAAGCCCCATAAATATTTGCTATGAGTTCTTAACCGATTTCGTTTACATCAGCGATGATACAAATTTTTTGTAGTAAACAAATCAGCGTAATTGCGCTACTTTGTTTTGGCATTATAAAAGGAACAACACGTTTAAGCAGTTTGAAACTGTCATATGTGTGGTTCACCACGAGATGGCGCGCTTTTAATTTAGCTTTACGTCTACAACCGTAAAAAGGAAAATACACGCGCACGACAAGCCTCACAGAGTTGAAGATACACATTTTGTGTGTTTAAGCTTTTTAACTGTAACTGACATTTGATTATACATTTCAATAAGCTACACAACTGTATATTGTAAACCAGATAAAATATTCCCCACTTTATTTTACTCAGTAGGCTACTGTATTCGCCTTCATCCTCAACCTGAGAAGTTAGATATGAATATTGCTTCAATCTGATTAACAAGTAACCAGATGGGAAAAAAATATTTTTAAATACATTTCCATATCTGGCTTTTAATTTTCAAATATTTGTGAAACTTTGCCTGCGGTCGTAGTGTGAAGTTTGCCGAAATTACAGTGGGTTTCCATATTAAGTGTATTACAGCAAAATGCTGGAGCTTCTATCGTTCGGCCTTCCTTCCCTCAACACCAGCGGCTCCTGATTCATTCAGACCAAACACACGGGAGATACAACGAAAGCTCCTTAGAACCTAGGTAAACAGCCTACTGGGTGTCCAAATTCAGGACAGCAAAAGTCCCACTGGAAAGCAGACTTAGTGAGCTCACCATGGCGGATGTTGGTGAGGTTTTGATGTCAGTTTTATCTACAATTCGCGTTCCAAAGCCCGGGGACCGTGTCCACAAAGACGAATGCGCCCTGTCATTTTCTTCACCGGTGAGCTTTCTTTTCTTATAAAACACCACCTCGGTAACCCAGATAAGCAGTGTTAATTTTTTCTGATTTATTCACACAATTAACTGGGCAGTGACAAGAAAAAAGGAGACATATTCTTTGAGACTTGAGAAGGAATTTCCTTGTTTTGGCTAACTAGCAGGCTAGCATAAAGCTAAGCTAGGAAAGCTAGCTGTGTAGCCAACTGCTTTAACTGTCAAAGTGACAAACCAGCAAACTTTTGTTCGTATTTATCGATCTTAATTAACATCATTTAACCTCAAATTCACTTCTCATAACCCTATACCTTAACCGAGTTTTATTTTTTTATTTTTTTTCTGAATTTGAAACATCTGCTAATTAGTGAAGCAGATTGACGGGCTACATCAACGGATGCTTTTGTCACTAAGAGCCATTGGTGTTTAGCAGCTTTAGTTTCTTGTATAAGCATATGAATAAATAGTTACAATAACTGCTGTTCTTTTTAAAGGAGAGTGAAGGGGGTCTGTACGTGTGCATGAACAGTTTTCTGGGATTTGGTAGTCAGTACGTGGACAGACACCATGCTCGGACTGGTCAGAGGGCTTACCTCCACATCACCCGGACTCGAAAAAATAAGGTAGATTTTTCTATTACGGTATATTATATGAATAGATGTCTGTCATTTACTGGTTTTTATTTAATGATATACGTGGATTTCGCCCACAGAAGGAGGATGAGAATAACTCTGGCTCTGGACACCCACCTAAGAAAAAGCCCACTAGGCTGGCAATAGGTAAGTTATCTTAAGGGAATTTATGGTGGTATATGAGAGGTTGCACTGCTAGTCACACATCTACTCCTGATCCTTGGGAAATAGGTTAATATTGTTGTAATTTTCAGATGCATGACCCAGAAGTCACTACTTCTTACTTTTCCAGGTTTTTTGGTTTTGAAAAAGACTTCTTGGACTGTAAAGTGTTAAAACAGTTTGTTCTTGCTTGTTACCAAGTTGGTACGTATCCTCATGACGTTTAGGCGATTTGACAAATCTATAGGCCAGGGGTAAACAATTAAAAATCAGTGGGGTCCGATTAAAAATCAACGACCAGTAAAGTTCCTGAGAAATTTTTAATTATGATCTGTTACTTTTAAACAGAATTTATCACAAATAAATTAGTTGCTGATGCATCCATGTTATACATTGACGTTTTAAATAAATCTAAAGTGTTTTTTTAAGTAGAGAACAACAATCGTTCAGTTTGTTATATAGACAATTCCCTAATTCACACCTTTTTTAAAACACCTAAACTGACCTTTTGCTATTATTTTTTTCTTTTTTTTGTATGGCTTAATGAGAGAAGTGGTCTTTATTCTCCCCTGCAAGGCTTTAAACCTGGGTTTGGCAAAGCCATTCTCAAGCACGTATCAAGGTTCTCATTTTGAGCCTGGATCGATATTTATTTATGATTATGTTCATGGAGGAGAATCCTGCTTCACAGCAGCAGGTTGAGCCAAACGTACTCAAAATGTGCAGGGTCATCTTTGAGAACGTCATTTCACTTTTCTTTCACCAGTTTACTGCAGTTCTTCCAGCAGTCCACACTTTCTCTGCTCTCTTTTTCTCATTGTCTTCTCCTTCTTTCCCATCGCCCGCCTTGCCACAGGTTAGCCTGCTGCGTCTAGAATTAGCTAGCAGCAGTGTCCCTGACTGACACAGCGCATTGGCTAATTTGTATGACATGTAGCCTGGTCCTGCATGCTCCAGAGGGCTTTACCATATTAACAGGAGAAGCTGCGCAAGTGAAGTTAGACACTGTTGTTGGACAACATGCTGTAATTTATAAATGTTTTAAATCAGGTTGGATTAGCCAGCAGGTAAGCTAATCCGTGACCTCTGCTATAGACCATCGACAATAGACTCAGCCCTTTCACTGTTGTTTATTTTAGAGCAAATTTTTTTTGTTTAGTTTTTGCTTCTTTTTAGACCTCCGGGTTAACACACTGCCTACAACAGCATAAATAAATAAATTTTAAAAATGCTGTTTTTAATGGTACATACAAACTCTTTCCAGCTGCAGCTTTTTCCTACAGTGCCATCGTGCAGCAGCAATCTAACGAACCAATCGAAACCAGACACTAGCTGTTTCTGGTTTAAAGTATTACCAGCAGTTCAGAAGACATGCTCTGAGGGTGTTCTTGTAGGGTGTTCTTTGCACACAGTCACCTGCACCAAAATATCATCAATCGCCATGTGTTGGACTGATGGATATCGGTTGGAAAATTTTACATATCGCCCAACTTTAGTCCATACCTTGTACATTAGCAATTTTAGTGCCCTTTGCTCCCTTTTGTCAGTTGAGATGCAACTGACATCTTTCTCTCCCTGGTCTCCTCATAAATTCTCTGTCAGGAGATGATGCAAATAATTTAGCAATAAAAGATCTCAAGATTACACTTGTCGAAAGTTGTATTGTATGTGTTGCTGATTAAAGTTTTTGTTTGTTTGTTCTTTTCCAGGGATTGAAGGAGGCTTTGATGTGGAGCAGGAGCTATATGAGGAGGATGTAAAGGTGGTCATTTTCCCTGACAAACAGGAAGTGACCTCAGATGACCTTGCCACAATGCCTGATGTTGTTAAAGAGCGGGTAACTTATTCTGTTTAGTTGGAATTTACATTAAGATGCAATGACAGTTTTCAAGCTCCTCTGATCTTAAGTATTAAAAATGAATAGCTTTTTTTATATCAGTACTGGACTATTAAATCTCTGTTAATCAGTTAATGCATTTTTGGCTTCAGACTTGATCATGTTTAGCAATTATATAAGAAAGAAAATCAAATCAGCTTTTCCTAAAGTTTTTGTGCTTCCTCTGCTTTACTTCTAGGTGTCTCTGTCTATGGCAGGTATCATGGCAGCAGACTCAGTGTCTCATGCCTTACAAGTTCAACAATGGGACGGAGAGGTGAGGCAGGAGTCGAAGCATGCCGCTGATCTTAAACAGCTTGACAATGGTGTCAAGATCCCTCCCAGGTGAATTCCTTTTAGTTTGAATAAAGTGCATTTATGTATTTAAAGAGGTGCATTCTGCCTTAAATGGTTTTAAGGATTAGATATCCCTAAAATAAAATGTGGATTATTCATGCACTCAGTCATAAAGCAAAACCTCAAGTGTCAGATTTTTAAACCATTTTGTTGTTGAACAATAACATGATATTAGGTATCTATTGGGGCACAATTTTGATCTAAAAAATGGAAATATAACCAACCGATACAGAATATGTATATCTAGCCTGCATGCTGAGTTTAAGATTTTAAGAAAATAAAGGAAACATTTTCTAGAGCAATTAAATATTATTTTTTTTTGACTAAAAACCATGTGGAAAGAATACTGATTATTTGGGACCTGCACATGTGCTGTTTAAAGTTTGGCTTCTACAGAATGTGGTGGCAGAGCTAAAGAAGCCTTCTTAACCCTTATGTTAGTCTGATAATTACGGCGCCCCTCTGATGACATGGTCAAAAAATTTTTTTTACTGTGGCCACGAAGTAGTATTTCGTGCGCACAAAGTAGTATTTCGTGGCCACGCAATAAGTATAACGTGCGCACGAAATACTACTTCGTGGCCACGCAATAAGTTTATCGTGCGCACGAAATACTATTTCGTGGCCACGCAATAAGTTTAACGTGCGCACGAAATACTTATTAATATTAATATCATTCCTGGACAACTGGGTAAGCAAATCGAGCGCGCCTTCTCTAAGGTCTAAGGCGCGCTCGATTTGCTTACCCAGTCGGTCTCCGCCAGTCACGTGACATTTGTTGCTAAGACGCTATTTTAGGTGGAAACGGCATAGTGTAAACAACCGCAGCATAGCTAAACGAAGGACTAAAGGCCCGTTTACATAGCAGCCTGTCCAAGATAAGTCATTACAGTTAACATAAGCCTGAAAACAGGGGCGGATCTATTGATATTATTAATAAGTATTTCGTGCGCACGTTAAACTTATTGCGTGGCTACGAAATAGTATTTCGTGCGCACGTTAAACTTATTGCGTGGCCACGGAGTAGTATTTC